TGAAAGTTGAAGATTTTTTAACCTTTTTTCTTCGTTTTAGTACTTAGCCGTTTTGTAGTTTTAAAAAATCTTTTACACATGAGTTTGTAAAGAATTGAATGCTCAATCTTTTGGGAAAATGTTCAGTTCAAATCAATGAAGAGCAAAAACGATATTGAGTAAATAATGAGACGACCATTCTTTAAGGGCCACCCGTTACTTTTATGAAATCAACTGCTTATTTTCGGGTGGGCCAATCAAAATTTCGGGTGGGCGGCGCCCACCCTGCCCATATGGTAGATAAATCACTGAAGTGAAGTATTCCTATATACTATCTATTTCTTTCGAAGATTTTCATTTCATAATCAATCTATAATTCAATTAATGGTCAAATAAAGTAACGTAAGATAGCTGTGTGTTTTCTTGTAGCTTAAAAACAGTGTCAAAACGCAATAAAACAGTCATAAACTGCTTCTTCCATTCGTGTAGTATTTTTATTTGATATAGAAATCAAGTTTTCTTACACCATGATCGAATTATATTAAACAGAGCAGTGAACTTGCCAAGAAAAACAATAGTCAAGGTCTGACGAAAGACGAGACCTCAAAATCTGATTTTTAATCAATGGGAAATATTTTTGACTAAGTTGCATCGCTTTCCTTTCGATATATGTAATGACTCTGATTTATCAAAGATCTCTCTTCGATCATCGATTATTTTCGTGATTGGTTCCAATCGCAGATAATTATCTCCAACGTTTTTTATTATAAATTTGCAGATTTATTTAATACACAATGACAAATATTTGTAATTTGCTCACTCCAGTTTATTGATATAATTTACATTGCTTGTGTCAAGAACAAAAGTTTATATCTACTAAAATTGATTTACAATTGAAATCAGATGAATTCTGAAATAATAAAAATTGCTCATGATTAATGATGGGATTGGGAAAACTCTTCAATTGATATGATCAAAGCCTGTATAAATATCAGTTGAAACAAGAGAGCTACGCCAGTTGTTATTTTTTCAGTTATGGTCTGCACTCCGACGGCCACATACAACAAGATTTGTTAAAAATCTGGACAAATTATGATGGGATTTTTTCTTCGATTTTTCAAGGTGATCGGATGAATGTGATCGTTTCAATTTTGATTTTCCCCTATATCCAGATTGTATTGATGATACCGACAAGGAACGGTCTCTTCTTCTACTCAATGTTGGCGTTTTAGATATTTGACTTGATGGATAGCCCAAGTAATGTATCCATTCGGCAATACATATAATTAATTGATTAGCATATAATGTCTCTCTCCATATTGATGGGATTTTCCGGTAACCATAGTGCGCACCTGCTAATTGACCAAAAATAGCTGCTGTAGTATCTGTATCGTCGCCTAAATTAACGGCATTAAGTGCACCTTTTTCGAATGTATCGGTACTCCAAAATGCCCACAGTGCTGCTTGAAGTGCTGGAACAATGTGTCCTTTACCACGGATTCCATCCCCATAGCCTCCTGGCCTTTTGAAAGATCCGTTAGCGATATCAACGATTTCCTTATGAAGAGGCATTGAACCAAACCAATTTTGATGCTGAATATAAAATTGATTGCTGAGAAGACTACCTTTAGTTTCACCATTGACAGCAGCAACTATCAAAGCGCCATAGTATCGGCATGCATCAAAAGCTACATCGTCTCCATGTGTAAGACGAGCACTTTGACCTGAAAATTCGACAGCTGACTGAGGTGTCTGGTAGAAAAAAAGTGGCACAGGAGCAAGACGCATGAGCGCTCCATTTCCAGCAGCATCGTTTTTACTACAATTGACATTAAATTGCGCGTCTTTAATGGCACTCAGCGGCAACTGGTCGATTTCATATTCCGTTTTATAGCCAAACTCTCTCTTTAGTTGCATCTGACGAGCATAGAACTCTTCCAACGACGCACGTGTTGCATTACCAATATCAAAACAGTGACCTGTAGACGATAAATACCCATGTTTATACCACCATTTGTAGCGAACTAACTGGTCATAAGGATTAAAGTCTTTTTTAGTGATGAGTGATGAAGCAAGACATAGAGCCATTGAAGTATCATCGGTCCATTGACCTGCTTTCAAACCCCATGTACCTCCACCCATCATGCCAGTAACAGGATAAGCGGCTAGATATGATTGAGGTCGAAACTCTACGCTTGCTCCCAGTGCATCGCCTATTGCCAAACCAATAAGTGAGCCTGTGATCCGATCCAAAGTGACAGTATCTTGTGGTTTGTTTGTTGGCCGAATAATTTTAATTTCATCGGGAAGTTTTTTCTCGTCAAAAGAAGGAAACGTGAGTTCCATTATAGAAACAAATCTGGAAAATAATAGTAGCGATCGAGATTCATATCTTTAAAGTGCATAGAAATATGTATTTCGAAAAGAAAACTACAATTCTGCAAAAGAAACACAACAGTTTTCTCTTTCGCTGAAAAGTAGGCCACCGTTTGCCTCGTAGCGAAATTTTAAAGAAAATATTCATGTTTTAAAAACATGCGCATGCGTATTTAACAAGTATTGTTTTACCATATATTTTCAAAGTAAAAATGTCGTATGTTATTTTTTTTCTTTCTTTTACTTTATCTACATTCGCCACTTCAATGCTTTACCTGAAAAGTTACTCTGAATAGAAAAAGATCTGAAGCAAAGAAAACATTGACATGTAGTGCTTCCATTAATGAAAAGTGGAGAAAAATAAAAAACTTTTCTTAACGTTCGACGAAAGAAAAAAACTTTCGCGAACTCATCGAGATTTTATGTATATACAAAGACAGAACCCATTACAAAACAAATGCACGAAATCAAATATTCACCATAAATTTATTCGTAAAAAAAAGAAGTGATTTGTGAAGGAATTGAATCCTGCATATCAATGTTTTCTTAAGGCTTATAGATCGATATTATGATATTCTTCCTATATCATTACTTTCATGTAAAGAATAATGTTACGATGCTTTCGAAGTATTTTGATTTTAATTCCAACGTACATGAACCTGTTCGTTTTGTTGTGCTGTCTTGTCGTCAAGGAATTTAGTTGTAGCATTCATTGCCACTTGCTTGTGACTGACAAGCTTTATTGCACTGATTTTTTAAACAATCATTTTATGAATTTAATTTTTGTAATAGATGAAACAATATATTTTATTCGTCGATCTCAAAAATTTAAAACTTCATGTATCTAATCATGATATCAACGGACGACTAAATATTGCGATTCTACCTGAAGAAATAAAATTCTAGAAGAAAATAGATCTATACACTAGTGTGGATCTGTCTCATGGAAAGCTGAATAGAGTTTTTCATACGGATTAAAACAAAACAAATAAATAATAGAAAATGATGTTAATAATGAAATGATTTTATAGGCCTTGATTAGACTATGTTTAACTTTACTTGAAGTTTAATTAAATCTAGAAAGCTCTATGGTTCATCAGCACATTCAATCGAAAAAAAAACAAGAAATAATGTTTTAAGCTTTTGTTTATTTGAGTAAAATGTTTTATTGATATATATTTTTCTTCGAATTCAAGTAGGCTTATATATGATATTAGGAGCTTGAATGCATATTTTTTGTTAAATTTAATTTATTAGTATTTCAATTAAAACGACAAAATATATTTTGCTTGATCTATTCTTTTCGGTACCTATAATAATTAGTGTCTTTACGTTTTTGGGAATTCGTTTCTTGGATGTTTATTACAAGGACTTTCGTGTTCATAATAAAAACTGTTTTCAAATATAATTCAATAATTTCAGACAAGAACCCATGCATTTATTCACTGAGGAATGCAATATTGAAAAAAACTGCATCTACTTAAAAGAGTAATGAATTCATTCTATGCACTCCTAACAGAACTAATCATCAGTTGGTTTTAAATTAATGAAACCAAAAATCTCTTAAATTGTTCTATATCTGAAGTTCAATTTTATCTGACACATATCCTTATATTTTGGCCAGACGTGTATAATCAATATCGAACATTCTGCCCGAGATAGCCTTGCTTCGAAAACCACCAGTGATGATTACAGATAAATTTGCTAAAACAAATCAATGTAAGTGTTTCATATGATATTTCTTAGCATCAATAAATGGATGCAATCTTTCAGATAATTATGTAGGAAAATCAAATGGTGTGTGGTCACTAATTTATCTGACTGGGGATTACCTATCAAGACATTTTCAAACATCACGTGCGTAACGAGACAACTGAAGGTTTTGAATTTTTTTGCTAAGTAAAGTGCGAAAGTCATTTTAAATAGATGAAATTGTTCTTCACGCGTCATCTTCTTACGATCGTAAACAATCACAGAATCAGAAAATATTCAAAGATTTCATTAGCTTGATAAAATTCGCAATGAAATACCAATAAGTTTTTTAGGATATGTGCCAGATTCATAAATCACTTTTTAATTATTTATCCGAAATTTTGGAGATGCTGCGGCATCTTATGCGGGGGGTGGGTGGGGATCTCTCAGCATGTGGGTGCATCTCCATCGGGAGACGACTTCATCTCCAGAAGGAGATGCGGCGTCTACAAAATTTTGGGTATGTGACACTACTCATAGATTCTTTTACTGTGATGTGCTCAATCTACACTTAAATGATCACTTTTTACTGATTTCTATTCACATTTTTCCACGGCTCACGTTTCTAAATAAATAATGGTGTATTGAACTATATCGAACTAGAAATAAAAACATCGATAGTGACATGGCGTTCATTTTTCATTAATTATTTCTACATGTGGATTCGTATAAAATCAGATTTAAGTTTAATTTTTGATAAACAACGAGTATACTTCAATTTATACAGTTTGTTAATCTTGATGAAGATAAAGTAAAACATCTGACGATATTTCATGAAGAAGGAATCATTCAACGATTGAATTGTATTTTTCAGTTTCAAACTCAAATTAAATATTTTTATAAAATATTTTAATTTCAATGTAAAAATAAAACAAGTGAAAAATTCATGTATCAGGCATCATGGTTTGTGATTCTCATCAACATCACTCCTATTATAATAACCAACCTATCACATACATATTTCTACAAGACATGACACACTGAGTTTCTATTAACACTAAGCTATAATTTGATGGAAATTTAATTTTCATTGATAAGTTAAAACAGAAAGAACAGATGTGTCGCAGGAAGAAATTACCATTCATTTTTTTAGCATACATCTCGAAAAAATGTTAACTGACAATATCATTTAACCTCATCAATTGAATGTTTGTTCTCGCGTGAGCAATGCCTATATATAAAACATCGACAGATTCCAATTTTTTATTTTGCGATATCACTAATTTGAAAAATTTCTGAAATTTTGACAAGTATTTTTATCGAGATCTATCTCTCTATAAAGTTGCCTGACTCAAACTTTGTTGATTCGCTATTGAGATACTGAATTTTCATGTTATTTTATTTAAGAAAAATGAATACAACTAGATTTGAGTATCAACCAAAGAAAAGCAATTGTATAATTGGCTCTAATAACTGATGAAAATCTTACTCTGATTATTAAAATCAAAATGAAACTTGAAAGTTTGGTCAGTATAAGAAGTCTAAAAGAGCGGAGCACCTCAGCTTTGCAGGAAATGCTTTCGTCTTATGTATCTTGTTATGATAGTGCTTTTATTGCACTCAGTTTATATTAGTAGCATCAACGTTTAATGTGAAAACTAAATACTCAAATTAATAGACAACTTCAAGCGTTTTCAGATTATTTACTTCTTTTTCTCTAATAGGTTTTTATATTGATGGTATCTTTAAAAAAATGTAAACACTACATATATCTGTTTTTCTGTAAGTATAAAATGCATGAATTCACTTCGTGGGGACTAATTTGTAATGCAATTCGTGATTGAGGTTTTTGTTTGTCGAAGTAGAAAGAAATTATGTTTGCCAAATAAAACTCCTAAAATGCCCAATGATTAGTTTGGTCTAATGCCTCGTGGCACACTAATTATTTATAAAGTATTGTGAATATCAACACTTTGTTGAAAAGAATAAACCGCTCTATTTCTACTCATCAATTACATATGGCTGAACGTCTCAGTATAAAGCAATGAATGCGATACTAGTCGAGATATACTCTTCTATGTTGAAAAAATCATTAGATTTCTTCAAAAGACTATTTTTCCAGAAAAAAACACATGGAAAGACCCTTATAATTAAGTACTATCAAGGAATACAATCGAAGAATAATGTTTATTTTCTCCATTTTCCAATCAATGAATAATACATCAAGTAGTATTAGTAGTGCTCTTATGGCTGCACCGTATCAACTAAATATTTGGTTTGGCATATTTCTTTGGGTAACAGGTAATCTTGGTTCTATAGGGAATATGCTAGTATTTAGATCACCAACATTTCGCAATCTCTTTTCAGAAGCAATCTGTGATTTTTTTTACTTTTATTTTGTGTTGACTACACGAATACTTCAAAAAGGATTTCAAGTTCATGTTACTACACGTTATGATGTCATTTGTAAACTCCGACAATTTTTTTCTGTATGGGGAAATCAAGTATCGTTTACTTTGTTTTCGTTGGCAACAATTGATCGACTTTTATCTACACAACGTGCGAATAGTAAGTGGAATTAAATATAAATTTAGCTGATACTGGACTACTTTCTTACTGGATATTTTGCATTAAATTTAAAAACTAGAAGGTTAACACTAAATTGTTTTCTATATCTTCAACAAAAATTAATGAAGTTAAATAACAAAATCTTAGAAACAGATATAAAGGAGAAGAAAAAGTAAAATATTTTCATTATTTTATACTTATTAATTTAAAATGTTTTTACTTTGATTCAATATTTGTAAATAAAAACTGCTCTGCAACAAATAAGTATCGTTTTCTGCCATTAATTTAAGAGAAAAAAGCTTACTTGGAATGTATTCATTACTTTACAGATTAATTTACGCTTATGGCTTTAGTTTTTAAAATTTTGATTGAGTATACATGAATCATACTCGCATTATCTCTTATTCTCAGATTTAAGAGACGCTCAAGAAAACGTAGTCGCTTTCTCTCCAATAACCAATGCTTATCTATGTTCATATTTGCATCATTTATTTCAGTAATTAAAGGAATAATTATTTTCACTGTTTTTTTTCCATAGCGAACCAAACAAATAAACCTCTTGCTTTGTTGTTGAAAGTTGTAAATCTTGTTGATAATGATTTATTGTGTGAGGAATCAATGCTATGATACATTTTTTCTCATTTAAGTATATCGCCAATGGAGCAATCGTATACCACTAGCTTACAAAGTATGCATGGTGTGTGCACTTATTTGGCTACTGTTTATTGGTCATCGACTTATTCTGTATAAGGCTAAAAATGGAAAATGTGCTCCTCGATCAGAATTTTATGCTTATTTTGATAATTACATTGAAATAGCTTTGACAGCAATATGTCCACCCGTAGTGATGATTGTACGTGCTTATTAATTAATAAGAAGTGTACGAAACGTTATTCAAAGGCGAATTATTCCTGGTAATAATGCACAAGCAGCAATCGTTGCCTATCGATCAATTCTTGAACAAATGAATTCTCGATTGGCATCAATGCTTATTTTACAATCAATCATTGCTATAATAACATATATATCATTTGCAGCCGAACTTATCTATACAAATGTGACTCAAAATTTGCAAAAATCAGCTTTACAAAATGCACAAGAAAAAGTTTTTGTCGAACTAACTCATATATTTTCTTACATATTTTTTGCCGCCAGTTTCTACGCATCAATTATTTCAAATGGTGATTTTCGTCAGCAAATTAAAAACTTCTTTAAAAAATCATAACATGATGACTATACATTTCGTTTAAATTCTGTTCTTCATACTAAAGCAATTATTAATGTTCAATCTAAATAAGAGTATTATTCCTCTAAACATTTCTGGGAAAATCAGTAACTACTTCATTTTTACTTGTGTGTGTGAAGCCAAGCCATTTACACCAAATGCCAACAGTTTATTTGTACTCTTCAAGTAATTAGTTGTTGGTGATAGATACACTTTCAGACGAGCAGGTAGCAACATATATACTGTATCTGAACGTGAATATCATTAAATAATAAAACAAAGAGATATTGTAGTGTGTACTCTATGGTTAAATCGGTTACATAAAATTGCGTTGATAATACAGTAAAGAAAACTTTCACAACTCGATGTTGTGGTTTTTCTTTACATTCTCATCATTTTTTTAACCATCTAAAAAGCTTCGGTTTCATGATCATCGTAATTTTTTCCGCTTCTAATTAAATTGACATAGGCACAGGCACCAATGTCAGATGAAAAATTCGACAGTACTTTATTTTCAGTCGATGGATTAAGCCATATATATGGAAAATAACACCAAACTAAACCTGATGCATATCAAAATTACGCGATTAATGATGACCGAAAATGAGGTGTTTTTCACGTAAATGATCTTCTCGGTGACAACAGTCATCAGTCTCAATACAACATAGTTGCTTTGATTCAGCTGTATAGATTTGTATCCTTCCAGATAGAATAGGAGAGTTCAGTTGGGTAAAAATAAAAAACAATGACGTGTTTTTCATTTTGATTTTCGATGAATATGAGTTGAAAGTATTCTGCCATGACGCAGTATTTTATTTCAAATGTTTATTTTTCAGCAAAAACGATCAATAGGTATAATATTTTATTTTTAAGTGTTTCAAGTATCATCAAGTTCAATCAAATAATTTCTATTATTGTCGTTCAAGTCTTTAAAAGCATTTTTTCCTTTGAGTGCTGGTATTGTATGATTCTAACGTTGATTTAAATGAGTGGATAACACAATATATTGGTTCAAAGTTCACTTTTATAATATATTATACCAAGAGATACAAATGGAAATAGACTTCTTTTTATTAATCAAAAGAACAGAATGATTCTTTCTGAAAATTTAGATGAGTTCTTGCATTTAACGGTCTAGTTGAAATCGTTTAAATAATAGTTTAACATAAAACTAGAAACTTCTTGTTAATTTCTTCAATGTTCGATTGATTAACAGTTAGAATGACGAAATTTCACTTTAAAATGCAGAACAACACAATACCCTTCTTCTATAATATGTTTGTTGGCGATAACTTCGAAGCGAAAAATTGTATTACTTCTTTAAAGCTAAGTTTAAGCATTGCAAGAAGAATATTTTTTCTATAAATCATTAATAAGGACAAAATAAGGCTATTGTATTTGTTTCGGCTCAATGAAAATAATCAAGACAACGTTCCCTCATGTTCTTCTCGAAATCATATCTAAGAAGGTAGCAAATTGTAAAATTGGCGGGGAACATTTAATTTGTGAGCCTTCATTTAAGCAGGTCGTCCAATAATTATTATTTGATGATTTATAAAAGACTATTTCTTTAGCTCTGTGTTGAAATAGTTCGTTGAATAGATCTGTAATTAATTAACCAATATTAATTATATGAATAATCCTATTAAAAATTTGCCAGCCATAGGAATCAAATTTTGCTAAGGAAACAAAGTCTTTTAAACTTTCTAAAATATTCTAGAACAGTAGACAAAATATACTTACAATTCTTTTATTTACTCAAAGACACACCAATGCATTACTAGAACTCAAGGTCAGAAGTAACGTTGCTTCCATTTTCTCTTTCCTGTCTCTTCTATTACTTCTTCGAAGCGATGAGAACACGATTGAAAATTGCATTTACTTTTCACGACCATAGTAAGAATGCAGCATGCAGGTAAGGAAAGAACAATGTCATGAAACACGCGTCTTATTTCATTCAATATGGAACAAAGAACTTTTTTTCTTTGTAATTTTACCAGAGTAGTTAGTGTACAGAAAGACTTATTTAGAAAAAAATCAGCGATTCTTCTTATATTAATTTAATTGAAAAGAAGTTTCAATCAGTTATACGAAAAGGCGTGTTTAAAAAATTTTAACGATTGAAAAAATGTATTTCTGTGTGATGATCAAATCAATTCAATGTACATCGTTACAATCATGCACTAGTCAATTGAAAGGCAACCAGCCGGATAGCATCGAATTTCTTCTTACTATAAGAGCACCTGTGCTAGATGGGCGTGCATTTAATAAACACTTTTCCGATTATCTTTTAAAAATATTCATTTTCGCTTTTTTCAAGATACCGATGTAATTTACCTTTTTCTATTATTTCAAATATTTTGCGTAAGAGTATAAAAACTCTATGTGACAGGTAGAAATTAAACAAAAATCAAAGAAATTTTCTCGAATTTTACTTTCTTACTTGATCTATTTAGAGAACTCATGCTGCGAAGAAATACTGTCTATTTCATTGTTTCAGCATCTTCCATTCTGGCGTGTATTCAATGTATTTCTTTTCTTTCTCTTTCCTAATGAATCGTACGTAAAAGTGTTTATTGGAGTAAGAACTTTTTTTTCTCGTTGGTAAAACGGAGACTGGAAATGAAGAAACACATGAAGCGATGAAAGAAACAGAACGAAACCCAACGTGAAGAACGATAAGTTGAGAACAAACAAAAGAGTAACACAAAACATCATTCAAAAAAGATATTTTCATATTTATAATGTATAATGAGTCACATAGGTAGTTAATGCCTACAACATACATGCGTAGAGGTGATTGAATTCGAATGTCCAGCTAAATTTGATAGAAATTCAGAAAAATTACGTGTGAATAAGCATCTATTTTCTCCAAATAGTCTGTTATTAAGCTTTCTTTCAGCCATTATATATATATCAGAAATGTGATTGCCAATCATAAAAAATGCAACTATGACATATAAACTAAATATGTTGTCATTTATTTTCCTAGTAACTCAAAAACAATCCACAGGTCTTCATGGTCTACATCTTGTTAATTCAAATGCCTGGGAAAGGCATCACGAACTTCCGATAAATGGCGTTCGATCTGAACGTCAAATGCATCGAATTATGTCAAAATTAGCCAAATCGAAACAATCAGCTGATCGTATTCAACATCTTGTGTATGAAATAAAAAACTCTCCACAAGCATTCAGCGGAGATCAAGTTATAGCTTTGGCATCTTATTTTTCTGGGACTGAAATTGTGCTAACTTTACACCTGCTTGACAATCATTTGTTCGGTTTACGATGTGATCAGGCAGTAAAGTTACTACAAATGATTCCGGCTTCAGAAGAACGCCTCGAAGCTTTGCAAGTGATTGACGAAAATCTTCTTGATCCAGTGAATTGTTTTCAATTGAGACATTTATTTCCTTCTAATCTACTGCCACAAGTTGATAAAATTCTCGCTGAAGCTCGTGGTCAATCACATATTTATGGGTCAATCAATAGTTCTCGCGTTATTTTTCTCATTGATACAAGCAGTTCAATGAGCACAGAATTTGAGACACGCTGTGGGCAAAATTTCAATCGCCTACAATATATTGTTCATGATCTTCACAAACTTCTTCATCATCGTGTGCAATCAAATTTTAAATTTAATATTATTCATTTCGATACTCATGTTCATCGGTGGAAAGAGTGTTTAACTCTAGCAACACCGCATCATCTAAAACAAGCTGAACACTATCTTGATCATTTAGAAGCTAAGGGACAAACTAATACACATGATGCACTACAAGAGGCACTTTGTGACGAAGAAGCCGACACAATCTACTTACTTTCCGGTGGCGAACCATCTATGGATATGAATACAATTTTGTCGGATTTACAAGTATGGCTACAACAACGACAACATCCATGTGTAATACATACAATCGCATTTTTAATGGGACATACATCAGATGATCCAAAACCAAGAAAATTCATGGCAAAAATTGCAGCAATGACAGGTGGAGTATTCAGATGTATGGATCCTTGTACCCCAATACATCAAGAATTTGGCGATGACTTGTACAGTGATGATCCTGATTTTAATGATGATGAATTTCTGGATTTCTTCCAAGAAAGACTCAAAGATGTTCCTGCGCAATTATTAGGAAATGTTGGTCTTCAAACTCAACAACAAAATTCATCGTTAGCAGCGACTGTAAAACATACTGCTCATTAAAAGTTATTCTTATGCACTGTTTTACAAAATTCACTTCATACAATGCTCTACTGTTAACATTAGAAACCGAAAATATCTCTATAAAAAAAGACAGAATTTTCTAAATCCATTAACTAATTATTGCACATATCAATTCAGATTTCGCTCTTGTGTACAAGAATCTATTGCTATATTGAATACGTTCACTATGAGTATGTTCACGAATGCTTTCATGTTTGTGTAAATATTTAGCAAACGATCAAAAAAAGAGATATCCCATCATGAATTATATCAAAATAATAACTCTTAATAAATTCATGGCTATCCATAATATGTAGAAGTCAAAAATACAAATGTTTTCAATTGTTAATTTTGCTTGTTCTAGAAATTTCGTTAGCAACTCCTATCGTCGGTGGCATTTGTTTTTTGAATGAGTTTTTATTAGGCCTACCACCCGTTATGCTATTGTTCCACAACTAGCAATGATTCCTATGGAATATGATAACCATTGTAAATTTCTTGATTTAATCCACTTCGATTAGAAATTATTCTTGGCCTACGTTCTCAATTCAGAGTTGATTGGAGAAGCGTGCTAAATAAAAAGGATTTATTTTTTCATCATCCATAAATGTAACACGTATAAACTGAAAAGTTTATATAATTGATATTGAACTTACTCTTATACCATCAGAGTAGTAGTTAGTTTGATCATTCAAATATAGTGAATCTAAATCGCATTGCCAAAGAAGATAGTCGATTGACGACATGTAAAAAACATCGATAATAAAAGATATTAATTCTTTGATATATTCTTGTTATTCACACACTAAAAATGATTTATTTTCGTGGGACTATGATAGTATCTTTCATGAAAAAAAAGAATACTAGTATTACGAGCAGACGCTAAAGTGAACTTGCGATTATGCAAAAGTGAATATCCTACAAAATTGTAATTAGTCAGATTTTAGTCAAATCAAACTTATCAGTAATATAATTTTTTCTAGTGATTTAACGATAGATTAATATCTATCGCGAAAACATTATCATTTGAGCCAATTTTGATCATTAGTAATTGAGTAATTAATGTCTAAAACTGCTCTATGCAAGAGTTCTGATCTCAAACTTTTCGGCGGGCAATAAACTTTGGCCACAAGTTAGGAACCCTCATTTCTTTCATATACGTCTATATTTTATTTTGTTGTTATTAGAAAAGAAGAGGGTAATAAGAGTAGCCGCATTGGTACATTCTTTTTATGCCATAGAGTCTAATGCAAAGCGAATGAAACTTGTTTTATTCTGCAGACAATAAGTGGTTCCGTTGGTACTTAGTAATTACTGAGAAGATGCATTTGCCAATGGAGAATCTCTGTGCTGCATGGCTTGTAAAAGTACTGATGCATAGACCGCTACTGATATAAAATGCGTAACAACAACAATGAAGGTTGTTCTGTATTGTCCGTTGTTTGGTAATTCAAAGCTGAGTGATTAATCAAATATTGATCGAATATAATGTGAATTGAAAGAGAAATTTGAGCTCCAGTTGTACCTTCATTTTCTTTTCATTCTCAAGGAACGTATGATTATTGATCAACCGACCAAACTTTAAATAGAATGATCCGCAGATGCATCGCGTCAACGTCGGATTATTTTCTTGTACGCTTCTATATTACTGATAGCGAGAGAGTATATCTCCTCGTTTTTAGATTGTAGTAACTTTTTATTATGATTAATGTAAACCATTCATTAGAAACAATGTAGTTAAAAAATCATAATAACTGGTAAGTTGTCATTCATATAACTAGACAGGGATACTCTCTCTTTATCAAACCTGTCTTCAGGTGAAGAATCTTTAGGATTTGGTATCGGTTTACCGATCCTATAAAGGAGTAGGCTGTGATTTACTATGAAAACGCCGAAAGAAAAAAATGTCCAAAGAAAAAACGTCGAAAAAATACCGAAAAAAATAAACGCCGCAAGAAAAAAATGTCGAACAAAAAAACATCGAAATAAAAAAAAATCGAATGAAAAAATGTCGAATCAATGAAAAATGATATTAGATGTAAAGTATAAAATATTTATTTTATTTCATAGAAAAAAAAGGGCAATACGTTCATTGATCAGGACAAATGGTTATACAAAAATGAATCGTTTGGTATGTCCATATGTACGCCTTTAGAATAAAGTTTATGCTTTTTTCGCGATGGACATTGATAAGTTATCGAACAATTGCTCAACGTCAACATCGTTGTTGTTGTAAAATCCCATACGATTATCCATACGTTTTTTAAATATCCTTAGTACAACTTGAAATTGGTCGACGTTTAGCATCTGAACTGATTTGCACATATAAGTGTTGAAATCAGCTTTCTTCACTAGCAATGCATCTGATGGATGGGTTCAGTATAGGTGCTAAACGTCGATCAAGTTCAAGTTTTACTAATTGTATTCAAAAACGTATCGATACTCTTATGGCACGTTACAACAACAACGACGTCGACATTGAGCAATTGTTGGATGACTTATCATTGCTCATCGCGAAAACAACTTGAACTTTATATTAATCACGTACGTCTGGACCTAGAAATGTGCAGTTTTGTATTATGAAATAATGGAAGATACAGAATAACCTTCGTTATGGTATTTCATTACTGCATATTTGTTTATGTATATGTTGTAAGATATTTGCAAGTAATATAGTGAATAGTGTGTGCACGATTCTATGTGATAAATCCATCTAACCGATCAACCAAAGTAATAGCTAACTTCATGATAGAATTATAAATTTAAACCAAATTGATTTTATTCGTAATAAGAGACACGCTTATCATCTGCTGGGCTACGTAGCGAAATGAAAGAATCAGCGCGTACCCTGTCCTATCTAGGGGTGTTACTTTATCTTTATTGATCTTTATATTAAAGAATAAACATAAATAAAATCTTTATATTTATAAAATAAAGATAAATATTATCTTTATTTGTAAAAATAAAGTTAAAAGAAAGAAAAAAGAAAGATTCTCTGCAGTCACTGGTAAATAGATAAACAATTTCTATAACAACAGAAAAAATTGATTGCAGTTCTTGCTTATCATCATTGACATTGCAGTATGAAATAATACTAGCAAATGATGGTGAGGCATAAATCATTTATGGAAAAAAATTTAGTGTTCAAAATTTTTTAGCCTTGAACTTCTTAATTTTCTTCGAGCTATCGGGAGAAGACCAAATTTTGGTTTTTCTAAGGAAAAATATTTTTCTTTATTCTTTATTTTATCGTTATTAAATAAAGATAAAGCTACTTTTTCCTTTTCTTTATTTTATAAAGATAAAGATTATCGTTATCTTTACTTTATAAATATAAAGATTTTATTTATCTTTATTTTTTAAAGAATAAAGATTTCATAAATTCTTCATTCTTTATTTTATAAATATGAAGATTTCATTTATCTTTATTTTTTAAATATAAAGGTTTTATTTATCTTTAAAAAGTAAAATAAATATAAAGTAACACCCCTAGTCCTATCCCAAGGTCTGCTGTTAGCATGTTGTATGTATTTTGAACTATTACATACTACTAACTTCCAGTTTTACATCAATGAAAGTAATTTCGAGTTTAGTAGATGAGATATTGATAGGCAGTCAACCTTCAAAAATAGATTTTATAATTATGCAAACCTGTATTTACTAACAACAATCGTGAACTTCAACTGAGCTGGGTTGCTTTCAATTCTCATGATTTTAATGAAAAATCATTTTCCATATGAGTTCCAACTGAATGAGAATCAGTTTAGATATTCTTCTAAAATGTAGTTAATCAATTAAACTTTTTAGAAACAGTTTATTCATGTCTTCGTCGCTGATGAATCTAAAAATTGTCAAAGTAATAAACTTTCACTAAGTGACCGTAAATTGTAGATGGTCGAAAGAAAATAAGTGAAAGTTAAATGTTCTTAATGGTAGATGTTAAAACTCGTCATTGTAACAATTTTATAATATATAGGGATACGCTCGTCTTGCAATAAAACAGAAAAGATACAGAGATAAATGTATGGTTTATTGCATCATTCTAAAGGACGATTTTATTTTGTATGCATAACGTTGTCGAATTAAGTGACCATAACTATCACCATGCTTGGTATAGCTAGATGTTCATTGCCTTATATCATTCTAGTTATGTCTATTTTTTATAAAGAACACGAACTTACACACGAGAGAGAGAAATGTAAAGGTTACAAAAGGAAAGAGAAGTAAAAGAGTGAATAATATATTGTACGAAAAAGTCGTTATTATTAGTCATCAGATCAACATTTCAAAACATATAGTGGTTGAGCGGTATCAGATCATTCACTGAACTGATAAACATTGAATATAGATCGCAGCGTGATCACTATCATAACTAGTCTGCTCAAAAATTACAGTTATCAACTGCTGCAATATATATATACCTTGAAACACACTTAGATCAAATATTCTCAAGCAACTATTTCGACGAATACAGTAGGGAAAAAGTCGAAATAAATCTTTTGAAAGCTATTTGTGCAGTAGGAGCGAGCTCTATTATAGATAAGATGCTCGATTTTCTTCAAGATTAATTTATATTAATGCATAATACTGTTGATCTCTAGAGTGAAGAAAAACTCAATTATATGATTTTACTCTAATCTCTGAAACACCTATCAAATCAACAAGATTTTGCTCTATTAAAATAAGTACTCTTGAGATTTGAATGAAGACTATTTTTTTTTAAGAATGAAGGTTTAAGATTTAAGAGAAAATAAGCATAATACTCCAATAATTTCTCTCAATCTATTGTTATTAATCAACCTCTCATTTATGTTAGATCCACACTCTCGTCTTCATAGCGTTTTAACATCTTATCATGAAATTTACGTTTCTTACAGGACAACAGGTCTCTAACAATCTGATCATCTACTAAGGCTTTATTGGAGTAATTTTTAATTAAAAAAAAATAAAAGTACGTACAAATACTGTTATTTTATATTGCAAACAATTTTCGATAAAAACTACGCATTTTTTAGGTAACATATTGAAATAGAATCGATTGTCAAATATTATTTTTTTTAATAACTAGATACATTTATATCGACTTTTGCTTTTTTCCCCCTTGAAAGACATGCTAATTGATTTCTATTTCGCTGCTATCATCTGAGAACAGAACTTCGTGTCGCCAAATCCTCTAGTCATGTCTCTCATAAACATAAACGACAGTGCTATGTCGTTATCACTAGAACGAAAGAAGTATGAGTACAAAACTATAGAAATTTATCAGAAGTATCTAAATCTTTATTTTGCAGTAGATGAACTTTTCTTTGCTAAATTAAAAGATAGTTATTTACAATAGTTCTTATTCTTCAAATTTACTTTATTATTATAACTTAAATATATGCATATGAATGATTCGAACCAATTGTACTGTTACATCTCAGTAGCCAAACTAATTAAGCAAAGATTTATGTCATTAAGAAAATGAAAATAACTTAAACATCTAATAAGAGTAGCTATTTAGTACTCAAATAATTTACTGAGCAGTTACGAAATTTGCTTATTGATTAAAATATAGTTCTCTCTCTACGTCTCTGCATACATCAAATTCATTATTGTCTCCTATTGAAATTCATGATCTCTTCGTAGTTACATAAACTTATGAGGATAAATACAAACACACGATTTATAGGATAATTAATGTGCACTATGCCTCACCAAACTCCAGTGAAAGAAGAAGACTCACTCGTCTTATCACTTGAGCATTGATCAAGTAGTATATTCGCTTAGTTTTAGTAGAACATGAAGTTCAACAGTATGAATTATTTGGCTGTTCTGTTGTGCATTAGACTATTTTCTTTGTCATACATTTCTGTTTGAATCATAAATTTACTAAGTTTAGATTATTCATATTTTGTGCAATACATAAACACATTGTTCACCGCTATCAATAAATGGCCATTGATCACATTGATGAGAATAAAATCGACAGGAACGGATTGACACGTGAAGATTCAACATCACAGAATGAGAGCAATGGACATATTTCTCATTCATTGACTTTTCGAGCTATGATTCTTTTTCAAGTTCTCGCCTATGGATCATATTCAATATTGGTACATCTTTGTGAACACGATGGTCATATTATGTTTTCATCTGCAACAATGAATCTAGTTCTTGAGCTTGTGAAACTTGTATTTTCTCTCATAGCTCTCGGGTGTGCCTCGAAACAATCATCTTCAATACTTTTCGCAAAAGGATCTTTCGTTCGACATTCGTTACCCTATGCAGTGCCTGGTCTGCTCTATTTTATCAATAATAATCTCGCAGTTCATATGCAACTTCAGATGGATCCGGCCTCTTATCAAATTTTGTCAAACTTCAAGATCGCTACAACAGCTATTCTCTATCGTATTATTATCAAACATAAACTTTCCCAACAGCAATGGTGCGCCGTAGCACTTCTTTTTTCCGGTGGTCTACTCTACAGCTTAGGTATTTTTATTATTATTATTATTATTAACGAATTATATCATTGACAGAATCCTGAGAGTAATCAATCACTGTTTAGAGAATATGTTTACCATTAGTAGCCTCGGTGTTGATGAGAATGTTTATTTAAGCTTTAAAAGAAAAAGTGAAAAATTGAATTATTTTTCTAATTCTCACTGGGATCCGTACTTACCTATATCTACATCTGCATATATATTTCACAGATACAACAAAACATGCAGTTTCAGTCAAATTTCAAACCCATATTGCAAGTGCATGTTTTGATCTCTTTGAATAATATGGTAAATATTAGATGTTGAAAGAGATGAGAGATGATGCTTTCGTTTAATTTGTTGATTAGCATTTTTTCTAAACCCGGAAATCTATTGCAACGTTTTATCTACGGTGAGTTTTGCTCTTGTCACATTTTGTTTATGCAACATTTTATTGTATAAGTGACTCTTGAACTATTTCCATAAAAATTCAATTATTATTTAGTATAGTCAAATCATGAATGATAACCACGTATCTTTATATTTCATAGTTGATTCCATCATAGCACAAGAGACATACCAGAATGGGCATTGCATACGATTCTAAAGTTTTAATCTCATTCTATTTGATTTAAGATGAATATTCATATCCGATACATAGCAATCTAATTGTTTTCTCCTCCTATAAGGACTGTTTGACTATTTCATACACTGCAGCATGTTGATCTCTATAGATTCGTTATGAGCCAATAGCCTAATTGATATATATATGATGCTCGATTAAAATGACTTCATTGACTGCTCCCTTTGTATTTCGACAAGAACTGTGTTTCAAGCTATTTTTATCTCAAAAGAATCTTCTTATTCATCGATCAAATACTAAAAGTGTCCTTCAGTTATTGTACCACTGTCTGTGTTTACTCTGATTCGTAGCATATTTATTGTTTTAGTCACAAATGTACTTTTATATTATACATCAGTTATGTTGACTTCTGGTGTGTCATATGCATCACAGTATTATGACGAAAATACCGAATATAAATATAATGAAATAGAGATTTTGCGAAATATTGACACGTCTTGAGTGTAGATGCAATTTTTGCACACTTGATAGAGGTTGATATGTTGTAGGATATTGAATGTTCCCAAAATCATATGCATAACCACTAAAAAACAGCTAAAAAATTACATCATTTCAATTTTTATTTAAAAAAAATACTAGTCTGACAAAACCATGGTAAGAGTTTTTGTTGCTCCAATTCATATTATTGAGTATCAGCAAAACGGTCACATATACTTTTAAAATCCAACTCATAGTGTCCAAAAACTTATATTTAAACAGTTCAAAAGTCGATTACATTCATATGTTAATTATTTGTTCAAGGTAATGTGACAAACTCGGCAGTCCTACCAACGAATAATACGACAAAAATGTTTATTCGTCCATTGGGACTTCCAATGATTCTTCTGTATTGCACTTTGAGTGGTTTAGCCGGTGTCTATAATGAATGGATTTTGAAGAAGCATTACACACAATCTCTTCACCTGCAAAACATCTACCTTTACACATATGGATCTTTATTAAATTTAGTTCCAGCCGTTGGAATACCTTTGCTAGTCTCTGGATCATTTCATCAACTAAATTTGTTTGAAGGTTTCTCTATCTATACATGGCTCGTTATTGTAACGCAAGCGCTTAATGGTCTATTCATGTCAGTAGTTATTAAGCACACTTCTAACATAATTCGTTTGTTCGTTATTTCTTTTTCATTGATCGTAACGACGATTTTATCCGTTTTAATTTTCCATATTACATTGAATTTCTACTTTTTTATTTCGTTTGTAGCAATGACTGGTGCACTTTGGCTTTACTATTCTAAATGACATCAATATCGAAGAGAACTTTTCCATGTGTAGATTTTTCAATTCTTTTCGTTTAATCTTTTTTTCTCAATAATAATGAAGACGACTCTGGAGTAGCATGACACAGAAACATGCGTTCATACGCATAAAATCTATTAAGAATTACTCGTTATTTCCCACGTAGTCGATATAAAATACTAGTTCATCAGGTTCATGAATTGTGTTCAATTCAATTCGAAAAACACGAAATGATTCTATCAACCATTAACTACGGTGTTGCCAGATAGATTCTTGCAACAAACTGAAAGAAATCCACGAATTCTTTCATAGGTCCACGTAAAGTTGAAGTTATCCTGGTCTAACTTTCCTTTATAAATATATGTGATATTTATCCTTTAGATCCCTTTGACCCCTTTAGATCCCTTTGATCCCTTTGACCCCTTTGATTCCTTTGATCCCTTTAGATCACTTCAGTCCTATTAGCATCTTGAATCCCATTTTAGATCTACAGTGATCAAAATGGACTAAAAGAAGTAAAGGTAGTAGAAGAACTAAAGAGAGGAAAAGGACTAAAGGGATTGAAGGAACGAAAGGGACCAAAAGGACTAAAGGGACTAAGGGGAGTCATGGGAGTAATATGGCTAAAGGGATTAAAAGGATCTAAAGGATAATGAAGGTTTATATTTATAAAGAAAAGTTAGACCAGGATAACTTTAAGCTATTATGGATCCCTCATAGAAAACGCTTTCCAGTACAGCCCCGCTCGAGCTAAAATGTGGAACTCGCATATTACAAATCACTTAGAAACTGACCACATAGAGCGTTTTATTATTTTTTTCAATAGAATGAGCTTCATAGTTGTTTTAGGAATACGACGGAGAAAAAAATAAAAATATCTGAATAAGTGAAAAAGCAGAATTTCTTTCATTTAAATAACTTTTAAATACTTCTGAAATTTTCTAACTAGAAAAAAGCCTACAGATAAGTTACAGTTCGACAAAGTTTTATTTTTTGAAGCAGTTGGTATACAAGAATATTGATAACAAATATGAAAGATTTCTTTTTTTGATTTTGAAGTAAAATAAATATGAAATTAATTTTACACTTACACATTGTTTTACTATTAGTAATTTGAATATATTACTTCCGTAATTTTTTTGTTCCCTCGCTTGTAGTATGATAAAATTTAAAATAATTTTTCACTAAACGAATTTTTATTCTCGTTTATATTTTATTTCAATTAATATCTCTCTTATAATGATTGAATTATATCTTTATCTTTATACAGAAACACAGAAAATCATCTTCGAAAACAAAGTTTAATTTTGCAAGATATAAAAGAATATGCTGGACCTATGTTTGGTTTTGGAAGATTATTTTTAAAAATTCATCAGCTAGTTTGAAAATATATTCAAGATTCTTCTTCTAATGATGATTAACAATTTACTGATGTGATTATAATTTAGTTAAATATTTCTGAAACAATTAAATGCTATTTCGATTTCAAGTTGATTGAAATGATTATGATAGTAACGATAGTTTTTGTTTCCTGCTGAATTATAAATCCTAATATATAGCTTTTCTACAATTTAGAATTCAAGAACTCTTAGCAAATCTAAAAAATCTCAAGCAGAAAAATATCGTCCAGGCAAAAATTATTTTCTTTTCATTCTGTTTATGTAAGACGATCAAAGATATGCACGTACATATACATGTTTCCGTTCTAAACATATATCGAGATATTCTATACCTATGACTAGAAATAAAGAAAAGACGCCTTCCCAAGTGAATGAATCCTATATCGGATCCAACCAGCCTATAAAATCCGATGGGATTCCAGCAGTGTTCAGACTTCCAAAAAAGGAAATTTTGGAAGTTTTGGAAATTTCAAGTACTTGTGTTCTAAATTGTTTGGTACTTCCCAAAATTATACAATTTCCGAAATTTCTGAAATTTCCAAAATTCTGTACAAAGCGAAATTTCCGAAATTACAGAAGATTCCGAAATTTCTAAACTTTCAAATATTTTCAAAAAATTTTCATTTGCTTTGCTATGTAGTAATCGAGTTGATGGAAGCTTCGGAAATTTCTGTAATTTCCTTTTTTCGGAAATCTGACCATACCTCAACATTAGAGGGTAGTCCGAGTCGAGCGTTGGATCCGTCACAATCCGATAGTAGGATCCGATGATTATACAATGTTATTCCGACACTAGGGATCCGAGTGTCATTCCACAACCCGGAATCCGATAGGAATTCGCTGGTTTATTGGAAATTTATATAAAATCCGATCGGAATCCTATAGGATCTTATTGGGTCCGATTGTAGGAATGATCCTCCTGGGTTTCAATATTGTTTTCTATCATTTCTATAAATAAATGTAAATTCTTTGCTGCGCGGCCCGGCGNAAATTCTTTGGACCCGTTTTAACTCGTTTTTTCTCTGCCATATTACTATCTATACCACTATTTCCATTCTATCGAAGAAAAGAAAATTTGGACTGAATAATATTTCTTCACAAGGCCTTGATAAAACAGCGCAACATGTAAGAAATAAAAAATACACACCATCCTTAACTTGAACCAAACGAAAGCTTTTTTAATAGCACTCGTAGCCATAATATATGCATAAAAAAGTCTGCAAATGAAGGAATGTTCTTATTCTATAAAACTATTACTGATTGATTCTTTTCACGTTCAAAATAAGCCATCTCTATTAAAAATATACATTTCTCCTTGAGAAATTCCCTTATAGTAAAAAAAAAGTTTTTTTTCTGTAGATAACTTATCGATTTCTCGTTAACTGTTATTAACTTCTGTTGGAATGATGGGATATGGCTCATATATTTCTGCTTGAAAATAAACCATCTCTACTGTAAAATATCCATTTCTGCTTGAGAAATTCTCTTATAGTGGAAAAAATTNCACTAATAAAATTTTATTTCTATGAATCACTCTCTCATAACATTTATAGAATAATGAACAATTCCAATCTCAACTAGATTCTAAACTCTACTGCCACATATATATATATATCTGATTAAGACGCATATCCCGAACTTCTATTGATGAAACTGTGACAATATGAATAGGTTACACACAGATGATTCAAAACAACAATTACTGGACCTTTCTTTTGCCACGCGAATTATTTCAGTCATTTGCAGACAGAGTTGTATAACTTTGAATATTTAAAATCAAATATTTTTATTCTATAATTTTATACTCAACTGACATCTTGACATTCATAATTCGTGCTTCAATAGTGTACACGTCATCTGAAATTTGTCTTGGTAAAATCTTATGCCCATTGGATGATCTTCTTTTTCAATTCAATAACTGAATACTAATTAATGATTATGAGTTTAGTTAAGTTGCAGTCGAGTATAGTAATGGCTAGATCTACAAAATGCTCCAAAAGTATCTTCAAAAGTAACTTATAAACTATCTGAGCAGAGTTCTTCACATTTTCTATTGGTTTTATATCACATTCTGTTAATCTAGATTCAACTAATCTGGTGCATAATAAAAGCTGCCGAGCGATATGTTAGCTAGTATTGCTAGTGCAAATTGTATTTCATAGCATCACTTTTTTCAAAAATACATTTTCACTATCAATTATGATTGTGTATTGAGAAAATTTTTCAAAGAATTTCTGTTTATTTTTATATGTCAGTTTCCATTTTTTGACGCAATAATATAATGCATGGCAAAAAAGTCATTTTGAATCCAAAATAGTTTGTTAAGTGCAAGTATAGTTGCTTTTTTCGCTTCTCCATCGAGTTCGTCGCTACTTAAAACAGCATCTATAAGTATATGTTCAAGATGGCCAAATAAAGCATTAATATGAACATAGTCAACATTAATCGAACTTGCACCGGTCATATTAGTATGCATTTTGCCAACGTTTGATAAATAATTGAGAAAAGCATCGTTCCATATGCGTTGTCGTAAAACTCGTAGTAAATATTTACGCATGCTATTTATACGAAATATCATTTGATCGGATTTTACTGTGACTTGAGTTGCTTCTGTTGTCATGATGCCTTCAAAACCGTAATTTTGTTTAAGAAAATACTGTTTGGTGACGTCATTATTGAGTAGTTTCTGATAGATACCATCGACTGCCGATGGAATAACTGGTTGAATAATTTTTTCAAAAGCATTGAGCGTAGCAATATCATTCTCAGTAAAATTGAGAAATTTTGACAAATACTCAAAACGGTAGATTATATCATCATCTAACAACTTTTTGTCGATGTGTTCACTCATAATAATATAAATCAGAACGAATATGCAATCTTGACTATGTTTCGGTAACTTCTATAATGTAAAATAGTTATGCTTTAATATTTCTTTTCTTTTTTCTTTTAGCTTTCAGATATCTATCTTCTCTCTCGCTTGCAAACAAATTCTGGAGATAGAGAACAGAACACCAGTCCCACTAGAATACTAGTATTTCGGTCTATTCAAAGAGACGAACAAACAACAAAGCGAGTACCATACAAATGTTTCACTAATTTTATTTGTGGACTAATATCCCAAATCACTATTGAATAAATTTTATTCCTTTTTTCCTAGAAACAACAAATTGTTTAATATGAAATTCTAAAGAAATTCTTTGATTACAAATACTTTTATACGATACAAAAATGTTAGAATGAAAAGCATCAATCAATAAGTTTTCAAAGTCTTTCAAAGATTCTTTTCTACCTACAACATAATTCATTTTGGATATTTTCCACTCATAGTTATAGTGATGTAATATGAGTAAAAAGCTTTTTCTTGATATTACAATAGTCATTGTAGCATTCAAGAGATTGAACAACAAACATTTCTATTAAAAACAATCAATATAACGATGAAAACAAAGAAACAATTTTTTCTATACAAATATATTACAGAATAGTAGCATTATATTCTAATGTAATATCTTTTGACTGATGATTCGAGTATCGTGGTTTCTGCGTAGATAAGAAAAGCTTTCAAAATAGCGTCTATTTTAGGACACAATTAAATTTTTCAATTATCAACAAATGGATTAGTCGTCGACGCTATTAACAAATACAATATAAGCATTATCGTCTAACATGATTAAAAAAAGCGAATATTTCTATTCTCGTACAACAGTAACAATCTCTCCTTCTGCTATCAAATCTAAAATATCAAATCATGAGTTTACATCTATTTATCTAGGTTTTTTTCTATTAGATTTGAAAAAGTTACAGGATAATACCAGAATATCTTTTCGTTCTAATGTTATTTTGTCCTTCAAATAAAACTTTAGATTGTGGCTTTTGATAAACTTTTTTTTATTAAACGTTTAGCTCGGTCCAACAAAACAAAAAGTAAAATCTCTGGATTATTCTGTTGCAGTACTATAACACGAAACAAAACAAAAATAAAAATCATTGCTATCAAAACATAAATATTGTAATTACTTCTCATTAATTCATAAATAGTTTGATCTACTTTACTGCTTTGAAACTAGGCCTCTAGAAAAAAAAAGAGAAAATTCAATATAATCGGTATAATATAGAAATCTGAAAAATAGATGAGAGTATCTCGATCTTGAATAGAATTATTCACATGCTTATCCCAAGTCTTTTAAAAAATTGCTCTTATCTAACAAGTTATAAAACCGTGAAAATTTTTCAAATTTTAATGTAAAATTAAAACATTAATTTCAATATTTTCTATTTTAAATTGAATTTTCTACTATTCAATATAAAATAAAATAATCGTAATTATTTTCACTTTAATTCACTTAGAATACCATTCACAATTCTCTTAATGAAACTCACCACTAAAGAGTTCAATGCGATCAAACCGTAAACGAAGTAACACAGTGTTTTGTAAATACCTTTATGCATAGAACGGTAAATCTTTCTATTATTTTATTTATCTGATATTCTCCTCTGCACTTCTTCTCACAGGCATTTAACACACTAACTCCGAAGTATGAAACGCTCACAATTTTGAAAGTGCAACATCTGATTAATGTAATCTAGAAAAACAAAACAAAAAAGCAGCATACATTCTTGATTTCTCGATTACATTCATCAGTACTTTATCATGCAGCTATGAAAAACATACGATATAAACTGCAATTAGATTGGAGCTTTGATCATGCACAATCTAATTAATATATTAAAAAAATGAGGAAACATCGGATGCGAATCCGATTGTTACGTGTACTCCAGAAAATGAGCCGATTTATATGTTTTGAATAAGTCTGAGAAAAAATTTAAAAAAAAATCGCTGTACCCCCTTGTGACGGCAGCATTGCCTTTGTATCTTATTTTGATGCTTGTTGTATATGTATACACATCTAAATATGTGCTTGTTTTACTAATTTAATTTTCTTGCTTTTTCGCGCGCTCATTCAGAGTAGTGTGAGTTACTTAAATAAAATGAACACTTCTTGATCCTTTAAAAATAAACTCAACCTATATTCAATCTTTACTTTTACAAACAATCTTGCCATCTAACAANTGTGACGGCAGCATTGCCTTTGTATCTTATTTTGATGCTTGTTGTATATGTATACACATCTAAATATGTGCTTGTTTTACTAATTTAATTTTCTTGCTTTTTCGCGCGCTCATTCAGAGTAGTGTGAGTTACTTAAATAAAATGAACACTTCTTGATCCTTTAAAAATAAACTCAACCTATATTCAATCTTTACTTTTACAAACAATCTTGCCATCTAACAAATAAATTATCGTGGCACCTGGTCCTTGTACTAGTTGTGTCTTATGCGCACTCAGTGACGTGACAATTGGCGATCACACCAGGATTGACGTTGTGAGTTCTATCTCCCGTCAACCTACAAATAATTGGTCTTCACATTTATTTGAGTGCCATTTTAAAAAAATCATCGAATTTTCCATCCATAGAACCTTTCTCATCAAATAATTTTATATCCACAATGCAGCAACCAATTTTTAATACAGTGGATACTATTATTCAACCTTTTGACTATTCACCAGCACCTATGAATGATTTTCATCGTCCTCTTAATTCATTGACTCATAACGAGACGGAAGCCCTGATGAAATGCTTATCTCCAATAACCGATTCATCCAACGTTCATCATGACAATGAAACAAAAGTAAATAAATCTCTTCTTAGTATTTTACAAGATATGAGAGGAGAAATGCGTTTGATCTCTGATCGTCTCACTCATATCGAACGTTCAAGAGTGTCACCGAAATCCATCAATGTTGAATCCAAAGTGAGATCAACTTATTCACATGCATTCGAACGTTCAATGAGTAACTTGTCTCAACGTTCTCCAATTCAAACAGAACTTGATCGAACTTACTCACCATATAATAATAATCAATTAAAATTACACGGTGATCAAACATTATCTACAACTCATGTATCTGTTCCACCAGCTCTCTTGTCATCACATCATGAATCAACATCGGCGTTTCATCCGATTTACAAGCCGGTGAGTGAAAATTCTGTTCATATTAAAAACATTTCTCCGTCAGCTACAATGACAACATCTAATGTAATCCAACGATCATCAGCAATCATTACACCATTAGCAACTGAACCAATTAATGCGTCATCGATTCCATTATCAGTGGCAAAAACACCCACACCTTTCATCATGAACTTGAACAACATATTCCCTTCCTTTAAAGGAACAGCAGAAGAAAGGCCAGTTCAGTTTCTAACTGAATTCGAAATTCGTGCTTCGACAATCGTCGGCCAAAATGATAATTTTCTTCTGCAAACTGTTTAACAAGCCTTATCCGAAGCAGCATTGATTTGGTTTGGCCAGATGCAACGATCTTCTGACCGTGTGCATACTTGGGAAGAGTTTAGAATACGATTCTATGAACGATATCGTACACAGGCTCGAATCCAACATTTTCGAACCGAACTTCGCCTTCTGTTCCAAGGCGACCATAAAAATATTTTGGATTATTTCGAACGTCTGAAGACACTCATGATCGAAATCGATCCCGAATGTACGGATCAATGGTTAAAACATAAGCTCGTTCAAAAGCTTCGTCCAGATATTCGGTCTCGTTTCGACTCCAATTTAAGTCTTCCGATTCGAGAAATTATACGTAGTGCACAAACTATCGAATCGAATATCGAACAACAAAAAGTTGACGAAAAACTTAGAAAAGCAGTTCTTCAAGAAAAGAAGACCTTTAGTATTACTACGAATAACATTTCATTTACAAAAATTAGTCGCCAACCTACATCAACTTCATCAACTAAACAAATGTGGTCTAATCGACCACCTGACCAAAAACAAAATTATAAACAACATACTCATCAACATACAAATTCATTTGACAATACACATAGCCAACGTCAACATATGAAAAATTTCAATAATGATGATTATTTTACTTATGAAGATCAATCAGATGATTATGATGATAAAACCTATTATAAAAACAACGACAACAATAATAGCAATTATAATCATAATAATAAAAATAAAAATAATAAAATAAACAATAATGATGATTCTAATTATGATTCTAATTATGATTCCAATTATGTTTTCAACAGCAACAATAACACTTACAATCATAGTTTGAATAACAATGCTTTATCTAATAATCGTACCGATCGTCATTATTCTAATAACTCTTATAATCACAATAACCATGCTAAAGATCAACATTCGTCAATAAAGTCCAACAGCAATTTGAATCGAGCTCTAACCATAAATAATTCGTCTAAAAACTTTAAAAATCGTTGGTGGTGTCCTCATTGTCAACGAAATGGCCATTCTTGGGAACGTTGCCCATTTAACGTTGAAAGTATTAATTATCGACCAAGTTCGTTAGCATATCGTTCTTCTCAGCCAACTTCAGAACAATCATCATTATCTACTTCACTGTCTCGTCCTCACAAAGATTCTTATCCGGAAAACGATGTCGGAAGATAATGGACGAAGAGGTGTTATCTTCCTTTTCTTCATCGTCATCCTCTTCATATCCGTCACCACCTATTACTTCATTGACATTTACATCATCTAAATTCAACGATTTATCGTCAACCACACCAATTGTTGGATCTACGAATTCTTCTCGTCATTCTGATCAATCGTTTACTTCTCATCTGGCTCCGCACTCAACAAAGTCGTCAGGATTTATTGTTTCACCTGAATCTTCGAATTTGTCTTATGATTATCCTCGAAATTGTTATCTAACTACTGAAGCTAAGATTAATGATATTCCAGGAATTGTTTTACTTAACACTGGCTCAAGTGTAACTATCATCAGTTCTAGCCTTTGGAAGATGATAAGCTCCAACGGTTCGATCGCTCCTTATAATGGACCTGAAATACAAGGACCAGATGGTAGTTCTATCGGACCAGAAGGTCGTGTATTAGTACAAATTACTCTTGCTGGTCTTACTATAGATCATCCTGCAATTCTTGCTAGAAACTTTCGACATCTGATTCTTCTTGGCAATGATTTTATGAAGTCCATCGGAATCGTTCTTGATTTGCAAGATAATAAGATGTGGTTGCGTTCTGATCCGAATCGAAGATATTCAATATCATCTGATCTTACTCAAGCAGGTAGAATTGATGTTCCAGTGATATCTACTGAACGACGTATTATTGCTCCATATCATGTTGCTTATATTCAAGTAAGCACTCCACCTTTTCTTTCTCACAACACTTGGGATGCTTCTATCACCGGTCATCGTCCTCATATTGCTACTGCCAATAGTCTAATTCGTTTTCGTGACCGAAAATCATTTGTACAAATTATTAATTGCTCATCGCATCGACAAAAGTTTAATGTTGGTCAGCCTGTTGCAGTCGCTGATTTATATTTTGATGATACAAATAATGAAGCACATTTCAATTTATGTTCAACTTCATCTATGACGTGGGAATCACCGATGCCCATTAAAAAAGAAGGAAAGTCACTAACAACATCATCATTTACACCATCAATGCCTGATTCACGAAACACTTTAAACAACAGTACGGGTTCGTTAAATTTTTTGTCTTCGTGTGTGAATGTAATTCGTTCAAATGTACCTTGTTGTTCATTTTCTCCCTTGGCTTTATAGAGCTCTCGCACCTATCAACAAACGGTATCTTCCTCATTGCATTTTCCAATTCCTATTTCGTCTCAGACATCATCTATTCTATTTCAACCATCAACTTCATCGATATTTTCTACTTCTGTATCTTCTTCTAATTCTGAATTTTTACGTGACCTTAAGATCAATGATACTGATCTTAATTCTGAACAAGTTGTTTAATTAGAAAATCTTCTTCTTCAATATCGTGCTTGCTTTAACGAAAAACCAGGTCGTACATCTTTAACCCAGCATCATGTAGATACTGGTAATTCAAACCCTATCAAATTACGTCCATACCGTGTATCACCAGTTCGTCAAAACACTATTTCTAGTCAAATTCAACAAATGCTAACGGATGGCATTATCGAACCAGCTAATGGTCCTTATGCTGCTCCTGTTACTTTACAGCCGAAAAAGGACGGCTACTTGCGTTTTTGTGTTGACTTTCATCAATTGAATTCCGTAACTGTTCGAGATGTCTATCCAATACCTCGTATTGATGATACTCTCGATCAGTTGCGCACTGCCAAATATTTTACTTCCATGGATTTTAAATCTGGATTTTGGCAGATAGAACTCGATGAAGAAAGCCAACCAAAAACCTCTTTTGTTACACATGCCGGACTCTATCATTTTACAGTCATGCCTTTCGGATTAACCAATGCATCAGCAACATTCCAGCGCTAATGGACTTAGTCCTGGGAGGACTGAAATGGTCTTGTGCTTTGGTCTATCTTGACGATATCATCGTCTATTCACCCACATTTTCATCTCATCTACAACATCTTGAATCCGTACTTCAACAAATTCAAGAAAGTGGTCTTACTCTCCATCTTTCTAAATGTCAATTTTGTAAAACGAGACTTCGATATCTCGGTCATATCGTTTCACAAACAGGTATTGAACCTGATCCTGAAAAAATTCGCGCTGTACGTGATTATCCTGTTCCAACTCGACTCAAGGAAGTTCGTACATTCCTCGGTCTTACTAGTTATTAAAGAAGGTTTATTAAAAATTATGCTACTATTGCTGAACCTCTCATTTCACTTACTCGTAATTCAGACAACAAACGATTTCAGTGGACATCATTGTGCCAACAAGCTTTCGATCATCTTCGTCATTTGTTAATTGAACCACCAATCATTGCTTATCCACAATTTGACAAAACTTTTATCCTTCAGCACGATGCTTCTGATTTCGGACTTTCCGCTATTTTAGCTCAAAAACTTGTCGATGATGACGGAGTTCAACGTGAACACGTCATCGGTTACGCTAGTCGTACTCTTACTTCGTCTGAACGTAAATTTTCTCCTACCGAACGTGAATGTCTCGCTATCGTTTACGGTTGCTCACACTTTCGTCCATATCTTGAAGGTGTTCGGTTTACCATTTTAACTGATCATAAAGCACTCAAATGGTTACATCAGACTAAAGATCTTAATAGTCGTCTTGCGAGATGGACCATGCAAATAGCTGCTTACGACGTCGATATACAACATCGACCAGGCGCTGATAATACGAATTGTGATGCTCTTTCGCGTGCTCCTATTGATGATTTATCTATTTCTAATGATTCTACAGTTGTCCAGGAGTCGTCTAGTTCATCAACTGTTGTTGATCCTGGATATTTACTTGTACTCGATTATTTTTATCATTGTTCACTGCCACCTTCACAATTTCCTATACCTATTTCTCTTCATCGAACTACTAATTCATCGTCTCCAACCTCATCTCATTCTATTTTTTGCGCTAATATACATTTTGGTGATAATATACAGTTGTATGAAGATATACGTAATGCGCAGTGGAATGATGCTGAACTTCGTCCACTTATAAATTATTTACAAACTCAACAACTTCCGGATGATACTGAGTCATCAAAATTCCACAAAAGAGTTTCTTGTCATCGACTTGTCGATGGTGCACTTTATCGTGTACTTCATTCATCGCAATCTAATGTTGAAGATAATTCTTCTACTACTATTTGCTCAACTACGCGATTATTTCGTTCTCATGAACAACTTCATCTTGTCATTCCAAAATCGAAAATATTTGATCTATTGTCACTCGCTCATGACCATCCTACAGCTGCTCATTTAGGTCACCGTAAGACTCTCTACCGCCTTTCGAGTCGTTTCTATTGGTCACATATGCGTCATGATGTTGAAGCTTATGTACGTGCTTGTGAGCTATGTCAAAAATTCAAAGCTTCTAATAAAAAACCTGGTGGTTTAATGCGTCCAATAGTCGAAAGTGAACCATGGAATACAATTGGTATCGATCTTACAGGACCTTTACCTAAAACTCGACGTGGTAATACTTATATTCTCGTAGTTATTGACTATTTCACCAAATGGGTTGAACTTTTTGCTCTTGCGAATACCAAAGCAAAAACTATTGCTCAATTATTCGTTGATGAAGTGCTATGTCGTTTCGGATTTCCCGTTCGTGTTATATCGGATAACGGTGTTCAATTCATTTCTAATATATTCGTCAATGTTTGTCAAGTTCTTGATATTAAACACCAACGAACACCACTTTATCATCCTCAAAGCAATTTATGCGAACGTGTCAATCGAACTCTTAAACTTTTACTTGCCGCTCTCGCCTATAATGACAATAAATCGTGGGACCTTAAACTTCCTCAAATTGCATTTGCTCTAAGAACTGCACCAAGTGATTCAATTGAGCAGATGCCTGCTTTTCTTATGTTTGGTCGCCATCCACGACAACCGTTAGATTTATGTTTACCTTCACCTGTTTCAGTTGATCAATTTCCTACTGCGACTGATCTATCTGATTATCGTAAACGTTTACTTGCTGATCTTTTGCCAGCTTATGTTACTACACGAGAACTTCTTGACATTTCTCATCAGAAACAAGCCACTCAATATAATCAACACCATCATCCACTTCAATTCGAGCCTGATGATCTTGTTTGGGTCACTGCTCTCTCTGGTCTTGCGATGGGTAAATGGCGTGGCAACAAACTCAGTCCACGTCGTGAAGGACCTTATCGAGTTGTTGAACGATTATCTTCATTGACCTATTCTTTAATTCATACTATTAAAAGTCAACAATTTAGTCCTATTCATATCAATCGCCTCGAACGTTATTATTCATTCAGTAGTATCGATTAAGATCTATCTTTTTGTATTTCATCGTAGTCTTCGATTGAATTTCTTGATATTTATTTAAACAAAAATGTCTTTGCCTCTCTTTCTTTTCTGATTTTATTTCCAACAATTTTCTCATCTATCATTCCAATTATCGTCAACGTCAAAGTTTCGTTCACATTCACCACCTTCTTGTATTAACAGTTAATTTATTGCACTTATTTCTTAGTTCATAACAAAGTATAAGAATTTATAGTTTTAATGTTGTCGTAAGCTGTTGGTTTTCTTTCTACTGTTGCTTGTTCTATAACGCATAACAGAAATTATCTTTGTTCTGTTCACTATTTCACACATACCTTTTTCCATATTAAAAAGGGTCTATGTGGTCGAGGATCGGGTTTGATCATTCTTAAATCCACGATTTCTTTTTCAATGAACATGGTGTTTGGTCGCTCTCGACCCTTATCATCTAAACAATATTACATTAGTCTCATGAACATCTACATACTATGCATTTCACTGTTAACTCGTTAGTTTACTCACCAAACAACCATGCACGACTATTTTGATATAAATCTTCGGCACCCAATTTACCAATACAAAGTACCCATTCCAATTTTCCGTTCATTCCTTTCATTATTATTGATTTCTCGACTCGTTCCTTTCGTGTTGTCGTTTTGGTGGCGCTTCTACAATCTGATTAGCTCAGTTTGCGCCAATTATCTCGTTATAATCAAACTCTCTCTTATATCATTCAATTCTTTTAAACTCGTCTATTTCTCTCTTATTATCATTTCTTCTTCATAACTCAATTTTTTTCTCTCCTTAAATCTCAATACATCTTATAATCACCTAGCATCTATTTCTCTTCCCACCATTAAAAAAGAGGTTAACGGCCCGGAGGTCCATTTTCATTTGGTGCGGGAGCTCTGTGACGGCAGCATTGCCTTTGTATCTTATTTTGATGCTTGTTGTATATGTATACACATCTAAATATGTGCTTGTTTTACTAATTTAATTTTCTTGCTTTTTCGCGCGCTCATTCAGAGTAGTGTGAGTTACTTAAATAAAATGAACACTTCTTGATCCTTTAAAAATAAACTCAACCTATATTCAATCTTTACTTTTACAAACAATCTTGCCATCTAACAAATAAATTATCGTGGCACCTGGTCCTTGTACTAGTTGCGTCTTATGCGCACTCAGTGACGTGACAAGGGGCTAAACTTATTTTTTCACAGGATTTTTATCTAGGGGACAGGGACTGATCCCTCCTAAACCCCCTAGTTACGCCCCTAATAAGACGATACATCTGATACTAACGATTGATTCATATTCTCAGTAAGCAAAATACTGAACATGATGACAGCGACATCTTTTTCAAGCTAGGTTCAGTGTCAAGCTTTTATTAAGCATATTCATTACCAAAACTTTAAGGAAAAACATTTTTTGAGTTTAAAATTTCTGTTTGACAACAATCATAAAATTTTTCTATCGGCAGATAAAGATCAAATCACAGAATTATTCTACAAACCTTTTTTTATAACATTCCTATATAATGATTAAATCGTTTCATGGTTAGTTTCAGTTGTTGAATGGCTGATAATATTGAATTAGCTTCATCATCACCATTTCATACTACAGAATCATCAACATCAATCGAAGAAACATCAAAATGGAAGCCATATTGGGATGAAAACTATAAACGCTATTACTGGTCAGATGGAAATGAATCAGTAATTCATTTTATAATTATTAATATCACTTTTTTTCCTCATTATCATATTTAGGTTTGGGAAACTCCAAAAGATTGTATTGAACCACCACCACTACCATCTACATCTGAATCATCATCGACTATAGTAGAAGAGCAATATAAAACCAATGATTATACTCTACCCATGGCATATGCTACTAATCAAACTGATCTGCGCTATCAACCTTATACAGTTCCACCTGTTATACCAAGTACAATACATACTGGCAAAAGACTTATTGGACAAGAAGCACGTGATCTTCGTCAATTGTATCATTATTTTGATTACAATGCTTGGAATGAAGAATTAAATCGAAACAATGGTAATCAAAAGAAAAAAGTTAAGTTAACTAAAAAAGAACTCGATACTATTAAAGCACGAAGAGCAGAAATAAAAAGAAAACATCGTGATAAATGGTTATTGGAAGATTAGCGTGTTTATTTTTATTTTGTTTTGTTCATCTGTGTGATCGATTTGATCTATTTTCGTGTTTGTTGATAACAACAGAAAACAGACTATTTCAATTGGAAAATACATTTAAGAAAAATTTTTGCAAAGAAAAGTACACTGTTAAAAGTGATAATGCGTGGTTAGATTTCTATTGAAAATAGATAAAAATCACATTTGATATAATTTTGAAATCAACATATCTAACTAGAGTTTATTCTTTGGAATCAAGTGAAGTTATATTTTGTTTCGCTATACAATCATGCAAATAAATAAAAGTATTCAATTTGGTATCTTTTCTCCAAATGAATTCATAGTTTATTTGTTTTTCGACAATGTAACAGGCACAAAGACATTTTAATGACACCGATGCTTGTTGTCTTTGAAGTAAATTTTTCATTTCAATAGTTTTCGCAGAGTCGAATGGAGTTTTATTATGTTTGTTTCGACAATCGATATGAGCTCCAGCATTGAGTAACAATTTAACAATGGATAATGCTTCCGGTTTATTACTCTGAGAAACGATATGAAGAGCTGTATCACCATTTAAAATATCGACTGCATCGCAATTGATCCAACGAGAACCATGAGTGAGTAAAAGTTGAGTTGTAACTAAGTTTGGAAAACTAAAAATCATAAAGATTTTTTTCTCGATCTTTTTATTTAAATTTTCAGCAAATCTTTACCTGAGAATTTGTCGAATCTCGCTGGCTCGATAATTGATGTCGAGATGTGTTTGTTCATTAACAGACAAATGTAATAATGTCTGTCTGTAGGGTGTTGTACGTTTCTCACGACAAATATCACTTATCCATTCATAGATCGATAGACGTTCTGCTTTAGTCAATTTTTCTTGGTCAAGAATCTATATTTAAAAAAACGTAAACTATTTAACAACAAATCAAATTCCTATATTAGAGGAAAAAACTTGTTTACCTTTGCAGCAATTGTTACAAGGCATACAGTATTTTTAATGTAATGACTTGCATTTTGTTTCTGCGAAGGTTCAGATGTCAAGCGACATATTTGTAGAAATAATTGTGGGGAAATTGATACATGAGTTGCTAACATTTTACAAAAGATCCAAACAAAACGATGAAGACTGGTTTCATGATTCATAAGTTGATATAAATAGAAAGTATGTTCCCATAGACGAATACAACTTTCATAGTCACCTTTTTCGATTAATTTCTCTCCAAACATTAGCAATGGTTCACATAGTCCTTTAAGTTTCTTTGGTAATAGAATACGCTCTCGAATCAGTAATGCTTCTATAAATAGACGATCGTGGTCATCTTGAATTTTATCGAATTCTTTCAATGTTTGACATTCTGTTTCGAAATTATAAGCCGTAACCGGTTTCATTATTATTTTTGGACAATATCTTGCCTCTCTAATTTTAAATGACTTTCGCATCAGATTCACCATTTTTACAAATGGCGATGGGTCATTATCGTTATTTCTTGGTGGTATTATGAATGAACAAGCAATGAGTTCAAGCTCGTCAATATATAAATCATTTTGTGTAAGATCTAAAAGATATTCAGCAACATCAAATTGACCATTTTTATATGCTAATATCATCGGCGTTTCGCCATGTCTATTCTTGATATTCGGGCAAGCACCGGCCGAACATAATATTTTTACAACTTCTAAATGGCCATGCAAAGCTGCACACCCTAAAGCCGTACCACTGTTTACTCCTCCGAGATAATCCACTTTTGCACCTTTTTCAACAAGATAGGCTACAATTTGAGTTTGACCTAATGCTGCAGCAAACATTAAGCTATTGTATTTACGATATTCATATTCTGTTGTTTCATTTATATCGACATGGTCGTTTTCAATTAAAAATTGAATCGTATCTAGACGTTCATTATTAATAGCTTCAATCAATAATGGATTTCTTGAAGAATCATCAATACAAGCTTGTCCTACATCAATAAGTGTCTGTGCCAATTTATAATGACCTCGATCACAAGCACACCATAGTGCAGTAACAAGTAACGCACGTTTTCCTTTGATATCATATGTATTACCAGTAATTTTTACTAAATTTCTAACATTGGAAGAATGGGAAAGTAAAATTCGTGCCACGAGCTCGTGTCCATGTAAAGCGGCTACTATTAGTAATGTTCTTTGTTGATTATCTCGTTGGTAGACGTGCTCAAGAGCTTTATCAACGTCAGGCAATACTTTTAGACGTGCATCAAGTTGATTTGATAAGTCACCTTGACAAACTATTGCATAAAGTTCATCATAAACAGTTAGATCATTCATTTCTTTTTCTTGAAATAAATAAGAAATACTAATTAAATTATTTGTTAAAAATTATTCTTTGGAATGTTACATATAGTAGTTAATATTGATGTGTACATTTATAAGAATTATTAAAGTTAGGTGAAAAAATTGATTTCAAGAATTAAAGGAATTCTAGAACATAGTATTAATAACAAAATTTTAATTAATATTACCGAGTCTGATAGGTTATAATTTCATTAGTTTAATATCAATTAATTAAAACGAAGACTAATAAATCTAACTAACTAACTAACTACGTAGTCGAATTCCGAGACAAAACTTTGAAACAACGATGATCAACACATGCGTTTTTCTTCCCAATACGCTTTTGAAATTACAATAATAAATTAGCTATATAAGATAGACATACTTATTATTGTTAATTCGGTCAGACAATTTTTTCCACCTTTGTAACCCTTGAACGCACGTATATTTTGTTTCGATCGACACTCATACTAAAATATCAAATTAATGGTAGTTATTAAGAGTAACACGTAAGGTTTTTGCGCAAATTTATTTGCATGAATGATTAAGCAAGTTGTTCTTTGTTTTCGAGCCTCTATTTTTGTCATCAACGTCTGAAAAACAGAATCAAATGATTAATATAGTATTCTTCATTCCATGATTGACAAATTAAGACATGTTTATATAGGAAACAGTGCGTTGCGCTAGATGACGAGCCAAATCTAGCTAGTTGATATTTACAGCTGATGCTAAAGTTAAATAACTTGATTATTTTATTCAATTAAGCTCCAAAAGAAATCTAGGCACATAATTCACGATTGAATCATTTCCTACATAAAATTTCTATTGTCTAAAACGATTAGCAAACAGCGAAAATAGAATTCATATAATTATTTCTGTAGCCGTTTAAATATGTAATGTAAGTAGTTGAGTATCACTAAATGCTGATTATACCCTCACAAAACACGTTTTTCTTCCTATAAAATATTATATTTTAATAGAACATGACAAAATGATATGTGTTTGCATCGCTTTCATGGAAAATTTAGACGAAAAACAGCGAAATTATATCACTCAAAAAAATAGCCAGTATAAACCATTTGACTTCAGTTTTAACTCGTAATCTAAATAGTAACATTATCTGTTTCACGCACAGTCATGTCTTAATATCTAGACCATGAGATAAAAATGAAATAAATATTCACCTGAATTGTTTTCGATTGTTTAAAACGTATCAAATACGACCAACATTCGATAGAAAACAAGTAAAAATGTCCTTATCAATTCAAATTCTAATGCCGTGAAATTATACTAGAGTAATTCTTCATCGTCGAATTCTAAGTATTACTGTGACGATTTTAGATAGAAGAGATGCCTGTGTTGATGGTATTACACTTTATTTAACTCTTCAAATCATAAATCGCATCGATTACATATAAAGCACACGCTTAAATACTCAACCATTTGAGAGAACGAAGAAGAAGGATAGATAAAGACAAATGTAAAGGACAGAAAGATAGAGGCAATAGGTGTGATGAGAATAAATGGCACCATAAGACCAAATCTTATGTATAGGTTACACTCGAACGAGAGCATTACACCCCCGGATGGAATTTGGACGCTCTCTGCATTTAATCGTTACAATTACATGTCTATTTTACTTGAAGATCCCAGAGGAAAAAATGTCGTAAAAACTCTTTCTCTTCGGAGAAAACTATCGAAAAATATTTGTTTCTGATTAGATTGACACTCGATTACTTTAAGAAAAAATTTATAAATAGTCTATTTCGTTTATTTATTTCAATGTATCTGAATAAAATTATTTAAAAATTTCACAAGCCTACTTTGGTTTTTAACTTTTCGATCAGAACATTATCCCACTATTAAAGATTAAAAATTATCATCGAATAATTCCTAAATACTTTGCATATCTTCAATATTTATTGAGTTCTATTGTTAAAACTGCTTTATGTCGCATGAACAATAATAATGTATATTGACAGTGGAAATTCAGTATAATGTTGAATTAAAATTTTCGTGACACAGTTTTAAACACAAATTCGATATTTACGATCGCAATAGAATGACTCGTCGAGTTAGTTTACTGTTTTAGAAACGATTTGTTATGTGAAAGAAAAAGAAAGGACAAAAAAAGCGTGACACCTTGTAACACAGAACGAACAAAAGCATCTGTAGGGTAAAAAACACAATTTTTATCGCAACTATTCCATTGGAACGTAGAGTATTTCTGATAGGCCTGTTTTAAATATAAGAAACAACTTATCAAACTATTCCTCGTCAAAATAAAAACCATTGTCGTTTAGTTAAACTATAAATTTCTACATGAATAAAGAAAGTAAATTTGTGTATTTTTTGACGATCGAAGAAAAAAACATCTTTCGTCTACGTGTCGTAATAACGATAAAAACATTCAACAGAGTAATTTTTCTTCTTGTATTATCACCTTAATGCCATTTTGTTAACTAGAAACAAATGAAAAAACAACGCCAGAATTTCACTTGATTATAGAGAAAAGACAAGTTTTACTTTGATTAATTCTTCGCGAGGTGATGCTTTATCAGTTATTTTTGGTACATTCAACGATGTCAATTTTGACGTTGATTTCCATCGTTGGCCGATCAATGGTTGTTTGTGTTCTATTATTTTCTGTTCAAAACTATATTTGAACGTACTTCTTATTTTTCAATCAAATAGAATTGATTTTTTTGCTTACAAATTACATGCTTTCTTTACATATTTGCCAGTCGACGAACCAGACGGATTTGTTTTTTCAGAATGATCATCAGAAGATATTGATTTGGTTTCTTGTATGACTATTGAAAGAGTAGAAATAAAATGAAAGTATTAGCTAAGCTTTCTAGCTCTACATACCGAAAGAAGATCGTGAAGTTTCGTCTAGTTTTTCTAGAAATATTTAACTGATCTTTGAATCACATGAAAATAATGAGAGGAAAACAACAGTTATATACCTTGTTCTTCTTGTTTAAATGGTAAACTTTTCGATTTGTTTACCAATGGATACGAGTTCTAGGAAAATTTTCTATGTGAATAATATCAATAAATTGTCAATCACTAACTTTTAAATTTGACTTATTATCTGGATCTATGAATTTTTTCAATTCTGTTGCTAATTCCGCAAAAGTTGGTCGATCATCACAATCTTGCGACATACATTTTAATATTAAATTCCATTGGCAATCTGATTTGCAATTCGCTGGACGAGATAAACGTTCTCCATCGATTACTTTCTTACGTACTACTTGTTCTTTAGCAACCTCACCCCATGGCGTTTTTCCATTTGAATACGTTTCCCACATTAGTACACCCATAGCAAACATATCTGATTTTTCTGAATAAACATCAAGTGGATTATCAAAATTATTCTCAAGTACTTCCGGCGCTGACGATCGAATGGGTATAGTATCAATAGCTGTTTGTACGGCATCAATTTTTGAATACAGCGAACTGCCACGACTAATACCAAAATCAGTTAACTTAACTAATGTTCTATGTGGATCGTCGACATCAAAATGAAATACTAATATATTACGACAAGCTAAATCACCATGTATAACACTTTTCGATGATAAAAATATCATTGCATCGGATATTTGTAAGAATATATGATTAAGTAATTTATCAGATAGTGGCTTATTAGGATGATTTTCTACATAATCATCAAGAACATTAACTAGGCTTCCTAGAGGTGCCATTTCTTGTAAAAGCAAAATATGAGTACTGGTAATTGCATCCGGTTGTTCAACTAAACCATATGTATAAACAACATGTGGATGACGAGTTAACTGCTCATAAAATGATGCTTCTTTTTCAGCGCGAGCACCAAATAATTTCAGTAGAGCAATGTCTGGCCCATTTGGATTACCAATCCATTGAGCTTTGAAGAGTGCTTTACCAGCGGATTGAAAGAATGGATTTGGAAGACGTTTAATATCAACACCTAATTTAAATTTGTAATGACGCTTTGACAAACTTTTTTGAAATTCACTGGCTAAATTTCGAACAGTATGGTTCGGACGCAATCCTGCAATACTAATTTGTTCACGTGTTAATGGACTAGTGGAATCATGTTTGATCCATTCAATAATAGATTCACGTTCGTATGTATGACCATCTTCAGCAATCACTGGATCACGAAATAACGAAAATGTGATTGGACAAACCAAACAACAACTAAAGGAGTCTGCCATTTTTACAATGCCAGCAGTTTTTAGTTATAGAACAGCGGTGTGCTGTTTTGATGCTTTTGCGTTCTGATGAGTGTAGTGCATTGTGTAAAGTTTTTTTTTTATTGATCAAAGACTCACATCGAGTTTTTATGTTTCTTTAGTTTTATTTCTTTGCACAGAGCAAATAAGAAATATATGTTTTTTTTGAAAGTCAGAATGTCGTACTTTAAACTTTTTTCTCGGAACAAGATTATTTTCGTTGAATCATTAATAACTTCATAGCGAAAACAAAATGCATTATTTCAAAAGTACTTCTGTCCTGTCTATGAATAATATTATGTGATTTAGATTAATTACGTACATGTCTCTCAAGCCTCATATTTGATAAAATAACGTTTTCTTCCTGAGAAATTGAACTTTTATCAGTAATGATTAGACTATTTTGCATCGCTAACTATGATAAGTAAGTAAAACGCTCAAGCTGAGCTTCGAATAGGATGGAATAAAAACAGTTTTTCGTATTAGTTTAAACGGGTAAGTCTTAAATTACAGTGTTTCAGATTACTTTTCTTTTGTGTCATAGTAGAATATTTTTTTCAACGCGTCTATGCATCGAAGGTTCTTCTGTAATTTCAGACGCGAGAATATGAATCTCGATATCACAGTGAAAGCAAAGATCAGTTCGATAACATAATAGAACGAGTTATCTTTATGTTATGTTTCCTTCGTGGAAAAACTTTTGAGAAAAATCAGACTTTTGTTTGTCGGCCGCACCAGATATGTATTAGCTATATTTTAATGCGAGTCTGAACGTTCATCTGGTTGCATTAGTGTTGCAGTTCGAAATATACCAAAATCTACATATCACTTCATAAAGTTTTGATATCGAGTCAAAACTTTCACTACGAAATGTTTTAATTGAATTTTCTTGATTAAAATAAAAACAAGTTTGTTTTTTAGAGGCACTCCCCTTCAAAATTATTTTATTATTTGATTGTTTCTAATGGTAAGAGTACAGTTTCTTCAGTTGTTGATGTACTTGTTGATATTTCTAATCGAATCGCATAGAAAATAAAATATTCTGAATCAAATAAAGCTGTTGCTTTTTTTTCCTGTTTATCATATTGATAATAAATTGAATCAAACGATACTTCTGTTGTTTGATTTTGTTTTGCTTCAAACTCCATAGTACGAATATTTTTTCGGCCAAGCGTTATTGAATACGAATGACCAGATTTAATCACAAGTTGATGTTCTTTATCTATATAAATAGCCATAAACACTCGTTCATCATCATTACAATCATCAGCATAAACGAAAGCTAGTAAATTATTAATCGACGATTGATTATATTTAACAAACGATTCCGATGTATCATATTCTAGAGGCTTATTTAATTGTTCAACAATTAATGAACATTGCTTATGAAAATTATCTGTTATAACGATTTTAAGTTGAAATGGTTGTGATAAATTTTTGTGAATTCGTTTTCTCGTTGCATTATCTCGCCCAGGTTTGCCTTTAACACGTAAATATCCTTTGATAACAAACGATACTAATTTATCTGGTTCAATATTAATCAGTGAATCAGCTAACCACATTGGCTCTTGATTGCGTAGTGTGATTGGTGCAATATCTATATCTTCACATTCATACCATGACCCATTATCGGCATGATAAAACACAGTTAACTTTACAACGGAAATAGGTTTATCGATAGACGCCAAATGTTCTTGAAGCAAAACATCTGATGCATCAGTTAGTTTCTTAGAAAAATTAATATGTGTGATCACAAAATGTTGAAGAAACGTTCCATCGTCTGACACACGTAAATCTTGATATGATGTTACTGTATTTGTACTGCCATAAGCCATTCGAACTAATGAATCGCCCTCGCAATCATGCTTAGTTATCGTTTTGTTTCTATCGCGATCGATATCTATTTCTGGGCCAATCCGTTTTGTTAATTGAATTTTTGAAGTAAGTTCTTTTAAATGTTCTAGTTGTTGATCACTTAAATTATCATCTTGAGTTTTTTGATCTGATAAACAAATTATTTCACCTCTTTCTATACACATGCGTGGCTCATCTAGTAAAAGATGTAATTTATTAGACCAAATGTGTTCATTTGAACCGATTTTGAAATTGCATAGAAGAAATAATGATGCTTCTGAAATAGAATCATATTCCCATTTTGCTTCAATAAACCAATTCTTATCATTCAATCGAGCAATACTATTATCTAAAACAAAACGAATAATAAATATTCGTTTTAAATTTATAATATTTGATTTTGTTATAATTACTTTGTTCCTTTCTATTAGCGATTTTTATTAATTCATATATACTAAACATATAAAGTCCACGGATAGTTGATGTTCCATATATTCGTATAAATAATTTTCCCAAATTATTCAAACCGACTTGAATAGATTTTTCAAAATTATCACTTGCATCATGTTGTTTTATTTCCAGCCATAAATTTTCAAGATCTAACGTCAAATAATTATCTTCTATAAATTTATTCATATCATAACAAATTAATCGATCATTATCTTCTAGTAGACCCAAACAAGAATCATCGTTCGATAGTAAATAACCATCATCAGTCATGAGTTGGATGATTTTTACATTTTTATATGAATATTTTTCAGTGATATGCCTTTCAAGCAAATATATAAGATCTGCAATTGTATTAGATGGTGAAATAACAAAATGGAAAACAAATTTCAGCGGTGGTGGTGGTGGTACTGATTGCCGGTAAGAATTATTATTTGATTTACTATCACCAACTTGAACTTTTAGACGAATCGATACCATAATTTAACGAAGAAGAAAAACAACTTATGACACGACACCTTTTTCTGTTTTTATTTTAGTAATTTGACAACAATCAAAACATCGGTATTAAAATTGGTTGATAAACAAGAAGAAAAAAACGTGTTTTGGCAACCTTTATATATATATATATTTTTTTTTTGCCGTTCTTTGGTCAATATAACAATGATGTAGTCTAATGTTATTCAATAAAATAGGCCTAAACGAAATCTCTACCTAAATTCATCAGTAACAGAAATGATGTAACAAGCAGTAACTTCCTGTACTAATACGATCCAAAAGGATTAGAATATTCTATTCCGATTCAATTTGAGCATGATGATGCGATTATAGATTATCTGGCGTCCATATATTAGTATCATTAAGTCATGAAAGGAACCGTTCAAGAGGAGGGAGCAAAGGAAAAGGTTGCTACTGTTGCTCTTGTAATATTGTACATTCAATAATGATTATGTCTCTTTTGTTGTTGATCTAAGCAAGAAAATGCAAAAATAACTAGTTAGAGAAACAGAACTGACGTAATTTGTTCATAATACAACAGAGAATTGTCACGATGATGATATGATCGCTTGTTACAACTATAGAATGCTTGTTAGTGAACATGCATGTGCTTGTCACTCTTCTATTTGACGCAACTCGAGTGTATCATATGAACATATTCATATACATTTAGAAAAGAACAATCAATTCTTTCCCACGTGAATCGACATTTCGTCGAGTGACGATGAGATGATTGAGCCTTGCTTTTTTTCTTTCTTTCAATATACATATACATATATATATATATTTATATATGGGCAAATAATCGATTTTTGGTGAAGACAAACGTGTTCATGACCCTGACCTTGAACGCCCATCAGCAAAGTGCTCTATATTGTGTAAACGTAAAGCCTTGTCAGACGCATAACCGTAATGTGCATAGAAGAAAGGCAGGGAGCTCCATCACTAATGGTATATGTATATATGTATGTATGTATATACCTATCACTGACTCACATAGTAGGAAAAAACGAGAGAAGAATACGTATATGTGTTCTTTAAAAGAAAAAGAGATCGTTTAATCTCAGGACGCACTGCTACTGGTATTGTTGTTATTACAATATACATGCAGTACCAAAAGAGCCAAAGAGAGAAGAGAAGAGGAGAGGAGAGGGGAGGAGAGGAGAGGAGAGGAGAGGAGAAGAGAGAAAAGGGAAGAGTAGGAGAGCGAGAGAAAAAAAAATGCAATTGTGTTTGCTACAGTTCATGACAAGAGCGAAGAGAGTGCTGATCCTCATCAACTGTTCAGTTCATGAAATGCAAGAGAATTATGCAGACACTCGTGCAACATAGACACTCGAACGAATTCAAATAAATATGTGTATACATATAGTAGAGAGAAAAGAAGGTATAAGAATATAGGCACTGAAAAAGTCTCACAGATTCCTACAATAGCACGTATGTATTACAAAATATATATTGAGCAATCATCTAAGAGACGATTTCTTAGCTTTTTTACCCGTTTGTTTCATTACTATTTATGTGTAAATATATGTTGATATAGGAAAAGCTTATCTAATTAGAACAAGATGCTTATATTCTTTTGCTTTTTAGATGTTGATTATTTTTCTTCAAAGACATTTCTTCGAAACAATATGATTACAAATCGAGTTCTTTTTTCTTTGTTATTTCTTATTATCCCTCTTATTTTACCATCTTGGACATATAAGTTTGAAACTTGTTGTGCAAATGAAAAGGCATCCAATACAACAGCTAGTGTTCGTCTTTTATCGTGTCCTTTAAATTTTGTTATTAAATTACGTACGGTTATTTTTTATACGGGTAGCGGTTGTGCACCTAGTGCATGTCAACGACGCCTCAACAAACATTATCTTGGTTGTAATAATCACCGTACTTGTTCAATATCGATTAGATGTATTCCTATGGATTCGTCATCATGTACATCATTAACCACAAGTACAACTTATGCTCAACATTTAATTGTCGATTATGATTGTATTTTACATGAGCCCGAATTATCATCCAATTCTTTCAATCGGTACAATAATGAGAAAATTGATAATACTAGGCAAGATAATAATGAAAATGTAGTCGTTTTTTCAGCAAAAATCAATATTGAATCGCCACCAGATCTTTTAAATGAAACAGACCCTATAGTACCAGATATACTAGATGATGATCGTGCATGGAAAGAATTTATACTCAAACAATATCTTGATGGTAAACGATTACCATTAATCAATGGTGAAAAGCCAATTATTATTCAACAAGAACGTTCATTATTTAACGAAATACTTCGAACTGTAATTATACTTATAGTGTTTACTTTGATTATTACTGTATTAATACTTATTGGTTTCTTTCTACACAAACGTATTAAATTCCTTAGGAAACAAAAATTTTTTGGCCATCATGAAAAACAAAAACAAAAACATGAACGATTTCCAAGCGATGAAGCTTATGACAATCTAAAAACAAGTGCTGCTGAGTCAACAGCTGAAAGTGCAGCAGCAACTGATGTGTGAGTTGGACTTGGTCTTTATCTACTTTTTGACACCTATTTATGAGCTTTATATGTGTGTACGCGTGTTTGTGCGTGTGTGTGTGCGTGTGTCCACTGAAATGTCAAGGATTATTAACGTTTAAAGAAACAGCATATTCATATATCTATTCATCTATCTATATATTATGTATATAAAGGTGCGTATGCCTACATACATACATACAATATCAATACGGATATCTAACGGCATTGATCATGCCTGTCAAAGATTTTTGTTGAAAGATCAACAATTATCTCGAAGTAATAAGAATAGAAAGTTTTTCTCTTTTGTTCTCATTTATCCGTAATCGATATACAGTGAAGGGTTATATGTACTGAGAATGAGTTACTACTCTCGTGGAAATCATTTTGTCTCACTATAGAGAAAAAGAACAAGAGAGAGAGAGAGAGAGGTGCAAACAAGCATGATGTAATGGAGTATAGAAAAGAGAAAAGAAGCTAGGTTGAACAGTTTATTATCAGTACTGAAAAAGAGTGAGAGAGAGGGGGAGGGAGGGTGAGGGAGAACGTAATCGTCCGATACGATAAAACAAACAACTGCTGCAAGATAGAACCGAACATGAGAAAACGTGAGATGTGTTAATCTAGCCCCGATACTACTGCTGCTATTCTCATCATCATACTGAAATTGATTGCACATACGATAAACAGACCTTGGAGCATCGGCGTGTCAAATGCATGCACGTATGCACGACTCAAACTGCTCAGTCATTTTTACCATCTATGAATATATGCAACATACGCAGTAAGAAAAAGAGAAAAAAAGCTCAATCAACTACACATTATGTCATAATATGAACGAACATCAGCCGGCATACGAGACTAATGGGTCGTACTGTGCAAGTCGCTCAATGTCATCGTTTTCATCATCGATCAATGATTGATTGATTCATCCATCGATCATTCATTGAAACAAGAGTCTCTCTCCTCTCTCACTCTATTTCGTAGTTCAATATTATTATATGTACATTTACATTCAATGGACTATAATTAAATGGTATGCGTCTAAACGACTTCTAGTCTCACTTGTTCCAATTAATGTGTTTTTTTTTCTGCTGTCGTTTATAAGCAATAGTTTGCTATAACTCAAAGGTATTCTGAGGTGATATAGAATGATATATATATATTTTTTTTTCGCTTCTTTTTCTTCTGGAGAGCATAGATCACCAATTCAATCGATTTGAATTGCTTTGCAAAGTGAAAAATGCATTGTTCTATAATCATATGCATAAGAATAGTTGATTTTGCTTACTAATAATGACCACAGGGCACCAGATCAGCATGTGTCCAATAATGAATCGACAAGAGAGAACATCATTATATATAAAACTGAACGGACTAGATAATTAATAAAATTCTCTTATTATAAATCTTTTGAATAATAACGACTAAGTATATATGAAGCACTACGTATCAGACAAGAATAACGACAAATTTAAGCTCGTAGTATTCTTTGAAGCACACTACTGAGAATAATAAATAGTACATTGAGGTGATCATATTTACTACTCAACGGATATTCTCAACTATCTCTTGATAAACAGCATGAGCCGAGAGAATAGTATTACAACCATTGCATTGTATTCATGTCCTATTGAAAATGTCAAATATTGATTCTTGTCGAGAGAAAGATCACATCGAATTTCAATCTGGGAAAAATCTTTATTTAATAGACACACACACATGCATACTTCAATAATTGTACTAACAAGTAAATAAGAAAATAAAAATCATGATATTTATTTTGATAATGATGAGAGACAAATGCTAATATTGAATCAAAATCATAAGATGTTTACATTATAAAACCTATTATGAAATCTATGTTATATAAAATAGAATAGAATATATATGAGGAAATAATTAACGATGATCAAGTAAATAGTGATATCTTGTATGTTATATATATATATGTATATATAGTTTATTCTTCATATAGAAAGCTAATAATTGAGCGATCGATGATTTTTTCATCCCTCTCGTTCTGTCATCGATTGAATGAGGCTGTGTATATTAGTTACTGATGTTCACCATATGAGGTCCTATGTTCATGTCCTCGAACTTATCATCGACACTGGCAATCAAAAGTATAGGCATAGTTTATCTTCAATACATCTATATTCATCGTATAAGCATTATTCGTTATTCATTTTTGACAATCTTTTTATAATGGAGAGTGAAAATACTTTTAACATTAGGTTCAATTTACACCATATATTTTATCATTCGATCTAATCTGCTATCGGTGTAACAAGGATAAAATTTTTCTTTTTGAAGTTTTATTTCCTTGTAATCCTTTGCTTTATAAATTGATCACATAACGTAACGAGCAAAATGTCACATGTACTCTGCTAACTTATTTCTAATGTTAATACAGCCTTTTACAAATGAAGAAATGCCGATTTCTTATATAATTGCTTATGATTATCTTTTCCTTCATATACTTATAAAACATTTAAACGGATTCAAAAGGAAACTTTATAAGCATCAGTAGTTCTTCTTTTTTTTTATTCAATGTTTATAATACTTAATACAATGTCAAAGAAAATAATATGAAAAGCACATCAATCAAGTCATATCTATGAAAACATGAAATTATTGAAGTGTTACACTCAAAGCTAGCTATCAGTAGTATAAATTTCTAGAATATTAGTTGAAAATTTTCGACTTCGAGTTAATCTATAAATTATTACGCAATTATAATTAAGTGACTTATGCCATTTCTCTCTAATACGCTACTTTAAAAGAAAACTAAAGATACCTCCGATTAACGTAATGAATACAGACATTGATCTATCGATGCATATAAGAAGAAAAAGAACTCAAACAACTATACATATTATGTCATACTCTGAAAAAATGTCAATCGAACATATGAGGCTAATGGGTCATCTTATGTGGAAACCACTCAATGTCATCGTTCTCATCGATGATTGATTGATGGATAGATCGTTTGTTAGAAATAGAGTTTTTCTTTCATAGTTCAATATTAAATGCGTATTTCTGTTATATGAAATCTAGTTAGGTCTGTCATGTCTAAACGTTTGTTCTATTTTTCTTTGAACGTGTAAGATGAGTTACTCCTACGTAACAATAATGATTTCAGAATATCGGACTAATGTATTTGATAATAAGTCAGCCATTGAAAATATCATCAACTATCACAATGAACAGAAATAGATCGTTTATAAATTATCTTTTCTACAAACGAGAAAATAAGTGATATGCGTTAAACATAGGAAATCACACATGATGATCGATTTTGTTTTTCAACCGATAATTAAATACTCGCTTGAAACATTCAATGTTAAAAAATGTATGAGTTTATTCTTTTCATGAAAAAGAAAATTTATGTTTCAAGCTTCTATCTTTGCTTATATTGTTCAATTAGTAACTATAAATTTTCCTACTTAAAAAAATCATCAATAGGCATTGTTATTTCTTTAACTCGAATGTAAAAATGTGTTCCAAATAATGGTATAGCTTATCGATAAACTAATGGACTATATGTAGTCGTATCAATAAGCATCATTATTATCTTCATTAGAAGGCTAACTACATCGAGATATCTTTTGTTTGTTTAGTCAAAGTTAAATAAATAATGAAGAAAAAATATTCACATACCAAGAATTTCTTATCAATGGTATATGTTATGAAATATACATATTAAAAAACTAAACAGAATATTTGCTATGAAGGTTCAAGGAACATGTAGAATTATTCTTCCAGTTGGTTGAATATGCAAAATAAATGATCGTTTCTATTTTGTAAATATTCAAAGAAAATCCTAATTAATAACTTTCATGAATAAAATGAAACATACGGCAGTGGCAACAGTTGTTGCCAGCATCTGGTTCATGGTTGTGTCTTTTGTATAAAGAAATTTCAATCGAGTGGAATGTTATATTCATCTGAAGTTCTACAATGAAATAAAAAGTGAATTCTAACGCCAACTATTTTCGTTTTGTAAATAGAAGTATACAGAGTTGGCCAAAAGTCTCATAATGATGTTGATTTCCAAGGAACTAACATTATTTTTAAATAATTGTAAGATTTTATACTAGAGTTTGTATGCTTACTATTCAATAGAAAAAGCACTTGAATACTGATACATACAAAAAATAACATGAAAGAAGACAATATAATATTGCACTTGAAAGTTTTTCAGGGATAACTTTGGTCTAATCGCAATAGGAAGCCTTTATAGATATGTTACCCATGGGGGTAATAGCACAATTATCACAATACGGACAAATGTTTTCTACCTTAGTATTAAAACATTTACTGTTCATATTTGTAGCTAAAGGTTTTATTTGTAAAATAATCGAATGTTTTATTATGCACTATGCCTCATTTATGTCAATAGGTAGGTGTAACTATAATCTCTAAGCATTTTGTTTTGCATGGTGAATAATAAAATGCTTATTTAATATATGATATTTGGCTTCATTTAATGATAAACACATAGAACAGTGAAGAAGCAGAATAACTAAAAGATAACGACCTTTTTTATACGCAAATCAATAAACATTTGATTGATGATTCTCATTTCTTTCTCTATATCGCGTAATGTATAAATAATTGTAGAAAATATTTTATCATCAAAATTCCTACTGAATCTATCGGTAGGAGAGAGTTAATAAAAAAAACTGTAACGTCAATATTTTATCATCTTTTTTTAAATATTAATCTGTTTCAATGTGCCAAGCTGAATAAGGCAACATCGGCAATATTAAAAAAAGAAATAGTGAGAGAGCCGGGACAATGCAGCTATTAAAATCAATTATCCTTGAGCACGTTAGAAGTAGATAGATGTAAATCATTGAACATTTTGTGAGAAAAGAATCATAGTTGATAGAACACAATGGCGAGTTAAGGTGAAATACTGTGATACTTGATGTAGTAACACACTGGTAAAGATACCACTTCCGGCGATCGCAATGATCGTCCTCAGATTCAAGTGCACTTTTTTTTATTGTATTTCATATTCAAGTATTACTTGTATTAAATGGGCATTGCATAACCTCGAATACATATCGGCATATAATCATATGAATTCAATGTTTCTATTCAAAATCGAAAGCCTAAAGAATCTTTTTTGTTTTGTTTTCACTCGATATATGTATGATTTACTTTTTATTTCATAGTAGCCTAGAGAGTTCTTCTTTGCCGTTAAGAAAGAAAAATAGAGTTTCATTTCACAAGTGCAATAACAAGAGTTCGTAGGATTAATTATTTATTTTAATCATTGGGGAAAATCTATCATGCCTTAAATAAAACCAATAAAGCAAACACTTCATTTTTAACGAGTAAGAGAAATATTTGAATAACATTGGACACAGAGTGAACGACACTCGAAAAAGAGCTCATGCAAAAAAATAATATGAAACAAAAAAAACAGCTTCAAAAAATTTGCTTTATGAAATAACAAAAAGAAAATCGTAAAAATTCCAAATCGTTTGCGTACTTCATACTAAAAGACTTCTTTTATTTGTTTATTGAAAGTTTGAACTTCTTGTTTGAAAAATGAAAACCTTCAAGTGGAAAATTGTAGTTTTGAGACTATGTGAAGCAATAAAAAAAAAACGGAATTTCACTCAAGCACCTCGTACAGAAACAATACTTGTTTCGAAAAATTCTATATTTGCTGTATATGACATCCATAAAATAGTATTAGAATTCAACAAATCAAGATTATAATATAAATGTTTGGTTTTAGATAAACTAGGATGCATTCTGAGATGACTAATGAATTATCTCTTGAGACAAATACCATTTGATTCATCATGATTAGTAGAAAAATGATTTACGAGTGTTTCATTGGATTTTCGCATGGTGATTATTGAAATTGTAACAGTTTGCATTATCTATTTTTACCTCAAAGTCGAATCATTTACATTCTCGTAACTCAATTGTCTAGGATAGGAAGATCAAATTAAAGAAGGCGTATTCTACCATTCGTAATGATTGATCATCTGTCAGAAGTTCCAAGAGCAAAACTGATATACGAAGGCTACGAGAATGTATTGATGATGATGATATTTTATCACATCAAAACCTTGTACGTACTAAGAAATCGTATGAAATGCATCTCAAATATCTAGTAGCATATAGAGAAATTTCAATAAATATGAGTAAGATGTTCTTAACAGCTGCTAAGAGAAACATGTTGCTTGCTAGAAGCCTTCACCCGTATGCTTGACCATTAAGCAAAATCTACAGATATAATTGAAATTTATCTCCTAAATGAAACTCAAAATTACAACAAATTACACATTTAACGAGTCGGATGCAGTTTTTTATTATTGAAAATATTTTCATTCAGATGTCTTCGTTTTGTTTTTAATGCGTAGCACTCGTATGTTTGGTTTCTTATCAATAACAACTACTCATATAACGATCAAGGCTGCTTATAAGTATTAGGTTGCATTCTTTTATCTTTCTAGATCATTTCATTGGAATATTAATAAATTCGAAATCACTTTACATTAACAAAAATTATAACTATCATTTTTAAAACAGATGAAAAACAATACAAAAAAAAATCCGGAAAAATTAATTTAAAACATACTGTATATTTTTAGATTTCTTAAACTATGCTTGTATCTATTTCGCTGTAAAAGCTAACCAATCTGCATCCGCTGTGCGTTTATATCCTATCTGTTGTAACATGTTGAATGATGCTACGTTATCTTTGGTTACAAAACAGTACACTTGTTCTTCTTTTGCTAAAACTTTTGACGCCATATAGGCATTTAATATCGACGCAATACCACGTCTCCGAGCTTCTGGTTTTATAAAAACGTTTCCTATGGAGCCATCATATCTTTGCAAACACCAACCAATTAATTTTTCATCACAAGATGCACCTTTGAAGATTAAAGAAAGGTATATTAAAATTTAAAAAAAAATCTTTATTATTTACCGTATGCTAGCGAATGCTCGATTTCATGCGAAATTCTATACAAAGAACTCGGGGATTTATATTCCCAAAAGTTATTGACAGTGGATGCATCAGACAACGACAACGGTCGAATAACAATATCTAAAAAGATATTAGATTGTGTTTGGGTTAATGTATTGCTCAGAAAACAAGTACCTGATGGACACACATATGTCATTGTTTTATATTTTTCTTTAAATGATTCTTTATCTAATTCCATCTGCTGGCAAGTTGTAATATGCGTGCTGCCTAATCTATTTTCTTGAATAAAACTTTCAATTATTGACGAAAATCGGTGTGGAAAAGAGGAGAAAACGATGGATTTGGCTGTTGTCCATGGAACATAGTGTTGAATCATAGAAACGAAAAGTTGGTCTTCTTTATTATCGCAGAAAAAATTGATTTCTCTACACATTGATGCTTCTTCCTCCGTCACGGATTCATAGGTACTTTTAAAACCCATAAGAGAATATATAAACAGTACGCATTTTATATCATTTTTATCGTTAACCAACAGTTGATTTGGCCACAAATCGTTTTTTCTTACCACATTGTTTTGAATGTCCTTCAAAAGGTGCCATAGTCCCATTGATTCTGGAAACTGTCCTGCCTAAGAGGTAATATAAGTGCAATGTAATGTGAAAAATTCACACAAAACTTACCAGAAAATTGATTATAGGTTGAAGAGATTGCTTGTCAGCAATATCGATTTCATTTACTGGCGGAGCGGAATTCATTGTTGTTGTGAGACTAATGAAGGGCGGGACACCAAAATATTGCTTTCTTCGCGTTTTACGTTCTCACAGTAAATGATGAAAAACAAATAACACTACGGCATTTTATTTTTTACGTTTTATTGATATAAGATAACGATGCATCATCTATGTATTAGGTTTCATCAGATAGAACCTTCATGCAGCTTACAAACGAATAGTTAGCAATTGAAAGCGAATTCTTCGCTGAACTTGATTACAAATCCCTTTTGTCTATGAAAATAGGCGATCGCAGAATATGTAAGAAAAATCCTTAAAAAATTAATAGCATACATAAGTAAAAGGTCTTGTTTTAAAATTTGAATCGACAACATGCCACTCTGTTTATTCCTATGAGTCTGCATAATCTCGTTTTAGGTCTAGCTGCTATTTCAGAGGAGACTGCGAGCTTAGGGAAAACAATGCAGCTCTGTATCGTTTAAAGTTCATTCAGCACTTTTAAATATTAAAAACGTTTAGAACGCCTTATCAAGTAACAATTCGAAAAGCTGTTTCAGAATATATTGTATTAGGTTCTAATTTTTAGACGGTGCTTTGTATTTATTTCGCTGTAAAAACTAACCAATCGGCATCACCTGTTCTTTTATATCCCAGTTTTTCTAACATGCTGATCGATGCTGTGTTATTATTGATTACAAAAGAAAACACTCGTTCTTCTTGTTCCAAAATCTTCGATGCCATAAAGACATTTAGTATCGACGCAAGACCAAGTCTTCGAGCTTCTGGTTTTGTAAAAACGTTTGCTACACAACCATTGTATTTTCTCATGCACCAACTCATCAGAGTTTCGCCACGAAACGCACCTTTCAAGAAAAAAAAAAGTTTCATTCAAGTTTCAGAAATATTTTTATCATATACCGTATGATAATAAATGTTCTATTTCATACATAAATCTATACAAGGAAATTTCTGATTTGTGTTCCCAAAGCTCATTGATGGTGGATGCATCAGACAATGTTAACGGTCGAATAATAATATCTAAAACGATGATCTAGTTCGTTTATTAATTGTTCACAAAACAGCTACCTGATGGACAAGTATATGTCATAGTTTTACATTTTTCTATAAATGTTTCTTTGTTTAATTCCATCTGCTGACAATTTACGGTATGAGCATCACCTAAATTATTCTCTCGAATAAAACTTTCAATTATTGACGAAAATCGATGTGGAAAATCGGTAAAGACGATTTTCTTGACCTTCGACCATGGAACATAGTGTTGAATTATAGAAACGAAAAGTTGGTCTTCTTTATTATCGCAGAAGAAACTGATGTCGCTTCTCATTGATTTTTCATCTTCAGTTGTGGGTTCATAGGTATTTTTAAAGCTCATGAGAGAATATATAAACAGCACGCATTTTATATCATTTTTATCGTTAACCAACAGTTGATTTGGCCACAAATCTTTTGGTTTTATTGTATTTTGTTGAATTGCACTCAAAAAATAATAAAAAGCCAATGAGTCTGGAAAGTATCCTACCTAAGGAGATGAGGTAAGTACAAGATAATATGAAAAAATAAGCACACAACGTACTAGAAAATTGATTACAGACTGAAGAGATTGCTTGTCAGCAATATCGATTTCATTTACTGGCGGAGCGGAATTCATTGTTGTTGTGAGACTAATGAAGGACGGGACACCAAAATATTGCTTTCTTCGCGTTTTACGTTTTCGCAGTAAATGATGAGAAACAAATAACAGTACGACATCATATTTTGACGTTTTATTGATATAAGATAACGATGCATCATCTATGTATTAGGTCTCATCCGATAAAACATTCGTGTATAACATACACGAAGACTTAGCCCTTGAAAGCGAATTCTTTTCTGAAGTCGCTTAAAAGTACTTTTGTCTGTGACAACAGGAGACCGCAGAACAATCAGAGAAAATCCTCGAAAGCGTACTCATTTTTCTTATAAAATTCTCTTAATTCGTTTTGTGATAAGCATTAGTGAACCATTCTATTTTTGTGTATTGAACAACGAGTACGAGAGCCAATTTCTATTCGATGGACAAATGGTGTGAATGGTTATGTTCTTTTGATTGATCTTGTGTAGAACACAATTGATAAAAAAAAGACATCTTTCAAGTAAACGAGATGCCGCTATGAAAAATACGCTATCAAACGAATAATTTTATAACACTTTCTATCGGTCAATATACATTTTCAAACTAACAGCTGTTATGATCATGAGTATTTATAAAAGTTCTCTCGACGCCACCAGAGAAATATATTACATCTCCAAAGATGGTAGATGTATTGCATATTAATCGAATAAATGAAAAGCTTAGTATTAATATTAATTACAAAATGTTGAAAAAGAAAAAATAAAAGAAAAAGAAAAAAGCCATGCATCACTTAAACGATGTTTGAGGTGACCCCTTGGTGTTATTTTGAAAAACTCTATTATTCAATCCATATGAAAAACCATTTTGAGTGAATTAGTGACAGGCATGTGATCTTCGTTGAACTCTACCAAATCAGTCATATATGCCCACCATCGTTGTATGATCTCATTATGGCGTAAAGCATCGTTCGACGCTGTAACAAGCGAAGATGGCTTGTACACCGCGAACAATGTTAAATTTTCTTCGTCAAGAAAAATTGAATAGTCTGTAAATCCGTGTTCATGAAGTAAAACGAGAACTTCAGGCCAAATTTCGTCATGCCTTCGTTTATATTCGGCAGCAGCGCCCGGTTTTAGTTTCATAGTGTAAGCCACTTTATTCGCCATTTTGTAAATGTTTCTCGCTCGTGGTGTTCGTAATAATCACAAATAGTAATGCTTGCTATGTGGTAACCTTTTAAATACATGTTACCGATAAGAAAGAAGGCAGGTGGTGGACACGAAAAGTTACAGATAACGCACTTACACTTTATTTTGTTCGAACTATGAAATATGTTGATGTGTGTATTTATGAAGAGACCAGTTTCTTTTGATGTGTGGTTGGAAAGTCTTGCTTCACATTTTTCGAAAAACGCATTATTTTAATGAATTTGATGCGATGGATGGATACCACATGTAAAATTAGATCGAAAGAAAAATATGAAATGAATGTTTATTTAGCTTATTAACCATTATAATATTGTTTGTATACCATTTAACGTAATTAACCATTGCGATATTTACCTGTTGTTGTTAACACGCTACTAAATGCGACATCTTGGATTCATTATAAGACATGATCCGGTTTCAATAAAGTCAACTTTTCATGTGTACTTGAGAAACTCTCAAGTTGAGAGTAAGGAGAAAAACTATCTCGCTAGTGGATGCAACATGTACAAGGATTATGTAACCTACAGTTCAAAATCGCAGCAAAGAAGAAATAACTAAAGCAGTGAATACAATGTGCCAAGATAAGAAATAAACAACAAATGGCATAATAAGATATTTCAGCGTACGTATTGTTTTCACAAATTACATCACAGCAATGATTTTCAAATATTTTCATAATTATTTTATTTATTGACATCTACTCCAAAATATATATGAAACTCTTAGGTCCAGCGAACTCTGTTTAAGATAGAAGATTGATAGGGAAAAAAAACGAGATTTCTAATATTCCCAATTAGTCTCTCACAGTATCACTACAACGTTAGAAAAGTTTGAAGATAGCATGGATGCGAGAATGTCGTTTATTAGATTTTTAGTACTTTAGTTGATCATAAAAGTATTCCGTCGATTACATCGACTGCCATATGAATACTAAGAAAAATTGATTTGAGCTTTCAATCGAAAACAAACTGAAATAGCCAAGCCTGAATCTACAGCAATATTAATTTTATTGTTCAAGTTCATTGTATTCATTACATTAGTATTGGTCTCGTCGAAATTCTATAACAAGTCTCATGCTAGAATAATTTTCCAGCGAAGAACTATTTCTTTTTTTGTAAGACGAAGAGTTCGAACAAAAAAAAGCAAACTAAATGTCAATTCATTGCATAACACAGCTCGTTCTATATCTTCTTAAAATTCTCACCGTCTACTTTCGCCATCAACCTTTCGTTTCGAACATTCAGAATTATCCATGTTTATTTTTATTTTTTCCTCTTCTACGAAAACATAATTTCGTATGTTGAGCAAAAGAAAAAGATTCAACAATTTGCTGGTAAAACATTTGCTTCAAAATATCCTCGATTAGTAATATTTCCACCCGGAAAATAATTTGCAACAACATAAACTTCTCGTTTATCCTCTGAGAAAGCTATGCCAACACCCAATTTTCTCGAGGATTTCCATACTAGTTGCGTAAAATGACCTGTTTCTGATGAAAATTTTGGATGTTCAAAATCATGCATTGCTATTTCATCATACCAACTACTCATAGCTGCTTTTGGAGTAGCTTTCACTCGACCATAAGATATCCATTCCATGTAGAGATTTTCTCCGAGAGCTTTGTCTCCAAGTCTATTTCCACTATGTTCAAATGTTGATGTGGCGGCTAAATGTTCAGCATATGATTGAGCGATTTGGTTTAGTCGCTGATCTATAGCTAATGGTGGTGAGCAGTGACGTGCACGATAATAATTATGTAGTTTTAACATTTCATGAATATATTTGTCATTATTAAAATGACGTGTCCGATTACTCTCTTAAAAAAAAGAGAAAACAAAAATAAAATTTATTGTTTTGCATTTATTATTAACTTACCGTATCTATGCGTTCGAAGATTTCTCATATCCATATCTATATGAAAAGCTAATGGATGTTGATATCGATGTCTAGGTCTAAGAACCAATCTTCTATCGTGATGTTGACCAAACTGTTGATTTGGATGTATCATAAGTCGTGAGAATCTTCGATCCCTACAGGAAAATATATTCGCATAAAAGAAAACGAGAAAATCTTGGAATTAAATTATTACATTGATGAAGATTTGTTTTTCAACCAATGTTAAAATTCAGATGAAACTATACCAAACTCAATCGATTAAAACAGAACAATTGTATGTAAATAGACGCTTATATAAATATGTGACATGTGAATCATTCGTATAATGTTACGCTTGAACGCTTCGAGTCATGACTATGAAACGTAATGTAAACAGAACTATAAATCATGCAATTAGAATAAAGTATATTTTTTTGAAACAATAAAAATATTCTCTTAACAATATTCTAATATTCCCATTGTTATAATTTATTGGGTATTAATCAGAGAACTCATTTCAAATTACCCAAAATTCTCAGAATTAAAATGACATATAGAAACAACATAATCATATCCTTTTTATAGATTGATTTATTCTGTGCCTATATTTAGATTTAATTATAAGCAGTACCTTTATTTGCGTCGTATGTTTTGGAATTAGAAAAGCAAAGAGTAGACAGCTCAGTGTGCTGCAAAACAGGTTGGTAGTTTTTTGAATATCATAGACAACCATATTGGAATTAGCACGGCTTCGAGAAAAAATTAAGTCAAACTATTAGGGTTGAATTTTTGAACATATTTTTCATTATACTACTCTTTACTACGTCAATAAAGTTACTCACTGAATTTTTTTTCCTAAAATTATGATTGTAAACGGAAGATCGTGCTTGAAGTAGCTAATTACTTAGGGTATACCAAAAGTTCTGACCACGAGATCTTTAATTCGACAAAATCCATAGTTTTGAAAGTTTTATTGCGCGAATATGTATAGTAATATGCCTGCTCTATGATACTGCATATATTAGCCCTATATTAGATTTAATTCTAACAGTCATTTTGGAGAAAATCTATAATCTAGTGGCTATACCAATATCTAGCAGATCCTTGTGGAATGTTCGGATACATTCTGGAATATTTTATGTTGTTTATTTGTCTCTCGTGTAACGTTCTATGACGTCATGTTCAAGAACATTACATTCCGTGACTATTTTGAACATCTAATAAAATGAAACTAGAAATATGTTCTTCTTTTTATATATTTATTTGATGCCTTCAGAACTTTTGCTAATCATGAGCATTATAGATTTTATCGAAATGAGTGTTAGAATTAAATCCAATATGGGACTAATATATGCAGTATCAAGGAGCAGGCATATTACTATCTATATTCGCGCAATAAAACTTTCAAAACTAAGGATTTTGTCGAATTAAAGATCTCGTGGCCAGGACTTTTGGTATACCCCAAGTAAAATCAATATAGGACCATGTTACATATTTTTCATATAAGAAAGGTCTGCATTATCATATTATTTTCGATTAAAATAGTTCTACTTCGTATAGTCGAAAAAGCGTGACAGCGACAAAGAAAAATAAAATACGATTATGTTTAGATTTAAGAGACAAACGACAACAATCATCTTACAGTTATCAATTTTTTCCATAGTTCGACCGATAATTTTACTATCTATTTTTTTTGTGTTGATCTGAACTCGTTCCTTGATAAGCCTCTGTGCTTTTTTCGATGCTACTCCAAAAGAATATAATTAATTGATAATGTGTAGAAAATGATTTGCAAAGTGATTGACCATGTTTCATTTAAATAGCATTTTCCCCAATAGCTTATGCATCAATATAGAAGAATTCATTCAGAAAAATCAAGCATTATCATTTTTTAATAATGGATATGACCACAGATTGCTTTTACAAGAGTAACTTCCGTTAAACAACACAATATCCCTTAAACAGTAAAAACAAAACAGGTCCGCAATGCCAAAGATAATCATGAGTTTTAGAAAGTTGCTGTTAATACTTTCCTAGTTATTTTGCTGGAAAAGCTCAGCTGATATTTTCTTTTTTGACTTCGTTCCAAAAAAGAGTATTCAGTCAATTTCGAATTGCAGAGCTTTCTCGATAAATTTATTTTTGAAATAAAAGAAATAAATTTTCAATGGTTCAAATAATGAATATAATCCGCCACTTTTGAACGCAGATTATGTTACCATTGAAATATTACAGTCATGGTTCTAGCTAGTTCATTACAACAAGCAGTACTTGCTCCACCATAACCTGAATTGCCAATACCTTGAACATATGTCATAGCCCGTACTTGAACAAGAACAAAATTTTGCCATTGCGTTCGTTGTGATACAGAAGTAACACTATTTGTAAAGTTTTCTGAGTATGCAGTCGTAATTGAGACAGCCGTTCAACTAACAGTCGTTGTTAAAATGACATACATCACTTGTTTAGAATTATTCACAAACATCAATCAATAGTAACAGTAAATTATGGTAATCAAAATAATCGTTCGTAAGTTATTTGAATTCAATTGAATTTATCACATTCAACAGTATTGAGAAATATGAAATCAACAGACAAAGTCTACTTTCCTTAGATCATGCTATCAATATGCTGAACCCTTTCAATTTCTTGAATTTGTTTTTTTGTGTATAAGTTAACGATAATCACTTGCTTGAAAACAATGCGATTTCAGTACTGTTGGATGCTCCTAATTGTGAAATTTATTTCATTAATTACGTATAGAAAAGTGTTATTCTTGTCTTTTAACTAGTCATCGAGTAGAATGCATTTAATGGGGCGAAGGAATATATTGGAAAAAAATGGAATAAATTCAATTAATGCAACTGCTTAGAAAAGTGCATTGAAGCATAAGTAAATGTTTATAGAATAATAATTTAGTAAACACTAGTCTTACATGTGACTTGTATTGCTCAATTCTTTCAATATTTTTACTTTGAACGCCCGTTCAAAAGTTATGTTGATCAATGTATAAATGAAGCACCAACAGAAACATTCGATTCCATAAAAATTTCTTCGAAATACATAGCAGCTCTCCACTGAAATCGAAGCCTATCTCGTTCATAATAATTTTGGTATTTATTATGGCAGGACATAGTTAAATGAAAATTAGATTGAACATTTTTCAAGAGTACATTTCTTTAATTAGCTATCAAGTTTCTCTGTTTGAGTGCATACTGACAGTACTTCAAAACAAGATTGCCAATAATAATGATAACATTCTCACAAACAAAACATTTTTTCAAACAAAAGGAAGTGTTAACACTTATGATCATATATCAACGAAAGGTTGAAGTATTTTGAGTATGTTCGATCTAGCTAAAGCCAGCCCATTACTCTTCCGATAGTTTGTTTATACACGTTTAAGAAGCAAAAAATAGCACGAGTTGGATTCTTAAGCATTCTATCACATGCCAAGAAAATGAAACGTACGCAATAGAGACCATTGGTAGAGTCTTTTACGGCAGGTCCCAGGCATGTTCATGACGATAGAATGAAAGTGTTTTTTTTTCGGTCTTGATAACACCAACTAAGTTAACTTCATAAAGACAAGAACAATTTAACAGTTCTGCGATGGATTGTTCGCAATAGAAAGCATTGAAACTTTCCGCGTTCTATCTGAGCTAATAAAATGACACTTTCGAACAAATATATTGAACATGTAGTCAGAGCATGAGCAAAGATATCAGTGTGAAGCTAGCACGACGGAGCTAGCACGATGAAATAGAGATTCAACTATAAGCCTTCTCAGAAGTATTGCCGGCCTATAAAAAAACCAGACCATTCGATGCAGAATTTAATTCTGGATAGGACGGTGATACTTTTATTCTCCGGCAATACTTTGAGAAAATTCTATGCGGTTTTTCTTGTCCTATTTAGAAGAAAACAAAGATGTAGGTAAAAATTTTTCCTAAGTATTGCCGGGGAATAAAAGTATCACCATCCGATCCAGCATTAAATTCTGCATCGAATGGTCTGATTTTTATGGGCCGGCAATACTTCTGAGAAGGCTTATAGTTGAATCTCTATTTCATCGTGCTAGCTCCGTCGTGCTAGCTTCACACTGATAGCAAAGATAAATTAAATTATTCGAGATTGAACTTCATCTGATTCTTGATATACTGAAGATCGAGATCATATGACAAAGAATGGTCATTGTGAGAGTTCAATATTTATCTGCCGAACTGAAGAAGAATCCAATGAAATTCATATCTTACTGCCAACAAAACTGAGCTACTTTTCTTTGTAAAACTTTTATGTATTTTTATCCTTTTAATTTTCTTATACAAATAAGTGTATAAACTCTTTGCCCATTATTTTATTGTGTTGCTGATTCTTTCAAGTGATTAGCATTTTAAATTTCGTTTTATTCCTGTTAGTGTATTCGTCTGTGTAAAAAAACGATGCGCTTAACAGTTTGCTTCTAAAACATTTCTTTCAAAAGAGCCTGGTCCCATCATATTCCCAGCTGGATAATAATTCGTTACGACATATACTGTGCGTTTATCAGCCGAAAAAGCTATTCCAGCACCTAATAATTTTGATGATTTCCATACCAGTTGTGTAAAATGACCGGTTTTAGCTGAAAATGTTGGACGTCTAAAGTTATGTAAGGCTACTTCATCGTACCAACTTTTTACTGCTTTTTTTGCAGATGAAGTAGGTTGAGCGTTAGACATCCATTGCATGTAAAGATTTTCTCCTAGTGGTTCCTTTCCAAGTTTATTTCCGCTATGTTCAAATTTTGATGTAGCTGCTAAATGTTCAGCGTATGATTGAGCGATTTGATTGAGTCGCTTATCTATAGATAACGGTGGTGCACAATGACGAGCACGATACTGATTATGTAATTCTAACATTTCAGCGTGAAAACCTCCATTCAATCGACGTTGAGTCGGAACTAGAGCTTAAATAAAAAACAGAACGAAATCTGTTGGTGATATTTTACTATTATCAGCATACTAGTAAGCATTGTTCGTCGTTGTACTCGCGTACCCATGTCCACATAATAATCAAGTGGATGTTGGTATCTGTATCGAGGTTTTCGAATAAATCTTCTATCGTAATACAGATTCGAATTATGTGTTGGCCGTGCCATAACTTGATAAAACCGTGGATCCCTAAATTAAGCTATATTGATGCAAGAAATAAAAACAACACGAAATCAAACCATTACATTAATATTGAATATGTTTTTAATCAATATGTTATTCAAATGTATGATAAAGATGCCTTGCCAATGTAGGATACCTGTGCGCTAATAAACGTATCGACAGGCATTCATATCGTATCGTTTATATAGTAGTATTTGTTAGTGCGTCGAGCCGTGACAACAGAACATAAAATACGAAGCATTAGAAATAGCAAGCAAGAAATATTATTATTTTTTCAAAATATGGAAAATGTATGATAAATAACGTCGTCAATATATGAGTGATGGGGAAAAAAGGAAGATGTGTCATTTGATGAGTAAAAGGAAGTGTCGCATTAGAGGAACTTTTCATTGCAAACTCATCATTATACTCATCATCAGCTACCAAATAATTGAGCGAAAGAGAGTCTTTGCTGTTTAGCAGTAAATTTTACATTGTTGGTAGACTATGAACTTTAATAGATCGATAGGGCAAAGTAGCCTAACAATAACAAGTTATCATTTTATATGATCAAAATAATTCTCTGAATTGAAAGTTACTCTAGAAAAGAGTGATAATGAAAGTTGTCTCTGCACCGATCTATTTTTTATTTATTTTATAAGAAAAAACTTAAATTCAGAAGTCATTTTTGTTTTCTCCGCCTACGCATATATTTTAATGCTTCATAGACATCAATGCCCTATAATTATCTTAATTTGTAGTTAGCTTTTAAAAAAACGAAACGAGAAATATCACACGCATAACTAGTTATATCAGGACAGTGAGAGAAACGATGAATAATATATTGTTATATCTTATTAATTTATCTTGCTATTGATGGTTACTTATGATAATTGCGGAGCATTCAAAATATTCAGGTCCAACTAAAAGTATGACTAGATGGTGACGTATACAGGCTGACGAATACTTGAATTCTAAAGTAATTATAGCAGTTTTAAGATACTAATTATTGCTGAAAAGATCAGTTTTTCTCTTGTCGAGTTCTTCAAAATACCTAATATAGAAGTAACTATAGACACGATGAGATATGTTTAATATCGTACTTTCATAAAAATATTTATCTGTACAACAACTTGACGAACTTTATACAATCATATTTTAATTATGAATAGCAAGTTGATTACATCCACAGTAAATATACTGAAGTTCGGATATCTTCATTGGCATATACCGTGAATAGTTCATATTTCATATGTATACATTAGTTTATCGGTGATACGTTTAATTTGACCCTTATATGCCTAATGTCCTTGAGTTACAGTCGACATCATTCTTTTCATAGCAAGTCAAATCTCGATCCGACGAAAATGTCCTTTCGTTCTTTTAACAAATAAATTCGACGTAATTCTTTTAGAAGAAAACATGACGTAGAAGTTTCGTCTTTATTCTTTATATATATATATAGTGATGTACGACTAAACATTCTTTAACTGCTTTCATATCGTCGAATATTCACATAGATTCAAATACAATGGCTGAAGTAAAATATTTCTTTATTCAATTACTTTTTCATTGTAGTTTTATATTTATCTAAATTTTAAGACAACAATTATTACGACACATGTTCGTTCAGATTCTGATGATTTTGATATACGTCGAGAATTTTGTGGTTTTCAAGTACAAATTATTAATGTTTCTTTGTTGTTCGTTTAACTATCTCGTTTATAATAGGATACACGTCTGAATGACCTAAGGCAATTTACTTCTTGCATCATTGATTTACAAACACATGGTACAAAAGATCCCTTTGAAAAAGTTACTTGGGTCGTTTCGTAAGTATCATTGATTCAAAGCAAAGAGACGAATTTAATTGTTGCTACTTTTAGACATTTTGATGAAACAGTACGAGCTTTTGTTATTAAACGTATTCAAGCATGGGCTCAAACCACGCAATTAGCTGCTCATATGCATGCCGAAGATATCGTCTTTCATCAACGTCCGTGGTTTTATTTTAATTGATTTTTCAATTTAATAAATTATGTTTAGGCATGTCATCAGATTCATCATCATCTTCAATTGATGGTAAAATACAACAGCTTGGAAATTCAGTCAAATCCTCGCCATCACCAGCAAAACATTCTCATCCATCAATGTTTCATAAGAATGCTAAAACACCATCGTATATTCATCATCATAATAGTGTACGACATGCTGCTCTTGTTCCGCAAACCGATGTTCAATCTCGGCATCATCCACGTCGACGTCGAAATTCATCATCAAGTAGTGCAGGCATACGTCGGCCAGGTTAGATTCTCTCGACGACGTTGTCATTCGTGTTATTAATAGTTTGTTTTTCTACAGCGTTATTTGGTAAACCAAGTGACTTTTTTTTCTCACGAGCAAATGAATATCCACAAATTTGTCATTCTCCATTGTCAACACCAATTACAAGTAAATTATTTCATTGTTTTATCAGTCCGTTTGATAATAAATTTTTATTTGAAAGAAATCAAGATTAATGAAACAATGAAATTATTAAATGAAGATGGTCTTACGCTATTGAAACAATCGAATTCGGGAATCGAAAAAGAATATTCAATTGGTAAATATAATTTTAGAATCAAATGACTTCAGTTTTCTTATATTTTCCTCCTCTAGATATGAATAAAATTCAAAATAAAGAAAATAATCCAGAGAGCGACAGTAAGTATAATCAAAAGGACAAAGAAGAAAATATGTTTTCCAGTAAGACATTAGATTTTAATCAGCAGTTTTCTAAAAATACACCTTTCACATGTTATCATCAAATGCTTAACTGCACATGAGAGCTAACTATTCAGAACTTGCGAATTTCTTTTTTAATTTTTCAGAAGAGACACTCTCGATGTCATAATCTGAAACTTGTATTTTTCATTTTAGAAGGCGATGATATTGATTATGAAGAAGAAGCTAAATGGGAAAATCTTCTTTCGGATTTAAGTGATTTTGAAGGGTAAACTTTCTTTTCTACAAACAAAAACGAAAATTAGCTAATTTATTTATAGTGAGGCTCATCCATTAATGGCTGATATTATACTTGTATCTCAATTACGTGATTGCCTTGCTAATTCTAATATTTCACCAACAGATGATATTGAATATATCCAATCGCTTATAGCTACACCATTATCCATTACTTGTAATGAACAATTAAAAACCATGAACAGTAAATATGTATGGTTTTATCGACTTACACTTAATTCAAAAATCATCTTATCCAATGGTATACATAAATCCAGACGAGAAGCACAAAAGTTAGCCTATAAAAAAATGGTTGAATTAATGACAAATAAACAAGGCGTTGAAGCAAAAATCATCGCTAATGGCCGATGTAAAGTAGTAGTTCGAAAATCTATTCCATCGAAACCATTGAACGAAACAACAATTATCGATCCATTCATGAATAGCACTACAGAAGTTTATTAACACAATCGTTCGTCAAAATTTTTATCTAAATTGTTAAAAAATATTTCATTTGAACTGTCAGTTATTTTCTATTAATATTCTACCAACTTTTTCAAACTCTGTAATATCCATGTCAGAATAGAATGATTTTTTTCTCTCTTTAATTTATAATGAATAAAAAATGGCCTTAAGCATGTTAACTCAGAAAAATTATATTATCATTTTTTTAAATTCTGTCAGAATCAATAGATAAATAATTGATCAACTTTGTTTAAGTGTTTGCGAAATGTAGATCGTAACAGAATTGTTCTACATCGTTAAACTATTGACTATCAAAAATAGTTATGAAATCAATGTCAAGAGATGATGATTAAATTTCATTAATATATAGCGAAGAAGATTATTATTTTTAAGTAGAATGACTAATGCAATGAAATATTATTAATGAATTTCGATTGCACGGAGCCAATTTTACAGTATGAATAAATAAAGCTGAACTTAAATATTTTTAAATTAAACGTAATTCTCTTTTCGAAATAGAGAAATAGACGTGTGATGCTTCATTACTGTCCTACGCAAAACAAAAGTTAGTTGTTTTCTTTAAATTGCTGTCATTAGTGTATCTCACAGGGAAAATAGTAAAAGATAATTACTTTATTTTGAACACGGTCTTTTCAGTAGAGAAAAATCTTATTTCTCATGATAGTAAAGAAGTATAAAGAGAATGTATGCCATTTTTTTAAATCAAAATTGATGATGTCACGCTGCTGATCTATGCCGAGACACTACAAAGATTTTGTCAAAATAAAATGGATGATTAAAAATGTTCTGAGAGTTCGGTTGTTGCCATTTCCGTAGAAGTAGACAAAAGGAAGTCAACAGAGACAGTAATTATATGAATCTTGAATAATATCGAGCGTCTGCAGAAGAAATCTACAGCTTTATAAAACTTATTGTGATTCAAAACCACGAGCAATAGATGAAGTTATTCTTAACACTCTCCTGCTCAGAAATTTCTTAAAGACGTTTATGCTTCCAGAAAAATTTTCTATATTCCCCAGTCAGACAAGTGTTGAAAAAACGGTGTTTTTACGAGTAAAAAGCGCGCATTTTGATCCGTTAAAACGCGTTTTTTCTTGTTTTGAATCAAATGATTTTCTCAATGTTGTCATTCGCAAGCTTCCTTTGTTTGCCGAATTTTTTCAACGCTTGTCTGACTGGATGATCAGGATTTCTCAGTCATAAATAAGTAAATCATCTTCTGCATTCATTCTTTAAATAGCATTTCGACTATTTAATCTGTTAGTTTTTTTTGCGGCTTAATACGGTTCATATCAAGGGAGAAAAGGCGGATTTTTGGGATTTTCAAAATCCAAAAGTTGAAAAGCATTTTCCCCCCTGTGAATGACTTACTTTCGACCTGAAATTCTTCCCCATATACAGGTTTCATGGTTCATAGAAGATCCTAAAAGTTTCAACTCGAACAAATGTTTTCTTCTTAAAAAATTGAATTTTGAAAAAAACTGAATTTTCTGACCGTGTCGTGAAATGAGCATTTCTTGCGCATTCATTATGTTGGAAAGGAAACATCCGTTTGCGCTGAAAATTTTAGAATATTCTAAGGATCATGAGACTTACGCGTAGAAAAAAATTCAGATGAAAATTCCATCATTCACGTTTTGGATTTTAGGATTTTCAAAATTCCTAATCCGCCGTTTTCCCCTTGGTTCATATACAAATTATATTCAAAAAAAGAAAGAACTGCTATTTTGAGAGGTATCCAAGGACTGAGGGTTAAGAATTCCTCATCAGTTCCCCTACAGTTCCTTGCATACTAAATGTAAAAATATGGAATATTCACGATAATTTTTGTTCTTACACTCATTTTCACTTGAAAAATTGTGAAAATTAATGATTTCATGCAAAAATGATTTTTAAAACAGCAATATCACAATGTTCGTGCATGGTGGAACCGTGAGGGAACCTATAGTTGATTCCTATTTCCTCTAGGAATTATCACAGCGGCACTAACAATTCCTCGACACATTAGAAATTCCTATTTCTTAGTCCTTGGACACTGCTGACCAACAGTGTTTCCAATAGCAAGTGTACACAGCAGAAGCAAAATGTACAGAACATCTGCTAGTTTTGATTTACACTCTGCTATACACTTGCCCAGAAAAACAAAGCGTACAATGTACACTTTGCTAAAATAGTTTACACTCTGGTTTCTTTGATCTCTGAACCTTAAAAGCCGCATATAGTTTTAAATTAATTAAGTATGATATTTTTATTCCGCTAGTGATCAAAATGTTTGTTTCATGAGATAAAAAATAGCGAAAATTATATTTTGTTTTCTAGACTGTGAAAATTGGGCTGTTGCACACTTTGATACACGTTGCTGAAAAAAGTAAAGTGTAATGTACACTTTACTCATAAAAAACAGAGTGTATAGTACATTTTGTTTTACATTTCCATTGGAAGCACTGCTGACCAATACCAATTGAGTGCATACGATTCACGTTTAAAACATGGTACGTCACATAGTGTTCTTTGAAAATCTAGTAAATCATTTTCGCATGAGTAAAAGAATATTGAATAACTATAGAAGATAAATGGATAAATCAAACAAATAAGGATTGGTACATAATGAACAAAAATCATTTAAATATGATACACGAAAGTACTGTGCAGAAGAAACAAGAATATGTCGTTCAAATGATGCCCACGCAGTTAAAAGCAGATCACATGTATAGAATGAAAAATCAATATACATCCAAAAGCAATAAAATAAAAGTTCGATTTAGGATGAACAATACCTAGACGTAGATAATTAAGTGTTAGTGATAGATCAACCGTAGCAGATAGAAGACTAACAATAAGCATTGCTATAATAACATGATTTGATAATGTTTGACGAAATACTTTTGCAGTGAACATATGATGTAAAACAAATATTGAACATAGAATAGGTGGAATTTAAAAAAGTAGCAAAATCCAAAATTTTGGTAAACGAGATTCTGATGTTTCTGTTACTTCCATTGATTAAAGCTTTGCAATACTCAATGAATGCAGGCAACCTGTTAGATTGTGATAATTATTTTTATGATGCTTGCAAAGTTCTTTTCTTTGTTACGAAGATGTTCAAGAGCTGGAACGAGATGTAGAAAAGCATTTCCATAATTAAACGCTGTTCTTTTTTCTTCCATAGAATACTGTGACCAAAATAAATTTGTGTATGACTTTCTTTTCAGTCTTACCCGGTGTAAGAATTTTAAAAATCTTACTATAGACTTGACTTATTCTAGCTACAACTCTTAATACTACCTTATTAAAATTTGTACCACCTAAGTCATTTTTCTGTTGAGATAAGAAGAAAAATACAAATGTTCAAGAGACTTTTTTCTCGCTGGTATTTCGCACTAGAAAAGTCTCGCACCCTAAAGACTTTTGTCGACAGCCATATTGAACCTTTGTTGTATTTCATGTATCATCAGCTATAGATGATATTGTAAATTGGTGTAAAAATGCCTACGAAAATAATTTTATTTTTTCTTATTTACATATATAAATGAGATTTCACTGTACGATATATTACATTTAACGAAACATTTAATAAGTCTAAATGAAAATAACAGTATGATTGCTAATTTGTACTCAAATTAATGGTGATGACAAATAACGAAATATTCTTCTGTTTTTTTTTCAAATTTTTGAGGGAGGAAACAATAATAAGTAATCTGAAGTGTTTTTTTAAACAATCGTTAGAATCATTTATTATTCATATATGTGAAGGAGTACAACATCGAAAAGATTAATAATGTTTTTTTTATCATACTCGGTGTGCTTGAGTGTGGGTGTAAATCCATGACTATGAAGAAAACAACAATGTCCTTCGTAATAAAATCTGCACAAACACAATCGTAAATTTCGTGTGTATAAATTCTTAAAGATCTTCAATCTAGCAAAGTAATAGATTATGATAATAGTTGAATTAATAGGTTTACATCTTAGAAATAGTGCTTTGTTAGCACAATGATTTTTATTCTATCTATACATTTATTTATTGTTATGTGGGCTTATTGAAACAATGAGTTATCAGCGTGAATCATAGATGTTATCATACCAAACGAATAGAAGAACTCATTGTTGCTCCATGAAAAGATTTCTTATCTTGACATTGAATTAAAACATCAGGAGATTTCTCTAAAGTCGATTTTTATGATAGCTATGATGGAAAAAAATGAAGAAATTATTACGAAATTTTTCCAAAATTATTTTAAATAAAAATGAGGAAACATCGGATGCCCATCCGATTGTTATGTGTACTGCAAAAACTGAGCCGATTTAATTGTTTTGAATAATTTTGAGAAAAAAAAATCCTTTTGAATAAAATCCCTTTGGGGGGGGGGGGGGGGGGGGGGGGGGGGGGGGGGGGGGGGGGGGGGGGGGGGGGGGGGGGGGGGGGGGGGGGGGGGGGGGGGGGGGGGGGGGGGGGGGGGGGGNATTCCTGTACCCCCCGCCTCTCAGGGATGGTCTGGTCAGTAATGACAATTTTTTCGATAACTCAGCCATTTCTTGACGGATCCTTCTCATCTTCGAACTCGACTGAGATATTGATGAAATCATTTTGTGTACAAAATTTCAAGACAATTGGATGAGGCTTCAAAGAGTTATCGTGTTAACTGCCGGACACACTGGCCGAATCTTGAGTGTACTCACTTTTTGAATACACAAAAAGTATTTATTTGTTGATGCTTATCGTCTCACTATTATCATACTTTTTCTAGGTGATGTCGTTGTCGGCAAACACATCTAGATTTAAAACGAAAATGGATATTAGAAGATCTTAATTGCATTGTCATACGTTTAAACGCTTCATAGAAACCTTTTAATACGTATGTCAAAATGATCTTAAGATCAAAGCAATATATAATTATTATCTCCAGTATTACTTGTTTTTCTGTTTTTGTAAACATTGACACTCGATATTCAGCACCATTATGGATGCGTTCTAATGATGTTTTATTAAGACTGGTAACTACCTTATGCGACAGTTTGCTTCTAGATGTATTTGTTGTAGGACAGATTAAAATCCAGTTCAGATCAAAATTATTTTAATCAGTCCTGCGACGTATTTCTAAGTAATCAATAAAATGATATATTGAATTCGTGTGTTTATCAGGAAAAAAATGCATCGAGTGGGTTCGAACTAGACATAGAATGATATTTTTAATTGGTAACAAACATGAAAAAATTTATCGGAAAATGAAATCGATGTTCAAACATAGCCGAATTATCAAGGATATAGCTGAATGATTGGGCTTAAATTATTCATAAAAACAACCGCCGTTGAATTTATTTTACTCGTATAAGAAAATAGAAACGTCATCTCCGAAAATCTTTTCAAAACAAATCTGTTTATTTGTACTGTATTTTGCTATTCATCGTGCCAAAGTAACAAATGTTTATCATGACATTAAGCTTTGTTTTCGAGAATTTGAGATGTTTATGATAATTATTTTACCTACTTCAAAATGGCCCAGGAAAAAAATATTCTGATGGCACCATTTCAACAGTCTATTGTTGAATAAATATATTGGCCAAGGAAATGTAATATTTGCTTTGCTTTAGTTTATATAAAAACTAATTTATATTCCAATAATGAACGTGACAATTTTTTCATGTTATAACGCCTAGAAAAATAATCTTTCTTAATTACTGATAATTTGAAGAGATTCGGAATTAGCCTTTTACCCAACGATTATTTATAATTAAAATCATAGCCAGGAAATTAGTCAGTATTCTATTTCAATAGACTAAAAATATTACATGATTAATGTATTTTTATTCAACAATTGAATTGATTAAATTCTTCTAAAACGCGCTTGTTCACTGTTACTAATATAAAGAAAGAAATTCACAAGAATTTATCTATATAATAATGTTGTAGAACCAATTATTAATAGCAATGTACTGGAATGAAGTGAATAAAACTAGTTTTCTTGTTGATGCTCCGAACAAGATAGAACATAAATATTAATAGGTTGTTAATAAATAATTTTCTCATGAAATGTGTTAGCTTTTTAAATCAATAAACATTGATCATATCGTGTTTATTTTCTATGATTTCAAATATACATGTAAGCTCTTTCTTGAGGAAAATCTAGGCGTCTTACTCGATCGTATTTTCTAATTTGACTACTGTCCATTCGAAGCTATTCTATTCGACATGATATTTTGTTCGTTCGATCTAATTGATATTTTTAAACACTGAATAAATAACGCTTCAAATTCAAGAAACAAAAAAATGGTAATCCTTTAGTAATTTTCTTATTTAAATTGCTTTATTTGATATTGCTAAAACGAACTATGTATTATCAAGCCATGAGCATAGTGGTCTTCATTGTGTTTAATCACGAAAACATTTTATTGAGAGTTCCATTGTTCTATTATAGACAAATACTCTTAACATTCTAAATATTTCTTAATGAGAAACAAAAAACATTGGCTGTCTATTTTTCTAAGTACGTAAAATTCTATAGGTAAGAAACTCAACCCATTGTTTGTCATCACATAGGCGCTCTGTTTGTTTGAATTAGAAAATAGAACTCATTAATTTTATTATGTTGGATTTTGATAAAAGATTCTTCAACGAGTACTTTGTTCGAAGTGGTCGTACTAGAGAAATATGATTAGGAAAGAAAACATATGACCTTCTCTTTGTTTATGATAGCCATCGTATGTCTTGAAACCGTCCTATGGATCATAACTATCATCTTTTTGTTTTCGCTTAGATACTAATATTATCTTAACATCATTTATTGTAACATGGAATATAGGAAAAAAGCAATCCATTTGTTAAAAAAAAATAAAAACACAAACATTCGATAATCCAATAAACATTTTATTTTTCTGATTACAGAAAACTACATCTGATTTTTCTTCATAAGATAAAGTCGATTTGGATTTGAAATAGTCATCACAATTGAATCAAAATCGATTGCATCATCGTAATCATTTCGAAGTTTCGGCTTATGATAACTTTTTATTAATTTGTCTCTCAATACAGATAGCATTTCATGATATGCGTCTTCTCCATTTTGTTTTCTATACGTCTGACAAGCGGATAATGATTCAATAAAGCCAAAAAAATGTCCAATTGTTGTTTCTGTTCGATTTTCAATTGTATATTGACATAACGTTGATTTATATGGTAAAAGAGGTACAAGAGATTGATAATAATCATCAGCTAACCATCGTTTCGCGTTCCAATATGAAAATAATAGAACGTGGTGAAATTCATGATACATAGCATCAGCTTTAGGGTTATCTAAAGTGCCCAATGCGTAAGTCCATATAGCAAGTACACCTGTTTTTGGTTTAAGTACACGTTTAGCTTCTTCAAGAAACATTTCTATATCAAGCCAATGTAGTGTTGTTGCAATTGTGATTAGATCAACAGAATTTGATTGTAGAAAAGATAGATCTTCTGCCGTATGACATTGATATTCGATGTTATCTCTTTGAATAGCATAAGCAATTTGATTTGCGCTAACATCAATACCAATAACTCGTTCGCAAAATCTTTAAAATAGGAAAAAAAGAAATTTTCGTTCGCTTTATTTTGATACATTTAAAATCATATATATATACATATATGTGATTTTTGCTACTTACGAGCTAAGATCCACTGTGGCTTGTCCATTGCCACACCCAACATCGAGTGCAAGTGGGATTTTTTTATCTGTAATTTTTCCATCAAAATAATAATCAAGAATATGTTCAAATATTTTCTTTGGATAACCAGGTCTATGAAGGCGATATTTTGCTGTGTGTTCTTCATCGTCAAACATATGATGGCTCATGGCAGTTTCTTTCTCCCCGGTACTCTTATAAGACGACGACACCGACGACGTTGATGATGTTGTTTTTTTTTTTCGTTACTTGTTATTTTCTTTTTCTTTTTTCTTCTTATTCTTTTCTCTCTCTTTCTTGCGTTCTCATTCTCTGCATTCTCTTATCACTTTCGTCCTAGTAATAAAAGTAAATACGTCTATAATATCCAATTTTTTTTATAAAAAAAAGGAAAAACAATCACACTAATGTTACAACGAACACATAGAAAAAGATGTATTTGACAGTTGCACATAAATGTCCAAAAGCTGCGTTGTCAGGTGCATCTAATTCAATTTTATCTTTTTTTCCTATGATAAAACATACATGATACTGTAATTATTCATATTTATTAACAAAAATTGCATTTACGTGAGAAAAATATATTCATAGGCTATTTTTAGCAAGAGATTTTTTAATTGAAATGAAAAATGAATGAGTAGAGTTCAGTTTTTTGTTTTCACCATCTACTTTGTCTAATTATTTAAAAGTATGTACCATTTTTACTTTCAAACTCACAAAATTCATCGAGCACGAACTAATTAAACTTCTCATATGTTAAACTGAGTTGTTTTTATCTTTCTACGAGCAGAAAGCCTTGATTTTTATATCCACGACATTTGATAGGTACCATAGTAAATTATTTGAGACAGAAATACATTAAAAAAAAGATACGAAAAAAAAGACAGATTCTTGTCTGCATTCTCATCTTACAAAAAAGCAAACTGCGTGCAATAAACGAACATCAACTGAATGAAAATCATGCATTTGTCTTCAATGATATAATTGAGTAATTGAATTTTAATCGACACATAAATAGTCAATAAAAACATATTACCAATTACAGACTCGAATTCTAGGCCCGTCAATATTTTTTGTTTTCCTATCTTTGCTTCAAACTGACGCGTTTTGATCTGAAATGTTGCACTAATCCTATATATTGACTTATAGGAAATGAAACAACAAGTCTATAGTCTCTATGCTGTAGGTTTTGTTTCTTTCAGCGCGTCTTTTTTTCATCAAAGAGTTATTCGAAACCTTGAAATCATAGGTATGTTTAGTCAAAGTTTAGTGAGACATTATTTCGAAACCATTGACATATGAAAAAATTTATTGAAAAGGAAAATCTAATCTTTCAGCAAAGTCCACGGCTTCGTCGATGAAGGCCTAATCAATTTATTTGAAAGTTTTTGAAGAAAATCTTTGTAACGGAATGAATCGGTATCGATATTGTTCGATTTAGTCATTGAAAAAAAGATGCACTCATTAGAGTTCGTTTTCTATTGATACAGAAGCCGATGATATTAAAGGCCATTCGTGTAGATGCGAAAGACAATCAAGTTCAAAGTATACTTAGAGGAAGAGAAAAAAACTGGCAATAGCTAGAGTAAAATGCTAAATCGTAAAATAAACTTCTAGCTACACAAGAAAGAAGGAGAACGAATATACTAGAAAGATCACATACACATAGATGGAATACATATGATGACGTCACAAGGAAAGAAAGAAAAAAAAACATAAATAGAAGATACAACTACTTAACATACTTTTAGAAGAAGAGAAAATTCAAAGGACAGACATTTGGATATTATCAATCTTTTGTAAAACTCAATATTAGCTTTCAAAAGATGCCCTGGTTATTTTGTTTAACATCGTCACGAGTGAACACAATTCATTTTCTTCAATATACTAAGAAAAAGCTTGAAACCCAAACAAACAAATTAATTTGAAACTATGAAACAATGTACTTTCAACATTTTCTGCTAAAATAATAGTTCTATCAAAAAAAAAACAGAAATCTGCATGCCACCTGATTTTCGTGTTCGAGCATGTCTTCTACGAAAATGTAACTGTCATATTTTTTAACAGAAAAAATAGTAACACGTTATTGAAAAAGCTTTTACTTGTCAATCCCATTATTTTTCAATGGTGATTATTGTTTTCTTCTGCTAGGCACGCTTTAGACTCGATACTCTTTTGTATGCACTCGGGTGGACTCTAATGTCATCGACTTCTATATTAATAAAAAGCAAATGTGGAAACTTCGGATTTCATCCGAGAGTTATGTGTACTGCAAAAAGTGCATGGGACATATGAGTCATTTTAGAATGTCTGAACACCAAAATTATCATGAGAAACTAGGCCATTTGATTTCTGGATGCAGTTTTTGTGCATTTTGAGACGTTTTTCAGGCGATGTTTCGTTAGAAAGCTACGGGTTAGTTCGAAACTAATATCAGATTCGGAATCAGCGTTAAAAACTGAGTCGATTTATATATTTTGTGGATAGTTCTGAGAAAAAAATGTTGTTTTTGAAAAATCCCTGTACTCCTCCTCAGGGATGGTCTGATCAAAAATGACAATTTTTTCGATAACTCAACCATTTCTTGACGAATGCTTCTCATCTTCGAACTCGACCTAGATATTGATGAGACAATTCTGTGCACAAAATTTCAGCTCAATCGAATGTAATTGTGAAGAGTTATCGAATAAACGGACGGACACACTGGCCGATTTTAGTAGTGTACTCACTTTTTGAGTACACAAAAAGCACAGAGCTCTAAGAAATGTATTTTTTTCATAAAGAAATGAAATAATATCGATAACGATCTAGTCACTTATGTGGATTCTCTTCGAAACCTTTCAAATAAATTGATTAGATCTTCATGGACGAAAACATGTGCTTTGCTTAAAGTTTAGATTTTTCTTTTTAACAAAATTTTCCATATGCTAATAATTTCGAAATAATGCTTGGCTGAACTTTGACTAAATATACATAAGATCTCAAAGTTCTAACTAGACGAAAAACTAAAAATACAACATAAATGATAGAAGATGTCAACATTCTTCGTTTCGGTCTAATTACTGTAAGATTAATGCAATGTTTTCATTAGAATTTATTTATTTTTTATTTTCATACAAATAGAAAAGAAAAATATTACAATGTCAAGAATATTTCTCTGAAATTGCTAATTGTTTTTCTTTCCCAGACTAAAAATAGATATTACATAAAACTAAGTAGCCGCTAGACGGAAAATTATCAATTCTGCATTATTATTATTCGAAGTCATATTTCTGGATGGTAGATTGATGTTTGCGTTTTTAACAGCTATCCGATAGTTATTTTGGTTCGAAATGGTAATAAGATGAAAACTATGAACTCGCATTTAGAAAAAATTGCTTGATTGATGGCAGGATATAAATATGATTAATTCTATCCATGTTTTCTATGTCTTATTAACTATGATTGATTTTCTTGAATATTACAAACAGCTCGAAAACAATTAACACAAGGATTGCGTTACGCAGTTTTATAGGTCGCCCTATATTTAATATTTACAACATACAATGAATAAAATATGATAGTTTACATAAGAACACACATTCTAGAAGCTTTATTTGTATTTGTTGACGATTGTTGGGTCGATCTTTTACTTAGAGCTCTTGAAAAAAATCTAGTTTGTGGTTCACCTTTAATCTGTGTTTGGTTAACGTCAACTTTTGAATTCGATATCATGAGGTTTTCAGGTGTTTCAACTGTAGGGAACATAAAACTATTTTGAAATGCACATAATGCTTGTGAACTTATTATTAGATTTTTATAATCTGTCGATGATATAGATGATGAAGTACAGCTGCTAGTTGTTAATGATACTGACGATAGACTGCTTTTACCATCAGGATTATGTTGATAATATTTGGATAATACTTTAGGATTTAAATGTTCATTAATATTAATGTCCGCTGCATGCAATGATATTGTTTCGAAACTTTGTTTCGGCATTGGCAACAATCGTTCATCGGATGATGATGTTCTAGTATCAGAATGTACTTCATTTTTCAAACAATCATTCAAACTTATACGATTATAAAGAGGTTCATCTAGAGATGAAAAACGATGGCCTAATTTTAATGATTCATTTGTAATAGTAATAAGAGGTATTGTACAATTGGATGCAGATGTTTTTAAACTTATTAGATCTTCATTATTTTTATAAGTACTCGTTGGTGAAGATTCGTCAGTTGTTTTTTCATATTTTGTACTCATCAATGGACTTTCCGTGAATACTGATGAGTCATCAGGATCAGAATTCGATCGAGTATATGAAAGTGAATTTTTTGATAGTTTAACATGTTGATGACATGCTTCTATTGACTGATCGACTTGACTCATGTAATTAGTCATGGAAGGTGAACGGCTTCTATGATGAAGATTTTTCATGAATTCAGTTATCGAATTTAATGTATCTAAACGGAAGAAAAAACATTTTGAAAACCAATAATTGATTTCATACTTTCAAGATCTTCTTCATCTTGTTGACTTCGTTTCTTTTGAGCAATTATTATTGTTTGATCACCACCACAAACAACTTTTAATACATTTAATCCTTTGAATGTATCGACTGAACACGGTTCAAATTTATTGGAATACATTTCGCAACCTAATTTTCCATATTTACCATCACCGAATACATACAGATCACCATTGAGACCAAGAAGAACTGTATGAGCTTTGCCAGCAGCAATAGTTGTAAGATTTTTTGGTAAATTTTCAATCATTTTAAAATTTTCTGAATTTGAAATTTTACGACCAAGACCAAGTTGACCATGTTCACCACGTCCTATTAATTATTTTCGTATTTATTGATGAATGAGGAGAGGGAAAGTTGATTCGTGCGATTTCTACAAAGATTTCCAGCTATTAGTCAAAGTTTTCTCGTTTTGTTTTTGATTTTCGTTATAAATTTTAATGAAAAACAAAAAGATTCTAAATGCATATCATACCACATGTGTAGACTTCTCCTTTTTCCGTTAGTACAACAGTATGTTGATTTCCACATGCAACAACTTTAACGCGATCCGGTAATGAAACTTCTAACGGACGAATAGATTGATCGGGTATTGAACGTCCTAATTGTCTATCGCGATTATTCCCGAATAAAAATAAGCGACCATTTTTAACTACTAAGCCCGTATGATAATAACCACATGATCTGAAAGAAACAAAATCATTAGTAGTTTACAAATTTGTTTTTAATCTTGTCTTATGATAATTTACATGCTGTTGACAAAATATTGTAATTTCAGTTCTGTCGGTTTTTTAATATCATTTTGTTTACGTGCCAGTCCACATTGACCATCTTCATTTGAACCCCAAACATAAACTTTACCATCATAATTTAATGCGCATGTATGTTCTGCACCCATTGCTATTTGTTTCCAAGACATTCTTGAACGAAAATATCCGATTCGAACCGGATGAGGATAAATAAGTCGTGCTTCTTTTAATCCAATACCTAATTGATGACGTCTATTTGAACCGAATGCATACAATGCACCATGATTTGTAGCAAGCAATGATGATTCACGGCCACATGCAGCTAATATAACTTTTTCTTCGATTTTCGTAAAATCTAAAGTTTTTACAGTTGAAATTTCATTGGTACTAGTCGTATGACCGAGACCGAGTTGACCTTAAATATTTTTGTAATAAAGAAAACAATGAAGAAGAAAAGCAGCTTTTTAATGATACCTGAATCATTATCACCAAAACCAAATACGCGACCACTTTCAGTAATAATAATGGTGTGTCTATCGCCAGCTGCCATATGTATGACTGGATCATTTGGAATATAAAACTCTTCGTTTTTAGCCAAATAAGTTTTCCCGAATAGATGAGCTGTTGGAGCATTATTATGTGAATTTTCATGAATTTCCATTTCTTTCGAACTTTTATTTTAACGATAGAAATAGATGTGAGAACAAAGATATTTGATTATCTGATATTACAAACTAAACGGCGAAGGAGAAAAAGACAAAACTTAGAATTCCGTATTCATGCATGAGTAATGAACAGCTATTCATCTCATCATCTTCATAAACGCAAATTTTATTTTTAGAAAACATCATATTTCAATTAAAATATCATATTGAATAGTTTGATAGCATGCAGAAAAAAAACACATTTCAAGTAAGGTTTTGTTCTTATGATAAATATTTTAGAGATACAATAATTTCGTATTTCAATGATACTATTAATCAATTATAATAATATAATCCATGTAGATCTTTCCAGAATCAATAGTATGAAATAGGAGAAATCTATTTTCTATTCATTTTCTAGTAATGTCCAAGTAACCGAAAAGAATGCATGACATATAAAAATAGAAAGTAAGACGAAACATTTATACAATAAAAACCTACTTTTTTCTTTTATGTCTTTTGTTCTACTTTGATAAGTAACACCAAGTACAGAACCGGATATTCCATAGTACCGATTTATCTTAATAATTCATATCTTTATATTATTCACCATGTGATAGTATTTCTGTATAAAAAACGAAAGCCGGTAATGTTTCTCTAGATAGGCCTTTTTAGCGATATACATATGGTTAGATTTGCATACAAAACATTTGATGACTCTTTGCGGCTGCAAGTCCTATATTGATAAAGTTCAGTCAATTCCATAATCTTTAACTACAGTAAAACTTCACTATTTTGAAAACCATCGGAACTGTTCACTGTACGGATTCTGATACATCATTTTTTATAAAACGAGTGTGGAACTGAATATGGTAAAAAAAAATTTTCATTTCTGTTCAGTTCCAAAAATATTATACTTTTTGACCAGTTTACGTTGTGCTAAAAACAATCATCTGCATTACTATCATAAACTAAAGGCATTTTTTTTATTGCACCGTGTGTTCATACCGCAGTATCATTCTTTAACTCACACGCACAGTACTCAAATCATACAAAAAATGTATTCACTCCTAGTTTATAAGGGGAAAAGGCAGAGAATATCAAGAGGTCAGAAAACATGCTTAGAGTAGAGAGGTCGTATAACCCAAAAGTACTGGTAAAAGAGTATTCCCTGTTCAGAGTACGGAAGGTGTTCACCAGAAGAGATTTTAATGTAGGATAAATAACACGGACCAATTAATATTCGATTCACATCACAATCTTTTATTTTAAGATCAAAGTGATGCCCGTTCCATCAGAAAACTTTACTAAAATTTTATTTCATATACAATTGAATGTCAGATGAACAAGTTTGAATGAAACAACATCATAATTTATTTCGCTGGAAACATTTCTTGACTTCTATATATATATATATATATATGATACACACACATTTATCAAAATAACGCAAATGAAGAAAACAAAACAAAACAAAAACTTTCTTTCTAAATACAATATTGTTTTCACTTTCATTGTCTACAATGACACGATTCGAGAGAAAAATACTTTTTTTCTCTATATAAGTATACAGAAAAACAAGACGAGTAGTAATAATAGTAATAATCATAAGAATTTAGTTACAAAGTGACGATGAAAAAAACAGCTAATTAACTGAAAAAAAGAAGCGAAATGAATTAGTCAACTTGTTATTTGCTTCATTTGACACCGGCTGTGTATTGAGAAGATATTTAGTATATTTGATTGGATATTTAAAATAAAATACTCCTCATCAACTAGATGTTTTTACCTTCATCTATTGATCTACATTTTTTCTTTATAGATACTTTTATGATTACGCTTCGAATCTTTCTATCCTATCGACTTTCTTTTACAAAACAACTTGAGCTAGTTCAAAAAATTTCATAAGATCTTTTACGGGAACATTTCGAGCTTGTGCTTTTAAACGTAAATTTCTATCATCGGTTATCAGTACAACCTCGCGATGCAATCGAATAGCTCCATCTAAATCAAATAATAAAAATATTTCATTCGGTCCAACAAAAACAAATTACCTTTGTTCTGTGGAAAAAACTCTCTTGGATTGTCGCGACACTAGACGGAAAAGAAGACGCGATATGAATTAAGCAAAATTTCTCTGCAAAAAAAAAACCTACATATTTCAAACAGCATCCCAAGATTGTATCATCATTCGATTCCTATGAAATTTAATTAAATTAAGAAAACAATTTGCTCCTTTATTCTTACATTTTTTTTGACTTCGTTTCGAAACTGAATAGAATCTAAAACCGTTCCTTCGCCAGTCATGGCTTGTACACGTCGTTCTTTACTAGCAAAACATTCTTCAATCATTTTAACAGCTTGTATCGATTGTCGACGAACCATTTCTGCATGTTCATATGAATCATCATCGGCAATGGTCGTCACAGATAATTTATCAAGTTCACAAATAACTAAAAATAAAATTTCAAGATTTCATCTTCTCAAAAATAACTATATACTAACCAATTAATGGAATAATTATTATAAATCGACCTTGTTTAATTAGTTTATATATAATGGGTAGATAATTGACAAAACAGTTCGTATCAAGAACAATAAAACGTGGTATCACTTCAATTTCGATTAAACGAGATGTATTGAGAATGTCCTAAACATTTAAATATTAGACGAGCATTCATTATTTAGTTTTCTTACTTTAACAACTTGTTCTTGTTTTTGTTTTTCTGCTAATTGATGTTCTAGCTGTCGCTTTTTTAGTTTAAGTTCTTTCATATCAATTCCATTGATAATTGTATCGGGTGATGATTGATCAGTACTATTCGAGTTGGGCAATGGAGAAGTCGGTTCGCTTGTATGAAACTCATGCTCGATTGATGAATTCTAAAGAAATTTTTAATTTTTTTTAGTTTAACGAAAAATATCAAATTTACCGGATTGTCATTTGCTGGACTTTTACTTCGTTCAGAATGAATGGCTGATTTCAAAGCTGGATGATAAGTTTTTTGTTGAACATTATAAATGAATACTGGTTGTTTAAGACCACACAGGTAATCAGCAAAAAAGCATAAACGAATAATGCGTTTACAATCTTTTGCCTCATCCTTAAGAATATTAAAAAATTAATTAATTCGAAAAATATGATCTTTATTTCGATTACAAGTGGTGTATCACTCGTTGTTTGTAATGTATCAGCTGGTAGTGTAAGTAAAGGATAAAAACCGCTCAGTTCAATATCTTCTTCCAAAATAACTGGTACTGAGTTTTGAAAAAAATCAATAAATTCAAATGGTTTCGTCGTTAAATCGACTTACTTGTTAAATTTGAGCCAAGTTGAATATGTGTTCTATCAATTGTTCGAATTAGATTAATAACTTTTGCAAGCGACATTAGAATATCTGGATGTGGACCGAATTCAGCTGGTAATTGATCAGGTAACGGTATAAATGAGTTTGCATTGCATGTCATCCAATCAGTAAAAATTTTCAAGGATGGAAATACATGTCGTAGCCAACTGTTAAATATTGGAGCAGGTTTATCAGCATTACTTATTACTGAACGAGCTTTTAAGTGATGTTCAATAATAAGCGATGTCTGCTCAGTTAACAAACCAAACATATCGAGAGATAGTTGAAGAGATGATTCTTCATATTGAGAACGAACAACAATATCAACTTCATTAAAAAAAATTAAGAAAATTTAGTCTTTGTTTTGTTTGAATGAAAGAAAATCTTGGTAGATTGAAGTCTTTTCTGATATTATTTGATGCTTTTCATGTTAATCATGTGATGCCTATTGAAAATCAATACATCCTTTTTCACATGAAAAAATTTGTTCAGACGCTCGAACAAGTCTAATATGTATTGTCCTTGATTACTATGGGAATTTTTCCAATTATTATCGATTTTCTTCCTCTGTTAACAATTAAAATCTCGAAATCTCTCGTCACCATAAATTTATACTTCTTTCACTGTGAGCAATCTGAATAAAAAATACCTGAAACATTAACTTGTTTTGCTACTTCAATTTGGTACATATTAATCGCCATCATTTGTACTAATTGTTGTCTACCAAATACGCAGGGATCTTGACGAAGTAAATATTGAAATTGACGAAGCATTCGTGAACATAATTCTGTATATGATTCCATTCTTTATTTAAAATAAAAGCAAAACAAAAAAGTAGATTATATTTTTTTCTTTTGATTTTCTTACCCTGTTTTTGTATATAATTTACCATGTAGTGCAATATAATTCAATGTAAACCAATGAATAAGCTATAGAAAAAGCAATTAGGAAAATTATCTTCTGTATTCGTTAGCATACTTCTTGTTGAGATACACAACCATCGAACTCATTTTGACTATTGCTCGATTGTCCATCATCAAGACTTCGTCCGACAATGGTTCCATCTGTTCTTTTCCAAATTTCTAATTTTTGATTACCTAGAAGAAAAACGATAAAAACTATCGTTTTTTTTAAATTAAAATATCAAATAGACCTGCTCGGATTTTTCGTTCATTTTTTTTTTCACGTTCTTTAAGTTCTTTTTCCAATGTTTCGAGCTGAAATTTATATATCAAAGTAAGTTTATCATTTCAAATAAATTCTATCGAACACCTACACGCCGACGAGCTTCTTCAAATAATGAAACAAGATTTTGTTTAACACTATCATTAAGTGTTGTTGTGGCAAGTGCTCGTATATAATAATAAATAGCGTCCAATCGTCGATGCTATGACAAATAAATAAAAATATTATCTTTGCAATATGTAATTATTCTTTCTTACAGTCATCACAGCTAATATCGCTAATTGTTTACATGATTTTCCATTTTTCGGATATAATAGTCGAGCACGAAGATAATATCTAAGTAACAAAAGTCATCTTATTTTTTTTTCTTGCTATAAATTTAAACTTACTTTCTTGCCTCAGCATAATCAGTACCATTCCGATTCGTTTCTTTATATCTACAATGAGATAATAGGCATGAATATCTTTGCAAGATACTTCATTTTTTCATACCGAGCTAAATCACCAAGATTAAGAAAACAATGTTGTGTACAAAGAAGAGCATATTTAGCTACAATAGTATTTAATTCAGGCGAATATGCATTGGGATTAAAATATAATTTTGTATCAATATGAAACGCTGATTCAAGTTGACGAATGAAAGCAAGAAAAAATCGTTCACCCTAAAATATTTTCAAAATAATATACAATACGAGACACAAAAGTTCAATGATAGGTTTTTAATCAGCTCGATGGAACACATCCCGAGAGGTTTTATCTCTAACTGAAGTCTTTGAATACTTGATCGAGCTTAGTTTATGTAGAATCTTTAAAGAGAGCGATACTATAAATATCATTTGGATTTGACTTAGTAACAGTTTGATAGGCCCAGTAATAGAAATGTATGTTTGTTAAACTTGAAATTCAATTTCATGAATCATTCTTCAGTGATTTAGTTTTAAATCAAAACTTCTTACATCTTCAATTACGGTTTCAATACATTTTTTCACATTACTATTATCATTTAATTGTTTATCATGTTCTCTAAAACGTTCAATAACATTGTGAAAGCATGATTTCCATAATTGAGCATCGAGATTTTTTGCTAATGATGATTCAATATCTGTCATCATCGCATGAATATACGCTTGTTGAAGTGTTATTCTAAATAGATAGATAAGTAAATAAAAATCTAGTATGATATTCTTGTAAATCATACTTGGCTTCCATCATTCGTCGAAAATTGACTTCCATATGTGGTGAATTGTTTAGATAAATAGATAAAGATTTTTCTAAGTTATGTATTTGTGTAATCCAATAATTAAATGCTTGTTTTCTCATTTGCATGGCTCTAAACACTAAATGTGCTACACGACACTTATCAATTAATATACCTTCTTACTGTGCAGCTTGTAAACAGGCATCATTTTGTTGTGTATTGCCATAGGTTTGATTCCAAAGTTCATGATTGAAAAATTGCCTAAACGAAAAAGCAAATCATTTATTTTTATTTACTATAAATACATAAAAAATGTCTTCGATTTTTTAAAATGTTACTAATGGATTAGTTTCAACTATTAAAATAAAGCATGAGCAGCATGTATTACACAACGATAGAAAAAAGAGCAAGAGCAAATTTTATTGTTATTATTTTCGTTTTTTTTTTTTTTGGAATTAAAGCATTCTTACGATTGATAGCTAGAGAGATAGATATCATTGTGGTGTTTTTGTAAATTCAATAATGAAATGTTTAAATTCTTACTGCTGATAGAATTCTTGCATTTGCTGAGTATTTGTGGATAATGCTGATGGTGGCGGTGGTGGTGGTTGTTGTAGTAATGTAGGATTCTGTGCAACTCTAACAGTTGTTATAGGTTGTATATTAATTACTGGTGGTGTTTTTGGTGCTGGTGCATTGGGATCGTAGAGAGTGCGTGTGACATTGGTTAAACCTCGCAGTGACTGTGTAACCGATTGTGGTTGGCTAGCAGACGTTGGTTTTTTGTTATTGGTTTGTTTTTTTCGCGTTTGATTGTAAAATTCTCTGGGTGACGATTCGATTTCATTTGTATTATCGTGAGTTTCTTTATTATTAAGAAATATTAAGCCGCCACGAGTTTCTGGTGTTTTTGGTTCAGATAATTTTTGATTTTCAAATGTCATAGTTTCAAGCCGTTTATCTAAGTCCTGAAAAATAAATGAATAGTTTCTAGAACGACTGTTGTGTGATTTTTTTTGTTTGTTTAATTACAGATTCTTGTTCACCGTCACTTGCATCTTTTGTATTCGATGATACTTGATTGACTTTAACTTCCGGTTCACTAGTTTTTTTCTTCGGTGGCTTTCGCTGTGACTTTTGCTGATAATTATTATAGTCATTATCATAATAGGATGAATCGTTATAGTAGCAATCATTATTTTTATTATAATATGAATTCGAATTCTTTGAATTTCCTTTAAAATAAATATTTTTCGTAATTTCACAAGAACAATAAATAGAACAATCTACCTGATGATGGTCTATCATTATTTAATCGTGACGAATATTTTCCTTTAGCAACTGAATATCGTTGAATTTCAGGTTTATGTGCTCGATTATTATTTTTCTTGTAATTTGAATCAACTTGATTATCTACTGCCGACATGAGGTGTTCGATTTTAAAAGAGCTACTAGTACTAGCTGTCAACAAATGATTACGATTGTAATTGAAACAGCTGTTGTCACGTGCTAGCTTTTCTCTAATTGGTTTTTTCTTTCTTTCTAGAAGGGGCCTCTCGTGATCGACCAGAATGTTGATAGATGTCATTGTAGGACCAATACAATTTCATCAATAGAGATTGTTACTCCAGTAACAAGACTCTGAATGGTTTGACACATAAAAGAAAAAGGGAAATCCGGTTTGGAAACTAGTACATTTCGAATCGAATGGCGACGTTACCATGGATTAAATATGATAGTGGACCTTTGTCTGGTAATGGAAATCTAACAGATTTGCCAGCGAATTGTTTTCCTGTACGAAATCTATTGCGCAGTTCATCATCGAATCGTATGTCGCTTTGACTGTTTATACAAGCTTTTAGACAGATTTCATTTCGTAGAACAATGGGTTGTGGCATTACGCGATACAGAACAACGACGTTTTGCGGCTATACTAACAACACTATCAACACCAACTCCATTTGAAAGTGAAATTTCTCAAAAAGAAACAAAGAAAAAACAACGATGGGTGGGCAAAGAGAAGACAGTTGAACATTTATTAGATGGATTTTTTATTGTAAGTTTTTTTTTTATATACATTTTCTCTATTGGGTTGTCTAATGTACTAGTACTTAGATGATAGTTGAACTTCTCTATAGAAAACTTTGAGGCATCGTCTAAACATAAGATAATCAGTGCGAGTAATAACGAATGATAAGAAGTGTTTGACTTTTACCAGTCATTGTCTTCTCTAGATTTTTTATGCATTAGAATATTTCTGTATCAAATCTTTGAATTTCAGATGCATCATTGTGCTATTGAAGATCCATCGAATGTTGTTATACTAAATGTTAATGGATTAGATTTACAAGACGTAAATATAACTTGATCACATGATTTTATATAATAATTTGAAATCGTTTAGGTTAAAGAAGACGATTTTCTATTATTCGATAATATTGTACGAATCGATGCAAATGAAAATCAATTACCATTTCGTATGCTACTTTTAAAAATCAAATAAACTAATCTCATTTTACATTTATCATTATAGACGGCTTGAGAACATTTCCACAATTAGCTCAACTCGATTTATCATTTAATCAAATTAAAAACATTAAACTCAGCGCTAATGATTATGAATCACTTGAAGTAAAATGAATATTCCTTTTAGTTTTTTTGTTCTCTATATAGTTTTTAATCTGCTAGGATTTAAATGTTTCGTATAATAATTTAACAATGCATGATATTGAAATACTGGGAATGTTACCATCATTACGTGTGCTACGTGTCAGTGGAAATGATCTTGTTGGATTACCACGTCGATTAGCGAGAGCTTTTGTACATGCTGATATGTAAGAACACTAGATTGTAGTTGAGCGTTCTATTAGAAATTTATTTCAATTTAATTCCATTAAATATGTTTTAGTATTTTTTTTTCGTATAAATAACAGAGGTATATTCATTTAAAAAGATCACAAAATCTATCGATGATTGTGCTCTTTGCTTCATTTTTCTCTATTGATTATATTAGTAATCGAAATTATGGCTCGTATTGATTTGCATATATTTTATTTACTTAGAAATGGAAGAGAACATGTCAAAGAACGTTTTCCTCGACTTGAAGAATTACATCTTGATCATAATAAAATTGTGGAAGATGAACTTTTTATTCATTTATCATCATTAAAAAGGTATGTTTAATGAAAAAGTCAAACCAGAGATATTATTTATTTTCTATTCTTCTTACTTTAGTCTTAAACGTCTTTATTTACAACATAATCGTATTCGTACGATTCCATTTTTAAAAGTTCTACAAGGGCGTCAAGTCGTACAAGAATATTCCAAAGCAGCAATGAAACGGAAAAATATTAGTGCTTGTATGTAACATGGTTCTATTTCTTTTTTTTTCTATTCAATATTTCATTGTTTTCAGCAAATTCCCCTATGAATTATTTTCAACATGGTCTCAATGCAACTGGTGATGATTTAATTAAAAGTACAATATTTGAAGAAGATGAAGAAACTTCTTCGAGTAGTCCAAATCGAAATCTTCCAGTAGAAGAAGAAGATATAACCCTACCAGCTTTTCCTGAATTACAATTTCTTGATATAAGTCATAATTTGGTAGATTTAATAAGGAAAACTATTCGACTTCAATATATTTTTTTGCTTTTTTTTTTATAAAAAAGATTGATGAAGAAGATGATGTCATGGCAGTTGCATCATGGCCGAGTTTAACTGAAATTATTCTTGCTGGTAATCCACTTGTTCAAAATCATGTCGGTCTTCCGCCGTTGATTGAAAGTTTTCTAATGGATCGACTTGGAATGAAAGTTCATCGGTAGATAAACTGAAAAGAGTAATCATCAGAATTTATTCTTTTTCTCATTGACTAGAACGAATCCATCATTGAAACCTGAAAAACAGTTTTTTGCTAAACCAATAAAAAAACATCGTCAAGTAAATATTTCGTTTACATTTAAAACAACCATTAAAATACTTCTACGACTTCTTTCAGGTGACTAGTCGTATAGCTAAAATTCCAAAAGTTCCTATCGATCAAATAATATCCGGTGCTGTTAAGCAATATATTGATTATGTTAAAAATGATGAAGATGCTCAATCCGAGGGACAACTATTTCCATTATTAAATGGTATAAGTGAACAAAATTCTTCATCGGATGAAGATAAATTTAGACCAATTGATACGGCATCAAATAGTATTTGATTCTTTTCTTCAAAAACGTTTCCTTAATCAAGAATTTTTGTTCTATCTAGATCTAGATGATGATGATAATAAATATAATAGTAATACAGCTACTGTTGATCAAACTCCTAATCAACAAACAGAAAATATATTTATGACTGAAGTATGCTAAATGAAATAACTTACGAACAATTGAAAAACAAAAGCTACTAAGTCAAATTTTTATTTTAGTTTGAAAATGATGATAATTATCAAAATGTAATTCCAATGGAACGACCAAGTCCACCGGAACCAACCAATGTACCACAAGCTTCAGTGATACCAGATGATAAATTCAAAGGCTTTGAAGTATTTCTTGATATTGAAAATGAAAATGAAATTGCTGTTCCAAACAGTACGTTGAAAAACAGAAAAATACTTGAATGAATTTTACTTCCCATTTCTATTATTTCACAGATGTTATTCATTGTGTACGTGATTTAAAACAAATTTTACGAAATCCATTAGTCATTCGACATGATAACGTTCAAGTCACTCGCCGTCAACGTACATTTGTACCAAAAAGAATGGTAAGTAAAAGCCGTATTGATACCAGAGATGATCATAGGGCAATATTTTCGATTTTGTTCTCTTAATCATCGTTATGCTGGCAGGTAATTACACAGGACGTCAGAAACAATGTTGTCACCTCTTCTACTGTTTCAGATATCTTGTCTATTTCATCGTCAAGTAAATTTGTTATGCTACACTAATTTTTCAAAAAGATTAAAGGAAATTGATAATTACATCTCATGATGCTAATGCCTTATCCTTGCTCTAACGAAGAATGAATAGCATTTCTGGCTTTGGCTTATTTAAAAAAGCTGACAATCTATATTTTTTGCTTTTGCACTGCTCTCTAGTTAGTTCGATGGCTTTCTAGCATGTCTGAAAGCACATGCGGATGTTGGTATAAATATCCATGATTAAATAGGCTCATGTTCTGCGTTGAAACACAATCCAAAAGCTCTCATAGATAAAAATGTCCTATATCTGACAGATGCAAATTTCAGTCACACTCACATTCATCGACTTAAGATTTCGAAAAAAGTAAAATCATCAGATGAAAACTACATTTTCAAAAAAGAACATATATATTCAATAGTTCTATCTGAGTATCTTTTTTTTTCTCATTATTATGTTATAAAGACTGGAGATAAATGTGAAAGTTTCCTCCTCGATTCATCAAATATAAATTTAGAAATTCTTTTATTACCAAAACAAATACTTGCTGCTTTTTGAGTGTCAACATTGGCCAGAATCATCCTATTCTCATCTCTGATTCATACTCAATAAATATAGATTTTCGTAGTACAGCAATATGATTATTCTTGTGGTATATGATTTTATCAGTGAATACTGGAAAAAAATCATAATGAAGTTTTTCTTTAAAAGGCAGACTGTTACCATTTATATGTAGATAGATTTAATTGAGCACATGAATGCTATACAATTTTCAATTTATAACAAGATTACACTAATGTCTGTTGGCAAAGTGCTTCAATTTCTTAAGGGAACCAGCCACTCAGATAACTTAATAGAGAAAACAGTTGCTGACAAAAGACTAAAATAGTTTGTTTTTCTATTCGATTAAAAAAGCCATAAAATAGCTGGCATTAATATTAGTAACAAGTAGTACTATTTTCAAAATGTATGTTAGAACGCAATTGAAGGCTATTATCTTAAAATTCTATTTCGCTTAATAAGCTTTGCAAGACTGTTGCATTCATTTATGTGGGAAGAGTTTTCCTTTCTAACTACGATTAGATATACGTAATAAGTTTCGCATCATTCTTCTGACGATTTGTTTTTCTCTACTGAATACCATAGTCGCATAAGACATTTGAGTCGCATTTTCCTAATTGTCAGAATTCTGTTAATCTACCTTTTCTTTCTCTATTCCAAGGAGCGTACATTGCCACCGATTAAATTACCCAACAGACCCAAAGCCGAAGAAATCAATAAACTATTGGATATTATTCGTGATCGCCATACTGTTACTGATAAACCACTCACTCAAGTACTGCATAATAATAAAGATAAAAAAGGTCAACGACGTGCAAAATCACTTGTTACACAAATTCAACAGCATTATGAACAAGTTCGAAGTGTATCATTACGATCTGTACGCACACCTGGTACAATATTAGATACAGCTATTGATCGTTTACAAAAATTTGATACTAATATTTGCATAACTAAAGAACCGTTGCCTCCTCGCTTGCCAACCGCCTAAATTACTAAACTTTGCCATAAATTCTTTTACCTTTTTCTATATGTGTTTCCGTATTGAGTAATAAATATAGACAACATCAAATTATTTTAAATATTCATAACAACAAAATATGAGTAACATCATAAAGAGAACAAAAAATTGTTAAAGTCATTTTCGATATTGAGTATTACAACATCAAAAAAAGAACGATAAATATATTACATTGTAGATCTTAGAGAGAGAGAGAGAGAGAGAGAAGAATAGAATTCATTCCAAATAATGTTAATGAATCGCCAGTCAAAATAGAGTTCATTTGAATCATTCATCTTCAACATCATCTTGTGTAAAATCATTAACAATCGACATTGGACTTTCAACAATAGACTGGTTTCGTTGATCGACATGATCCAATTGTGTAATACTATCAATTTCACTTTGACGATGACGATGATGACGTCGACGCGTTGTAATTTCTGTTGATGAATTTTCTCTTTTTTTAATTTTTCTCGCAAAGAATAAATTTGTTTTTATTAAATCCCAAAATTCTTCACGAAATCGCTTATTGGTTAATATGTAAAGAAAAAACGTTGACATAAAATAACATTGCTGTAATAAATCTAAACTTTTTTGTAATATTGATATTGAACACAATTCTTCCTCACTTTTTTGTCTATTCACTAAACGTCGTTGCAATTGTCCAATATAAACACTATAAATATTATGTGGTGTTGTAAATAATATAAATACGCAATTCAATGATATCAGTAATATTGATAAATGTAATTCCATTCGACGACGGGATTTTTTCAAACGCTGATTAATATGATTTAAAAGTGAATATCTAGTTGAGACATGTCTTAATATAACAATTGTCGCAAGAAGACTTATAAAAACTGGTAAAATATTAAATACAATCAATTCTATAATGGGTAATATTGATGTTAAATATTTATTATAAGCAACTGAATATGGATTTAAACTTGTTACATTATTCAGATATGGTATTGTGCAGAATGTGCGTTCATCTAAACCATTTGGTGAAGAGGCCGTATAGCCATACGCAATAAGCCAGTGTATATTGAGAAGAAAAAGAACGACTGCAAGAAATAATTCTATTAAACATACACGAATAAATGCTTCAGCACAACCATGTTGTCTACCTCCATTTGAACGACTATTTCTATGATTGCTTGTTGCTGATGTAACTGTACGTACGCGATCAAGATCAACAGCTGTTAATGTATATAATGAGAAATGTGTCAGAAAATCAATTGCAAATCGATTTAAAAAACGACAAAATATAAATAATGACAAATTATCAAGTGTTAAACCAAAATAAAATCCAAGAATAGTAAAACTGGCATGAATAAGCGATAAGAATGAATTTGATAGGCTGAGAAAAGCAAGATAGGAAAATGTTGGCCGACGACGTAAACGTGGACGAGTGAGTACAACAAATGAAAATAAATTTGCTAAAAAGCCGAATATTATTAAAAGTGTGGGTTGAGTATGGAAAATAAGCGTAAGAAAATGTGAGCTACATCGAGCTTGTTCATATTCCGGCGGATTCATGGACGAGTCATCATACACTTGTATACTATTTGTTATGTTAAATGGCATAGTAAGAAAATCCGAATAGATCTAAACAAATGAAAATATGAAAAATGATTAAAATATTCTAGTCTTCTTTAGAACTCTATAGAAATCCTAATATCTTAAATAAATAATGATAAGACAGCTGAAGACAATCTATCGTTGAGTATTAGTTCAAACTTGTCAATCTCTTCTTCTTCCTTTTTCGTTTTCAATACGTGACCAATAATAACAAATAGAATGAGACGTCAACATCATTAGATAGAATATTCAAGACGAAGGAAACCGTCAAGAGGATTAGAAGAAGGTTTATATAAAAGAAAAGAGAACTAATGACAGTACGAAAATATTCACTTCTATTTATCTCCATAATCTCAGTAATTAAAGGATCCGAATATTACGTTTTTCTTTTCTAAATAATACACTTCCATACTTAGAGAGAGAGAGAGAGAGAGAGAGAGAGAGAGAAAGAGAGAGAGGTTTTGCTAGAAATTATTAATTACACGACAAGTGAAAAGCTTCTTCGAAATCACTCTTACAGAAGAAAAAAATGTGACATTGCAAAATATTATTTTCATGAAAGAAAAATTAATTTTAAGTATCATTTCTCATTGTTGCGATTCAAACAGACCATTTTAAAAGTCATAATGGAAAATTTAACTAATATATATAAATTATGCATGTTTCTTTTCTATTGAATTTTGCATGATGAGATCTGAAATTACTGGTTTTCGAACTTCAAAGACCACCAAACAATTTAGAATAAACTTAACTTATTTAACTATTACACTTTATTCGTAAAAAGAAATTCATCTGCTTTCATGTCGATTCTAATAGTTTTTCTCTCGCAAAAAAAAATATTTGAAAGGAAATTTATTATGATATTAAAGAGAATACTGTTTGCTTCCTCCCGTAGAACTTAATGAATACTCTATGAATGCCTGAAATTACTAAAGCAAAAGAAAAACATACTGCTTCACTTAAGTATTTCTAATTCAAAACAAATGTTTTATCTGTTAAAAATTTTGCACAAAGGAAATACCATTTCCTATGTAAACAGTGTGAAGTAAATGCTTCTGAAGATCTACGAGGCAACATCAGTAAGAGAAACGCTAGAATATGAAATGGAGCATGCAAATTTAACACCTTCTTCTCGCTTGCAAACCACGGCAAATATATAAATGAATTCTTAATAATAGGGAACTGATATTGTTAGATTTCCTCTATTTGGTATTAAAAACTAAAACAAAAAAGACTTCTCTACAATTTTTCTTTGCACGCAAAATCTACTACGAGCTATTATATTGTTACTTTCACTAGAAAGTTAAGATCAAATGAAAATTTGCCTAAGATCACTTACTTCATCATTTGTGCAACACATATTTGAATAAACAAACATATTAAACAGTTAACTAACTTCTTTTATATGTCCAGAAAAAAAGAATGTGTATAATGATCAATTCGACTAACTTTAAGTTATAAAAACTTTTCCAGCGTATTTATCATTTAAATGAACGGATAAGAGAAAAAAGAGAAAATAAAATGCAGTATAATCTATCCAAAGACAGATTATGTCATCTCATTTCATCATCTTCACAGGAGAGATTTTCTGGTAACTGTCATAAATGAAAATGGATAAAGCAAGACAGGCAAATGACAAAGCATAACAAAACACTAAAATTATATCGAGATACGTATATATAAATATATATGAGTTGTCTGCGTGCCACTTTTGCCAATCATCAGTCAATCGGCAGCAGTCATGTTTTTTTCCCCATGACAATCTGCCAAGTTCCACTGTACTTAATATGCACGTGTCAACAAGAAAGAAGACTGCTTAGTGACAAAAGATCAAGATAGAAAACTGAAAGAATAAATCGAGATGAAAAGGATAATATTCTTTTATACAAAGCTTCACAAATGTTTAACTGGGGTTGATGTTCAACAGAAAAGAAAACAACGAGACCGAGACTACTGGATGCATTCCAATAAATTAGTTTTAAAATTACGAAAAACAAAAAAAGAGATAACCAGCAACATTGCTGATAACAATCGCTATGCCAATCAGTATTCCGATCGATATTGATAAATTATGTTGGTCTCACATCTGTTCAAATGCCTTTTCTTTTTCATTCGATCTAGACAAAAGAACTCCATTATAAAACTTTGCACTTGGTAAAATAAACATGCATCATATTTGTCGGTTCCTACAAAAATAGACGTGCAAAAATCAAATGAAAGCATTAAACGAAAAATCAAACTTGTTCGTCGGATGAATACTCTTCGACATAGACTGTTTTTATTTTACGAGATAGGAAATACGAAGTATATCAGACACTTATAATTATATCAAACAAATCATCGATCACTATATGACATTGTATACTTTGTTTTTCATATTATTACATTTTCTACGTGATCACTTGGCATTGCACAATGTAGAAATAGGAAATCCAACAGAAAGAATAGCCTACGACTGAGAACGTTCGTGAATATTTTACTAATAAAATAGCTCAATAATAATATTTCATGTTCACTACAGTTGTGTACATCTGCTTTTTATTGACAAATGTCAGGGAATATATATATAATATGATTTGTCAACTGTTGTTTAGTGTCAATATTATTTTTAATCGAAGCTGTCGACAAACTCCGTATGAATAAATCATGTTTCATCTTCCAATATATTAAGTGAATTTTCTTTTATTACATGTACTCATATTTTTACATTAGATAGTTCATTATCACCAGGACAAAAACAATATACTTTTTTTTTTGAATTATTTATTTCAAATATGCACAGAGTATAAAGACATTAATTTGTTCGATATGTACTACGGCATTCAGAGCAATCACAGTAGGGTGTTCGATTTGGATATGCCGCTCGTTTAGCTCGACATTCACCACAGTCACACATGGTTGGAAAGCCTTGAGCAGCTGCAGCTCGGCATTCAGGACAATCGTCCATAGTTGGTAAAACTTGACCTCTATGCCGATGACGACGACTACGACTAAGAAACGACATAAAAAAGATGATTCAGTAAAAATAAGATTGCGTTTTTCATGAGCTAATTACCGTTCACGATCACGATCTCGATCAGGTGGTGGTGAAATTGTGTGAATACCACTGGCGGCGCCTAGTGGAATCTGTGAGCGATTATCAAAACTATCAACCTTTTCTGAATGCGTTCGCACAGCATCAGATATACGCGAATCGAATTTCTCCGGTTTTACATTGTATTGTGTTAGTTTAATTATATTACCATCATTACGTGTCTGTTGAGTTTCTTCAACGCTACAAGAAAAACAGAACAACAATTTTATTACGAATACAAAACTATGTATAAGTCTCGTACGGATCTTCATCATCGATTACTTCTATGGGTTCACTTGTCTTAAAAAATTTTTTTAAATTATCCCATAAGTCACTTGGAAAATTTTCTAATCGTATTGGAAGATATGTTTCAGTATATTGTCGATAACTATCGACTATCTCATACCTAAAATATTCCAAATATAGGAAACAAATTTCACAAGAAAACAAACCTCACATCGGCTACTTACCATTTGACCGGTTGCGATGTATAACTATCATAAAATGATGAGCTAACAGTTGGTTTTTTTGCAGTATGATTATTAATCATCGGTCCTTCTTTTTTGTATTCTTACTCTTTGCGTCGAAACTGAATTGGCTAAATGAAATAATAACATCAAAAGAATTTGATTTCGTTTCTACTTTCGAACACTCCTACTGCATAAACATACACAACAAAAATTGAAGTAAATGCTGTTAATATTTTTTTTCCTTTTTTTACCTGTTGCCAAAACACCTTCTAAATAAACATTTCAACGCCGTTTTACACTGTGCACCAATAATACGAGCCAGACGAACAAAGAATTTCTTATTCACTATCATTGTCCGTCCTAACTCGCACCATCAAGCGCAAGTTCAATAATGAATATGCATTTATATTGGGTTGTTGAAAATAACTTTTTTTTCAAAAAAACACTCTTCTTATATACTCATCAGAAGGTAAAGAAAGAAAATGAATAGCATATACAACTATACGGTTGCCTATCTTTAAGCCAGCTGTAATATTGTGATTATAAAGCAAACGAATGGTATCTTAAGCCAACAATCATCAGAAATATTTCGATTGTATATCATAGAAACTGAATAACGATGAGAACCGTTGCCATATGGAATATACTTACAGCATCAGTATTTGTGCTATCTTACCTTATCGATCGATCGAAACGAAAAGAAATCAATGATAAATATTATGTTGTTCACACTATGAGATGTGTGAGAAAGATGCAATATGTACATTATACTGTTATCATATCGATTGTGAATTGAATTGAAATGATCGTGATTGTCTTTTTTTCGTCATTTATATACACAACTAGATATCTTGCATTTTCTTTATTTCGCTCTCTCTCTCTCTCTCTCTCTATCTGTCTTCCTCTCTCAATTTCACCTTCATCAAGACTCAAATTAGCGTTGGTTAAATTCTTTTTAACCACTCGTTTCATACAATGTTTGTTCAAAGATCGACCTCGTCATACCAAGCCTTCAGTCAACAAATAAAGAGCAAGAGAAAAAAGAGAAAGAAAAGGCTTAAGAGAGTCACCTGTTTGCCTCACACTCGAGAGATGAAAGACGACTTACCAAATAAATTAGTTGTATATGATCGTTGCACGTAATAGAGTCTCATCGGATATAACACACACACACACTTATACTCGCATGCATCTTTCTCATCAAATAGGTGAAAAAAAAACAGATACTTAAGCAAACATATAGATATATCAATGAGCTAGGTGACTGTAGTATTATCATGATTGAGATTTTAAGAATATAAGAATCAATTATTACAATTGTAAGAAAGAAAGACTATATTTTTCTTCACTTAAGAAGAAGCAAAAAACGACAAATTTACAATCTTCTTTTTTTTAATGAATGCTTGTGGGTAAAAGAACACGATGCATATAATAAGAACCATAGGTTTGTCTAACATTTGGATTGCGTTTTGTTGTTGCATAAAGATTAGTAGTAGGATTCGTTGTTATTCCTACTCCATTAGAGTGGCTATCGAGCATAACAACAGGTGACGGAGCTGTACGTCTCGAGCTTAAAACATGTGCTGAACGTGAACGAGCATAAGTAGTTTGGGGAGGTTTCTGTGTTGTTGTATTCATAAATGTTGAATCCATATTTGGATGAGCAAAAGTATATTTAATTGCTGATGAATTTAATGATGCTGTTGAAAGTGTTCGATTTGACGGTAAAACAAAACGAGAATGAACAGCTGCTGCTGCAGCTGTTGAACCAAAACGAGATGGTGTTGCTGGTGGCTTTGTTGCATTTGTTGTTGTTGTTGTTGTTGTTGTTGCTGCTGTCGATGATTGATTCGTATTGTTAGTTGCTATTAAAGTAGTCATTGTTGATGGGCCATTGTTTAAATTCATAGTTGCGTTTGTTGGTTGTGAACATTGAAAAGCAATTGTTGTTGGTCGTAAAACAGTTCTTGTGGATGCATTTGAATTATTTGGTAGAAGATTTGCGGCTGTTGCACGAAGTGGTGTAATCGAAACATTATCATTGGCACGTGTCGGTGAATGATTTGTGGATACTGGTAAAGTCGCTGAACGAGCACGTGCTGCTCGTGGATATCCTGTTGTAGAATGTTCATTTGAAGAATGATTTGATTGAATTAAATTTGTAGATAACATTGAAGTATAAGTTGCTGCCGAATCAGACATTGGTGCATAAGAAAATGGAATACTACGATAATGGTCTGTGTCAGGTATCATTGCTGAGCGATATGAATGTTTTCTCTCTTCTCCATATTCAACACTATGTGGTGAAGAAAGTGCTGATCCTGATGATGTGTGAGAATACGGAAGATATACACTATTATATATTGATTGATTACTAGATTTAGGTGTTGTATCTCTACTTGTTCTTTCATCAGGTAGATGAACAATAATAACCGGTGGATTTCCAGCTGAATGATTTTCATTTGTTGTTGTTGCTTCATCTGCAGTTGATGTAGGTTTTGTTGATTTAGCTCGTACAGCCCAATCAGGTATTCGATTTGCTGTTGAATTAGCAGCAGCAGAAGTATTTGTTGTTGTTGTCGTTGTTGCTGTTGCTACTGCTGGTGTTGCTACAGGTGATGGCGATGATGCGAATGATGATGGTGTTGAATATAAAGTACTACTTAAACGGCTGGCATTTATCTTTTGAGCTGCAGCACTCGTTGAGTTAAATGGTAAAAGTATTTGTGATGAATAAAACGATGAAATACCAGATGAAGGTAGTGTTGCATCTGTATGTGCCCATGAACGATATGTATCACAGTTAGAATTACGCATTGCATCATGCGATGGAACTTCATGTACAATAGGGACATCATTAAATGAAACACTTTTACGATGGGATGGGTCACGCGGTCGTTTAGCCGATAAAGATCGATAAGGACCTATGCGAGGTGGTAGAGAATTAGCAATTAATTCTTCAGATGTGCTGGTATGTGCTTCGCTCTGCCAATTCGTGGTTAATTGTTCTTTGGTCATGACGAAATTACATTCTCTATCTTAATGAAAATATGTAATTTTTGGCATATAGTACAATTTCGACAAAAAAATAGCTATTAGATATATGTACTTCTAGAAATAAATTGTATAACGACGTTAAATTTTCTTCTTCTTTTTTTCTTTCTTGTTGTTAGAAGAGAAATGGCATCATCTTTTCATTTACGCCTGGCCATTCTCCATTTACTGTATATATGTTTGTCTAAACGAAAACATGAAACGACAACTTTCATATGTTACAAAAAAAAACGAGGCAATCGCAAAATGAAAAAAAAATGAGAAGTGACAGTTATAGTAACAAATCGATCTCTTTTTTTACTCTATTCTTCTCTTTTTTCTCTCCCATTTTTCTGGTGGTGCTCGAAGGTGTAAAAAGAAGCGAACAAAACATTTTCGTACCTTTACAGTTTAATCATTGTCTATCTTTTTCTAAACTTATTTTAAGAAAAAAAATCATTTCTTAATCTGTCTGTATTTGTTTTTTTATGATAAACTATACATATGCGGCGATCAAGTCCCACATAAGAACACATACACATATCGATGTTTAAAGAATAATAAAGAAAACTGTGCATGATTGAAGTTTACTTTGAACGTGCAGCATCAAGCAAACAAGACTCTTTCTTTTATTTTGACATCGTTCTGATTTCTCATTCTTCTACTTCGATACTCGTCTCAATTTTTTTCAACGGACGATGCCAGTAGCAAACGTCACTTAAACACTATGAGATGATGATGGTGGTAATGAAGAATAAGAAAGAATTGTGTGAGTTTGCATTCGCTGTTGCTATTACTGTTATTCTTTTTAGAAAAAGAAATTTGAATAAAACATACACACATATAAAAAAAAAAAAAGAAGAAGGAGCAAACGACAATGGTGACTACTGCATACAATATATAAGTGTGAAAACATTGATTAAATATTAGCAGAGAAAAAAAGCGAGTCAAAAAAGCTAACACCAACGATGACTTATTCTTGTTTTGTTTCTTTATTAGTAAAAGAAAACTTCGATTCAATGTCACCATTCGCTAAAAGCAAAGACAGTTTGCAAGAGTAGAAGAATAATCAGTTATGCATATAAAAAGAAAATAAATAAATCAACGAAGAATATTGTCTGTCGAACTTGAACAAGTACAGAATCTCCTCTGAATAAACGTATAAATGAAGAATCATTTTCATCGATACATTTGTTTTCCAATAAATTTATAGCGGCACCGATGTTAGTTTTCTTTCGATGTAAATCTTTATCATTACAAGTTAAAATATTTTTGTTCCAAACGGAATCACAATTTGTTAAAATTTCTTTTTGTTCTGATATTATCTTCTGTGGAATTTATTCTGCTTTTTGCTTTTTTGGTTAAGACTCATTTGATCATATTGAGGTACCTTATTTTCGTACTTTAATTTATTTTAATAACAAACGAAAATGAGTAAAATGCAAGAGAAACCTGTTAATTTGCAATTTGCAGCTAAGTTTACTATGGAATGTTTAATAAACATTAAAGTTGATTGCTGCACTTGAGGAAGCCAAGTGAAATCGTCAACAATTCAGAACCTGATATATATATCACAGCAGCGAAGAAGAAGAAAAATAGCTTCTCAAACGGAAACTTTTCAGACAAAAATAAATGTACTTTTGATAAGCAAACTTTTTCAAAATATGACATTTTATGATTTCTTCTCTATTGAATGCTTCTACACGATCTTTATTTTTATATTAAACTAATTCATAAGATTCAATTGAAAACTATATCAGCAAAAAAAATCTTTTTTTTTCCTCCTTATGGATTCTTCATAATTTTGATTCTAAAATGGTTGAGAACGGAAGTGCGCTAGATGGTCTTCGTAAATATAGATATCTTTTTTTTAACGAACTCATTCTACTGACTAATTTGATTCATGTATTTCTTGAACTTCATACTGTAATCATGTAACAAACATGCTGATTAGCAAACAGAATTAACAATAAAAGTCTACATTTTCTCATTTACACATCAAATATGAAGTCGAAAATATTTGAGTCAGCTATGGTGAATCTATAAAAATTTTATTTATTTGATGATTCTTCTAATGAATGTTTTGCATTAAGTAACAATAATATCAAATGAATGTTGGCAATTTGCTGATGAAAAAAATATTCCCACAAAAAACATTCTAGCCATTGATAACAATATTTTGTGGAACTCACATATATTTTCGAAGAAAATGATGAGTGTAAGCTTAAAAGCGAGATTTTTGCGGCTCGCCCCACCTCCCCATTACAGATATTAATGAGCTTAAAATTGTGCTAATTAGGAGCTTGACTAATTAGGCTGCTATTTCTTCTTTTTTTAATTGCAGACGACACGAAAAAAAGCAATGCTTGTCCATTACAAACCATCGTAACTAGTTTAGTGTACCATTACAGACCATAGAAACTGATCTCTGCCATTGTTAAATATACGAGCTAACAATTAATATTCCATTGCAGACATAGGCAATGACCTAATTATAGGTTTTGAAAATCAAGGTAGATTTTTCAGATGGACTATTTTGAACTAGTTTTAATAAGCCTAAGGGATATATGTGAGTTCCACATTTTAGCCCCAACGGGGCTGAGCTAACAAGCTCTTTAACTAATTGCAAAATAGCATTGAGTTACGTCAATCTCTTGGATCTCGATTAGTGTATCTTTAAGCATTGATACTATCAATTAAAGATCAAATTATTAATCAAAACAAAAAATTTTCTTCTCGACCAAAAATCATATAGACGCCATAGACTTTCGAATATTGATATTATCAAGATGGCCTTTAACGGTCTACATGTGACATTGAAACAATAATTTATATTTGTTTTCATAAGAGGCTGTCGACCTTACATGTTTCTATCATTAAAATACGCGATTCATTTCTTTATCCACTAATACAAGTATAAATTTCAAATGAATAATGCGTATGAAGTGAACTACTACCATCTATGTTCTATAAATATGGTTGGTGAATAGATGATTATGATTCATTTTTTTCTTTCTTTCTTCTCCAAAAGAGAGCTATAGATCGGAGACGATGTAAAAATTGCGAGTAGGCGTAGGTGAATAAGCGACGTTGTCGTATTTGTTTGCTAGCCATTTTTTCCTATTTCTCTTCACGTTGTTTTGTTCCTGTTGAATACTCGTACGTTATTTTCATTTGTTTCTTCATCGTATTAAATCCTACAGGTACGTTTATTGATATTATAAAATGTTCTTATCACTGGATAAGTAACATACACGTTCTGCATTAATTCAATCATCATTTACATAAAAGATATATTTTGATACAGTAAATCATATATAAGGACTATTGTTACCACATAGATTTCTTGTTTGAACAAAGATTGTGTTTATGTAATCAAGTCTACATTTTTTTTCTTCGCTTCGAATGCGCCCATTTCTTTTCGTTTCTTTTTTTTTTACCGTTGTTATCGATATGTGTTCGAATCCATAGGGAAATTCAATCTCAAGCTAGCGAAGTGGAGTAGATTAATTTTTTTATCCAAGCTATGCATGATTTATTACTCAGTTCCGCGCTATGATAATGCATACAACATGATCTATAGCAGATGAATCTAGGGTGAAATAAACCATTTCCTCTTAAGAGGCAAACAAAAATCATTTTTTACACCTCAAATACAAGTGATAAAGATTTATTCAAGTATTGTAAAAAAAACAATTGAATAGAAAACGTGCGCATTATATTTGATTTGCATTGTTTATTAGCTTTCGATAGACTTTTCTTGCATTATTCTATATCTATTAATAAGAGATATATAATAAACTACTGGCTAAGAACGGAATCCTCTGTGATAGTTCCTTCCGATTTCAACAATCGTGTTTTTCTAATAGATATTGCATTGTATTCTAACTGAAACTAATAGAATATCCGTTCTTATTGAGATTTGACTAACGGTTGATTGAAAGTTTAACTCGTATAGAATTGAGACAGAATAGATAAGTTTACTCAAAATATAAAACTTTCAAAAGATGCAAGCTGCATAGATTGCCCATGGGAGAAGATTTATATCTTAGTCGAATTGAAAATTTTTCTATGCGCAATACTTCTGAGCTTAAAGTCAGTCCCAATAGGAACCTGCTTCCTTTCAAGTTTCTCATTAGAATATTATACTGTATCTATAGACTGAAAATATTATTGAAATCGGAAGTGAATACGCGTCAAAGTACAATCGTAGGAGAAACCTATTAGATATTCCTCTGAATAATCTCGCAATCACTGCTGACCAATTTAGCACAAACGAGTGCCTGTTTTAATTTATTCATTTTCCTTCAAGTTTCTTTTGTAATACTCGAATGATACGCGCATCTTCGTGCACGGTAATTAATAAATAATTATTTTTCGTATGCTTGGTCTGTTCAATCAAGCGTACAGACGAAATAAATACATATATAGAGACATGTAGTTTGTTCTTTTTTCTTATTTTAAAGATGATGACGATGGAACGAACCTCATTGGCTAATACAATTGAATCTCTTCTCGATCATCGTAGTGATGTTAGTGATGCGAACAGTGTTGATTCGTATGTACTATAGATTTCTACGTAATAGAATGTAGAAGTTATGAATTTATTTTTAAATAGAGCGTTTAGTATTGAAAATGGGGTTGTTACAACACCGGAGCCCATCGAACATTCAACATCATCTGCAACATTACTGAATGAATTACAAAGAGTTAAGGAAGATCTTAAAAGTAAAGATATTGAAATACAACGAGCTCATGAAATACGTGAAAATACAGATCGAGAAATTGAAGATCTTACGGCATCTCTATTTGAAGTAATTATCGCCAAAAAAAAAGAATAGATCTTTCTAATATTAATAAATTTTCAATTAGTCTGCTCATTCCATGGTTGAACAAGCAAAATATGCTCAAGCTAATGCTGAACAAAAACTTAAAACTGCAAATCAAACAGTAACTTTAATCTCAGCATGGTTAATTTTTGAATTTTCAATCATATCTTTAGGTCGACGCTCTTGTTCTTGAAAATACTCAACTAAAGAAAAGTGTTAGTGAACTAAAAGAAATCATAAATAATTGTCGTTCATCATTAATACCAAATCGTTCGTCACCAGTAACATCCGTTCTATCATCAACGGAACAACAACCAGAATCAAGTATTCGTCGAATAGTACGAGAAAAACTTCACAAACGTTCATCATCAGATCTACAACAATCATTATCATCAATTGATATATCAACAAAAATGGATACTAATGTTGTAAGTTTTATCTAGACTTGCAATATATATTTTTTTGTTTCTAATCTCTATCTTGTCATAATAACAATCAATAGAATGATTCGCCTATGGTAAGAATACTTTAGTTAAGCGCCAACTAAAACCTCTTATAGCATGAATATTTTTTATGTTTACTCTCTATGATAAGAATCTTTCATTGTTCGTTTTTTGTTTGTTTAGGTTGATACTGTTTTATTAAGAGAATTTGCACGTTGGGAAGAAAAACCCTTGATAGGATGTGATTCGTCTGCATTTATGCATCGAATTTATAGTGAAGATATTTTACCATGTTTAACATTCCCGAATGCTGATGTAAAATTTTCATCTTACGAAGTACATACATTTTATTTTTTTTCTTGTATTGCATAGCTTTCATCAAGAATTCTTACAGCCATTGAACAGAACGATGTAACTATGGAAACATGTCATATGAGAACAATAGATGAAAATATGAAGTAAAATTAATTAAATTATGAAGATTTTCATTGTGCAATTTATGTTCTCTTGCAGAATTTGCTCATTGATGGGCGATCTTTGCCAATGTAATTATCGTGTTCGATTAGGTGAAAACGGTGAATGGTATCCCATATCACGTTTATCAAGAAATCGAGTAAATAATTGTTTTCTGTTTCTCTTTTCTTTAATATATCTTCCATGATTATTTTGTTTTTAATTAAAAGATTGCTTCTGTTTGTGATTTTTTTACTTTCATTCGTCATGTTCAATCGGGACTTGTCAAAAGTGATAGTAAGAAACCAAAAAAAAAAAAATAATAATATTACATTTGATTAATTCTTTTTTTGCTATTTATTATTAACAGCACGAAATCGTTATAACAAAATCATTGAGCTTCGAAAACAAATGGCTTTTGCACGTCTTGGTTTATGAATATAAAATGCCTATTTATTATTTTGTGCCACCAGGGTGACCTCGTGCATTTATTCAGTTTTTGAAAGGGTATTATCTTGCTCGCATTCCATTTATGTTATAGTCTATATATTTTCATAAAACGATCAAGTTTCCTTTTTCTCCCTTCATTTAATACAAAAAAAAAACAAAGAGAGAAGAAAAAAGACAATTTTTCTATCTTCCAGCATCTTGTTTCCTTGCTGCGATCTGTATATTGTGCTTCTATTTGTTTGTCCTCTCTGTATACATGTTTGAAAACGCAACAAAAAAAAAAGAATTAATTAACAAGAAAAAATTGCAACAGAATAATCAATTTATTCGAACAAATTAATTACAGTTTAAAAAAAAAAGAAAAATCAAAGAAATTTACAATTGAAATTAATAGTCGCACGAATTTAAAGTGAAAGACTGATCATGAAAAAGAAAATGACATAATTAAATGCAGAATATTCAAGGTGGCTGAAAAAGGCAATGAACTAAGAATTTTATTTTTGCTATTAAAAAAAGTCAGAATCATTTACTAGTCAACAGAATATACCGACTAGTAGGGCATGTTAGCTAATTACTCAGATGATGAAAGATAATCTCGCCATCTATCCGATAATTGTAAGGATGTTGATGATGAAAATGGTTTACTAATAGACGTTTGAATCCTCTCATCATTATCATCTATATTTAAATGATGAGCATTTAAGCGTTTTCTTTCAAGCATAGCCGTGACAACTTGTTGTTGAATATTATTTAGAGTAATTTGTTTTTCATTTTGATCCGAATGCATTGATGTTAATCGTCTTACTTCTGGGCGTATAATCGGTGCTGCTCTTGTAGTTGCTGCTGCTGTGGTGGTGGTGGTGGTGGTTGTTGTTGTTGATTGTCTCGTTGTAGTACATTGTGGACAAAAATTATTATTTGATTGTTCTGTTTGAATTTCCATTAAACAGCTCAGATGAAAAACATGTCGACATGCAAATATGATAAATTTATTCTTTTGTTCCTGTTTTTTATCAATGTCTTGTTGTTGTTGTTGATTGAGTATTTTTTGACAATATGTGCATTGATTTAAACGTATGGGTACACTACGATTCATAATTGTACACATTTGGTGAATATCATCATTTAAATCGCGTTGTAATAAACGTCGTGTTGTTTCAAGTAGGCGTAATTCAAACGAACAATTTTCCAACATCGATTGAATTAACTGACGAACTTCGAATGTACTACGAATATTTGTATCCGAGCGTTTGCGAGTACCTTTTGTTATATCAACAACATCTGTGCCCATAATTAGTTCAAGTATCGATGGTAATGTAACATAACCAATCATACTATTTAATATTTCACCGTAGATACGACGAAATGCACCTGATTGTTCACCATCAAATGAATGTGATGATAGTTCTAAAATTTTCTGAAGAAATTTTAACCATAAATCTTCGCGTTCTTTTTTATCTTTCAATTTAATAGTTGTACGTTGACAAAAATGTACACAATCTAATGCCATTTGATATAACTGATCGATTGTTGTCCATTCATGCATGGATTCCAATAGAAGATCAAACGTTTCGGCATATTGACCAAGTCGTTCCAGTAAATAAGCAATGGATGGTATTAATAAAGGAGATTGATATTTTCTTATTATACCAAGAACGTCTTGTTCACGATAATTTTCAGATTTACTTTTTAGAAATAACAACAATTGTGATGGATCATTTTGTGCAAGTAAATCAATATAATGTAAATAATGTGATGGGTCGATATGAATAACTGCTGGCGGAGATGACGAAGAGGAAGACGAAGATTTTGTATCGTCAGTATAAGCAAAGCAACTCTAAAAATATAAATTTTTCTTTTCAATGATTTCGCAACAATTGTATAGAGGGAGGGAATTTCAATGAATTTCTTATGATGACTTGAAACATAATATTACTCAAATACTTCTTGATGTATTCTTATGGCATAGAAGCAACTCGAATTCAATTTTTGCACTCGAAATAACTTCCATTAATTTTGAAAAGCTTTGTTTTGTTACTACTACTGTTGATCTTGACAAGTTTATACTTGAAAAAAACGTATGTCATAATGTCTTTTTAAAACATTTCCTATTTGGTGCATTGAAAAATAGTTTATGTAAAGGTTTAAAATTTGCTTACTTTTAAAATTCCATATTCTGCTTTTTCGTTCTTTCCAATCAATTTCAATACTTTTCCTAAATCCATTTGAAAAAATATACAAAATAATTTAAAAGCTTTAAATGAATCTGTTTCAATTATGGTAAGAAAATTATCCATTATTTTGCTATGAACTTTACTCCGTTCGCGTTCATCCAGTGCTGGCCATAATGTTCTTATATAGCGAAACAATTCCAATCTTCGATGTCCATCATTTAAATAACATTCCAGGATTAGATCATACTCATTTTTTTCAGCATAAATTATTTCGCAAACACGCCAAAATTGTGCTTGTCTTGCAAGCGTAAGTAAACGAATAAGATCAAATTCTTGCAAACCAGCTGCTTGAATAACATCAATTAGTGCTTGTTCACGTTCATCTTTACTATCAATACTATCATTCATAGATGTTACAACCGATTTGCATAGATACTCAAGAACCTAGAAAAATAAAATAGGCCTTAACTAAACGAGCCCATGATTGTTATACGATTTGCTATCGTATTTTATTAACGTCGGTTACTACGCATTCATCAATCTCATTTCTGACTGTTTGAGCGGATATTCAGATTTCTACTTCGATACTTTCAAGTTCCATCTCGATTTAAGTTTCACGAAGAAATAGACATCAATACGCGCTTTAAATTTATTTAAATTATTTTTTTGAGTTCATATTTTTATTCCCTGTGATTAGCTGGAATGCGAGCGTTATTGTTATTTGAAAGTGATATGTAACCTTTCGAAAAAGAATTCTATGGGCTGTTGTCGAAAAGAAAATAAGAAATCAACGAACAATGATAATGGTACGAAAAAAACCAAGAAAAACAAAGCAAAAAAACAGAGAACTTCAGTAAATAATAAAATGAACAAAAATAAAAACCGATATATTTACTTGTATGTTATAGAAAGACAAGAAAAAAGTAACAATAAAAACAATCGATGAACAATCTGATTCAAAATTTCAAGCAACCACTGATCAAATTCAATTGTTCTCTAAAGTTGACAAATCTCTTCAACAGCAACAACAACCATCAATTCAAATTCCTGTTGATGAAAATACTTTAGAACCTCGAACAACATCACCACCGTCTATTACATCTTCACGCCTTGAAATTGATCACCACGTCATCGATAATATTTCTTCTTCAGATAATATTCATTCTATAAAAACATTCAATGATCTACAAGCATTCGTTGAACAAAACAAAAAGCCTATTTCAATTGTTTTTTTCTATGCTCCTTATTGTCCGTATTCAAAACGTGCAATGTATGGTCTTCGTCAATGGGCACGCGCAAATAAAAATCGCGTTTTTTTATATGAAGCCGACGTTGAACAAGCGTTACAGCTAGCAGAATATTATCATATTCGGACCGTACCGACTGTGATAGCATTTAGTAAAAATAATCTTCTTAGCCCAATATGGCAACGTACAGCAACAAATGTGTTTTCATCTGATGTAGAAACTTCAATAAATCAATCTGAATCAATTGAAAATCAACAATTCAAAGAGATCTTTCGAGAGAAATTAGATACTAAAAATAACGTTTTCTTTAGTCTTGATCCATCAAATAAAGAAACGAATTCTCCAATGAAAATATTTGAAACATTAAATGAAACAAAACAAGAACAATATTTAATTATTCTTAATAATAAACAATCCATCGGTAATCAACCGAAATTGATATTAGCAATAACGAGTAATAGAAAACTATGATGTTAGATATTTTAAAATAATTATATTTAGATGAACAAGGTCAACATGAATTTCTCCAAACAATGCCTCAATGTTTGTTTTCATTCTTCAAACTAAAATGTTAATATTTTTCTTCTTTTGTTCTTGCTCAGTTCAATCTAATCATGACATAAAATCAGAATCAATTGCATCGTCTCAACTAAGTCCTTCTATTTGGAATAGTTCAATTCACACTATCGAAAATGATGATAGTCATCCATCGTCAAAGCAATTAATCAGTGAGGAAGTCAACGAATACAATGGAAGAACAATATCAAAATTTCCAATATATACAACGTTAACTAGCGATCAACCTAAAAGTAAATGTTTGCGAAAAATATTTTCAAAAGTTTTATTATTTAAATAGATAATGACAATATCGAAATCAATAAATTCACTACAGATCAATATCTACAACATGTTTATTTACCAAATTCGAATGAAATATTTTATGAAAAACAATTTGAAAACACAAATGAGTTTAATTATTCATTATCATCCGATAGATTTAGTACATTAACTTATCAACATGTGAAAGACACGAATCAGTACTTGAACAATCAACAAGAAGAAATATGTATTCTATATCTAGGTCCTAATCGGTGTCGAGGTTTCGAAGATAATCTACATAATGAAACTAATTCTTCAAAATTATCACTTTTAACTCTTAATTCACAATCACTATTGGAATAAGACAGGCAAAAATGTCAAAGTACGATGAGAAAAAAATCAAATAATTCCTTTGGTCACTCTCTAGTTTCTTACCTGTTCGAAAAGCATTCCTTGAACAAATATATGTTGTTGTCCAGTTTTTGCTAATTGTCTTGATAGAAAATTAAATAAAATGCTGATTTGATGCGACGAAAATTGTACATCGTCTACCATAACACGAAGTAATATATCACAAAATGCTCGTCTTTTTATTGTATCAACATCATTTAAAAATTCCTCATTATCGAAAGCCATTGTTAATAAGTTGAAAAAATCTCGCGTATTAAAGTGAAGTAATGCTCGCAGATTAGAATAAAGCAAACCGCCAGTACGCCGTGGGTGTAAAAACGATAGAAAATCAACGATTTCATTACGTCCAAATTGAGCTAAATCAGACGAAAGACGGCCACCAAATGGATAGATTTCACCAACTAAAGTTGTTTGTATAAAAACAAGCGCTTGATTACCAATTAAAGTCATTTTTGCACTATAACACGTCCCTAAAGATTTAAAAAATATGTTGAAGTGCATCACGATAAAATAAGGAAAGCGTAAAATCAAACTCGAATCTTTAGAACTAGAGGAAAAGACGACGACTTGATATCAAAAACATTCTCATTACTAATTTTTAGGGTATAGTGCTCAGTATTAGTATAAATAATGTGTGTTTAATTTGGTGAATGCTCAAATACAAGTAATAAAAAACTTTCTCGTTCTTTCCAAATGAATATTAAGATGTTCGTTCTAAGTTAGCTTTAAACGACTATCTGTAATTTGTTTTGAAAAAAATTGCAAAACTCGGCTGGAACACAGCCAGACAGTAGAAATAACGCAATACGATTTGTCCAATGTTTAGTACGGAGAAGGAAAATCTAGACATGAGATCTAACAAGTGTAATTTTTATTCTAACTATACGCTGAAGTCCATCTACAAAATTATTAATTTATGTATTTTGAATTTACCATTATTTTCTGCGATATCATATTCAAGTTTCTCAATAATTTCTTTTAAAATTGCTGTAAAATCTTTGAATGCTTCACTATAGATACGTAATAATGTCATATAAAGATTGTGTTTTCTTGTTATTTGTATAATTTGATCAATATCAAGAGATGATACGTCAAGACGATTTAAACAATGTTCCAATTGATTTAAATGATTATTTTCAACATAATAATTAATAAAATCATTTAAAACCATAGGCGACATTGTATCAAAACGATTTTTTAATATATACGGTTCTAAACATTGTAAATATATTCCATGTGCTATAGAATCTTTTGAGAAGATTTCATAGATAAGACCAAATAATAAATCCAAACGATCAATCAATAGACAATAATCAATCGAACGTGGTAGAACATTTCTGTAATGTTGTTTAAGTAGATCGATAGTACCTGACTGTGGACATTCATAATTAAGAGAATATTTTAAATAAGCTTGAAGTAATGAAACCATCCGTTCAGATATACATTGACGACGTTTCACTGGATCAATTGGCAAACCTTTTTTTTTGTTACGAGAAAAATAATCTTTTCATCCTACTTTATTAACGAAAAAACGAGTAAACTTACCAGTTAATCCTTTAGCTTTGCCAAGTAACATTAAATAGGCAAGTTCTAAAGCTTGTTCGTATTGATTTTTACCATTTTCAATAAAAAAATCCAAACGTTCAGACCAATCGCGTAAATGAATTTCATAAACTGCATGAGTGCCAAGTAAAAAAATGCAGCCTTGACTCGAAATTAATGTTTGATAACAAGCATTTTGTCCCGCTAATGCTAATGCAGAAGAAACATTACCACCAGTGGCTAATGATTTAAAGAAGATTGTATTATAAATAAGTTCACAATGTGATAAAGATAAACATTCTAATTGTTCTTCAGAACGTTGATCACTAACGAGAAAAAAAAGAAATATCCAATAATACAATTGAAATAGGCTAAAAATCTACAATAAAACACTCAATCTTGGTATGTTTAAATAATAATTTTCTAAAATCAAATCTTGTCCTTTTGTTTTCGGTAATATTGTTTTTCTTTTACTGATAAACTCTGGCCGAGAGAAGAAATTCTCTGAAATTGTCATATATATTCATAGCATAAGTCAATCGATTTCTATTGAAAAATTCTTACATAACATGTGCACGCTCAGACATATCGAATAGTACAAATGTTCTTGCATTCAACCAACAAAATGATTTAATATGATAATCAACTGTAATCTGTTTCAATTGTGTTAGATGTAGTTCGTCATCTCTTACATGTTGTATCTATTAATAAAATACATAAGCAAGTTTTTCTTTTTTCTTTTATTTAGTAAGAAAACAAAAGATTTCATACTTGAATGAATGTACATTGTCTATCCCTCACTGCAGCAAGAATCGGATTGATACAACTAACATTATCACTAACTTTAACAATAATAAATTGCCATTTAAGTATTGGTAATGTTGTATTACTACCGACTAGATGTTGTACACGTAAAATTTTAACATTATTTTGTGATTTTAATGCTAATAGAAAAATTTTGGTAAATGTAGCTAATGCAATTATATACATTGACTTTAACGGATGTTGTTCTAATTTTTCATTGGTATCTGTTGTTAAAGATCCATGCTGTTGATAGAATAATAGAGGTTCAAGTGTGCATACTTCTCCGCGACTACCAGAAAACAAACATTTCGATTGATAACCACGTTTTAAATGACGTGTAAATTGTAATACATATACACTTCCACCACTATCACTAAATACAGCAACGGTAGGATCATGCGTAAATTTAATATTTAATATAGCTGTGTCCGGTCCATGAATATCATTACTAATGTTGCGTAGAAGTTTTCCATTTGAACAATCATACATTTGTATACGTCCACGTGCATAACCAACTAATAAACGTGTTCCGTCGCTATTAAAATTTAATGCTGATACGGCGCCATTTGTTAAATCACTATTTAAGCAATGCTTCAATGTTTGTGTTTGATGTTCGAATAGTAGTACAACACTTTTTGTTGTACCAATAGCAATCATTCGATGTAGAAGAACATCAATTGTTGTCGGATGACCATAATTTGTACGTTCAATACAAAGTGATATTTGATTTGAAACTGTTTCTAATTCTTGAATTTTCAATAATGAACCATGATTGATTTGCGTATGTTTATGAACTTCAACAAATGATTCATCTGTACTAATGGCATCTTGTTGTTGATGATGAATTTTAAGTATATAATTATCGAGTGGTCTATTATTTGTTTCAAGCGAAGAATCAAATGATATTGATGATAGTTCAGATGAATTAATATTAGTTAGATTATTTGGAGAATTTTCATTGTCTTGTTGGAAATTTTGATTTTGTAAAGATGATGTTAGAGATATACTATCGAGTGCTGGATCTGCTTCATAAAGTATACTTTCGAGGCTAGGAAGAGATGTTAATACTGGAATATCGAATAGATTATCGTCAATCGATGATGGCGTTAAGTCAAAGTCATCTAATAATGGATTACCGTCTTTGGAAAGAGACAAACTGAAATAGGGATAAGAAACATTTAATAAAAGAAAAAGACAGCAGAACGTATCTTACATTGCATTCTTTTCACCAATTAAGTCTGACATTAATTGTATTTTTCTAGAGAAACAATTTCATTCGTATCTAAAAAAAGATTCTTCCCGTTGCTATTTAAATATACATCATAGTTCTAAGGCAATCTATTCGTATACATTTTTATACCAACAATCATATAAAGAAAAGTATTTATTGCAGAAAATAGAATACGTATAGATATGTATATATATATCAGACATAATACATTGCATGTTTAAGATTAGAAAATATCAATCATTATGAATTTGCGAACAAGAGATAGAGAAAAAAAAATAGATTCACAGAATTAGCAAGAATAAGAAACTTTCGTATTTAAGACAGAAAAAAAATATTATTCGCATTGCAAAGTTTATATTGATTTATTCAGTTGCAATTGATTCGCTTTTAGTTTGACTTTTAATAGCTTCAATTTTTTTATCATGTTCATTGAGCTTTTCCATTAAACGATCTAATTGTTCTTGTCGATCTTTCAAAACATAAAAATTAAATTAAATATAAAAAAAATCGTTAATTCTGTTTACTTGTTTCCGCCGTATTTAATTTTTGATTAATTCTTTCTTGTAACAATTGCCGTTCTTCTTCAAGTTTAGCTAACTTTTGATGAACACTAGCACGACCTTTTTCAATAGGTGCTTTGGCCTTTTCAACTTTAGCTTGTAGGACACGGTCGCGATTTTCTTTTGCTGATTCAAGTTTCTTTTGTAATTTTTCTTCCGTTTGCTTTTTAAATTCTAATTATAAATTTGAATGCATACAATCCAATAGAATAAAAGCTTTTACCTTCAGCTTGTTGATCTTTTATTTTACTAACTTCAATAGGTCGGCTATTTTCTGCCGCAAGCAATGTTGAACGAAGTTGTTCTAAACTAAGACGACGTTCTTCGGCACGTTTCAATTTTTCAGTGATACTCTCTGGTGTTAATGGTATTGACATTTCATTTTGATTTGCTTTTGCGCTTGGTGAAAGAAAATGTGATGGTGGATGCATGGCTCCAACATGTCGTGGTGATTCAGCAAGTTTCACTTCAAAGGCAAGACCACCAGATGATTCAGTTAGAGTTGCTGATGTTGCAGTAGCTATTGGTGCGTTTCGTTTTGGAGCTAAAGAATAGGACAGAAGATCGATCAATATCAAATTTTTGTTTGCCTTCATTGATTATAAAAATCATACATACTTTCCATATTGATAGAAAATGTTCAAATTGTTCAAAAAGAATCTGCAAAAAAAGAACGAATAACCCTGTGTGTATTAGCAATTTAAATTTTTATGACTAGAAAAAAAAACAGATGTCTTCTTGTTTTCAAATAATGAATCTTGTGTAAGAATTCTTACAACGAAAATAAAGGACAAATACCGGCAATTCGGTCTATGCACACAAAGAACATAGATTCTAGAGTTTAAAATTAAACCAATGAAAATCAAGTTAAAACATAAAGCATGAATGCACTTAGAGGCTAGACATTAAAGAAAACCATATTCTTTCTTTCTTTCTTTCTTTCTTTCTCTTCATTTAATTTCGTTTGTTGAACATCGTCATTTCTATTCTAATTAAGTCGGTAGCCCAAATATGTCGAGTCGTCATTCCCGTAATCTTAGTGCTTCACTTTATGTTCGTGGACTGTCGGAAAAAACTCGGTAAGTAGGAATTTAAAAATCGACCCTATGTTGTATAATGAGAAATCACATTTTCAAACAAGTTCATCTCTATTTCCCGATCGATCATATTGATCTTTTCTTTTTACTAAGGTGTGTTTCAAACGTGATCCAACAAAAGAAATCACAGACACACTCCCATTCCTTTAACTCAATAATAATCAAGCAAAGTCAAGCCAAACAGAATTTTCTTTATTATTCCCATGCAAATACAAAAAGACAGTCTCAGACAAATAACACATCAGCAGCAGCAAAAACAATAGACGTATGCATTTCGGTTTGATTTTGTTTTTTTTGAGAAAGAGACATCCATGCAAATAAGAAAAACAAACGGATATATATATTGAATTCTGTGTAATTATGATGAATCATTTATTTAGTTATGAAGATTTGAAGAAACTTTTTACTCGATATGGACGTATTGTTGATATAACACTTCCTGTGGATTATTATACACGAGATGCTAAAGGTATATGAGCCTTATTGTAGGGCGTAGGTTTATACATCGAATAAATTTTTTATTAGGATATGGTTTTGTTGAATATGAAGAAAGTCGTGATGCTGGTAAGTGCAAATAGTATGTTATAAACAATTTTAAGGGGAAATTCTTTTGTTGTAGAAGAAGCACTTCATGCTCTTGATCGTTATCGATTACTCGGTCGAGAAATAGAAGTTGAGTTTGCAAGAGGCGATCGTAAAAGTAAGATTTTAAATTTAACGAAAAGCCCAAATTATAATACGAAATGTGCAACATTTTTTAGCACCGTCCGAGATGAGATCACGAGAAAAAGAAGCACGTTACGGACGTGGTGGTGGTGGCGGAGGAGGCGGTGGCGGCGGTAACTTTGGCCGACGTGATCGATCACGAAGGTAAAAATTTTTTTTTTTTATTAAATTGGGTATTTTTGATCAAATGATATTTTAGCCGTGATCGTCGCCAACGAAGTGGTTCACCAGTAGCTAGAGACCGTCGTCGTGGCGGTGGTGGTGCCGGTGCTGGAGCTGGTAGTCGATCTCGTTCACCGTATTCGCGTTCACCTGTTGCTCGACGGTAAATTAAGAGTTTCACATTGACTTTATAAAAAAACGAAATCGTCGGTGATGAAGATCATAGTTGCTACTCTCGACTATTGTATGACGAATTGACTATCCACTAAGATCTCTGAGACGATATAAAATAATAATTTTATTTATTAGTATATTTAATGACATCATTTTTATATAGCCCAGCTAGCCGTTCACGTTCAAAATCAGGTTCACCAAGTTATGGCAAACGAAATGGTGCTGCTGGTGGCAGTGCTGTTCGTCGTGGAAGTCGTTCAAGATCACCCGCCGATAATTAAACAAAAAAAATTGCTTTATAAATAAAATATGAAACTAATTCAAAGAAGTTGGTTGTCGCTTCTTTGTGTTTTTTTTTTGTTTTGCCTAATATGTGTATGTGTTTATTATTCAAAGAAGAAACCATAAATAGTTATCTCTTTTTTTGTGCATGTTTATTCTAATCGGCCTCTTTTTTTTGTCTCTTGATGTTGTCTATTGAACCTTGACAGGTACTCGTGCATTTCTTTTTGTTTTTGTTATTTAACACATTAATGAAATGAGATGAATGAAACAAAATTGTCGTCGACGTAATGTGTTATGTGTGGCATATTTGTTTTTGACCATGTAATGAATATATAGTCCAGACTGAACAACAAAAAATAATAACTTCTAATCGGAATCGTTCTTATCACTAAATTAAATAGATTGAAGTTTAGCATATGATGAGAAATATTTTACAAGGATCTTTTTCCGTATATCATCGGAACGACTGTTAACTTGGGCTGCGATTCGACCTATATTTTCAAAAAAGTCCTATTTATGTGCTATATTTTATCGAAGAAAGTAGAAAATTTCCGAAAACCTCTTAATTTTGGTATTGTCTTTAGACGAAAAAAAAACTTTTAATGTGTATAATCATGTGTTTTGGACAAATTCTTGTATTATAGTGACATTTGTTTCAAACGGTATTTTTCCTTTCGCCTATTTAGTGGACTGACTGAGACATTGTTTAATACAAAATACAGAATAGTTCAAAAGAAAAAAACATTCACAAAGTGATCATGTACTAGTTTCGGGTTTTTAGTGAAGTTTTAGTTAGATATAAAAGCTGTATATATATATATACCCCTGGAAATAAGTTTCACTCTGTATTTTGAGGATATTGTAACTAAAAGAACATTTTTTTAAAATTAACGACATTCTGAAAGCCCGTGAAATTTTGCACCATCCTGTGTATATGCATTTTCATTTACACTTATTTATTACCAGAAAAAAATTGAGTTATGATAAACTACAAAATAAACTTGTAGAAAATAATAAGCGACGAATGTTGATTATCAGGAGAATAAAATTAGGTTGAGATTTTTTGGGAAGTCATGTCTGTAATCTGAAACGTCTCCTTTAATTATGAGAAATAGTATTTGTCTTTTTCATGTATTTTATTTTTCGAAGCTTATGATCTACGTTATTGTTATTTATTAATTTGTGAAAGTTTTATAATTAAACTTTATAATAACTCTCGAATTAGCAACTAATTTCAGTAAAAAGAAGTTACACAAGAATCTTGGTGATGATTGAGCTGTTCATAGCAGCTGCATAAAAATGATTTTCAATCAGAGAAGTTAAAAAACACCACAACAATAGAACAGAAACGTCGTATAAAAACATCCTATATTTTGGTCATTTTTATCGAAAATCCTATATATTTAACAAGCTAAATCCTCTAAGGATTCCTATATTTTAAAAAAGTAGCAATCGGAGGCCAGCTGTTAACTAAAAAAACTGAAGCTTGTGGCTTTACGTGCACCATTTTTTATGCAGACACGCGTTTTTGTTCTAGATGAGGATTTTTGCGAAGTTGCACGGAAGCATTTATTTCCATTACTCATATCGTCAATAGCTATGTAATGAATAAATACATTACTAACTAAATACATAGAATCATACTTTCTAACGATATGTCAATGAGGACAGTTTATTGATATGGAGCAAATTTTGTCGAAATCTAATTGTTCACATCTTTGGTTTTCTTGAATATAACAAGAGAAAGAAAAAATTTCTTTATTTGTTTGCTAAATGTTCACATAAAATATTCCTACAAATTCACAATGACACCGATAAATAAAATATTTTTGATTTTTCTAAAAGACTGCTGTATTTACGTAATATGAAATAATTGAAGAAACAAATTTTCTGCATACATGAAAATAAGAATTAAAATAGAACGAAAAGTTAAAAGAAAACAAAAAAAGAAACTGAAATATATCGGACATAGACGACCATATCATGCACAGGTCACCGGACGAAAGCAAAGAAAAACGAGGCAACAATAGACGAGCTAACTATTCGTCATCCCGTTCCTGCGCCATGTTTAGTTTATAGAAGATCCCTCTTTGATCCATAAGTTCATCGTGTGTGCCACTTTCTTTGATTCTTCCCCGATCAACCACAACAATTTTGTCTGAATTTCTTATTGTTGCTAAACGATGTGCAATAGTCAAACATGTTCGACCGTTTCGTGCAACATCTAACGCTTCTTGAACAACTTTTTCACTACGAACGTCCAACGCTGATGTTGCTTCATCGAGTAGAAGAATTTTTGGATTACGTACAAGTGCACGTGCTATAGCAATACGTTGTTTTTGACCCCCACTAAGTTGACTACCTTTTGCACCGCACATTGTATTATAGCCCTAAATCCGCCGGGAAAAAAAAACATACGTAAACAGAAATACTTGTTTCTTTTCTTTTTCTCGCAAAATATTACCTCAGGTAATGAAATAATCGTATTGTGAATATTAGCTTTTTTTGCTGCTTCTTCAATTTCATGTTGTGTAACTTTTCGTGTATTATCACCATATGCTATATTATCATGAATACTTAAATTAAATAAAACGGGTTCTTGTTGAACAAAGCCAAGTTGAGATCGTAACCATGGTAAACTTAATTCTCGAATATCATGACCGTCGAGTAAAATAGAACCTTGATATGGATCATAAAATCGAAGAAGTAATGCAACACATGTACTTTTTCTATTGGTGAGAAACAAGTCAATAAATAATTAAAAAGAAAAAAGAAGTATACCCTGAACCACTTGGCCCACAAATTGCTGTTGTTTGACTTGCCTTTGCTGGTAGATCAAAACCTTTCAAAACACGCAATGTCGGTCGCGATGGATATACAAATTTAACTTGTTCAAATTCAATATTTCCCGTCAAGTTATCCTATTAAATAAATAGTTTAATGCAATGCATAATATATCTTTCACTAAATATTTTAGATTAACGACTACTTACTAATACAATTCCATCGATATTTTGAGGATCAATTTGCGATTGACGATTATTTAAATTCAATATTCTAATTGCACTTTCTTTTCCTTTGGCATAATCTGGTATCATTGCCGTTGATCTATTAAAGATAAATTTTCTTAAAAAAATTAATTTCTAATAATCAAACTCACCGTCCTACACTCATAGCGCCAAAAGTAATTACAGAAAAGACTCTAAAAAGAAAAAGAAAACATTCGTTTTTTTTTTAATACTAACATTTATTCATTTACCGAAATACGAGTGGTGCTTCCATTTCTCCGTTTTCAACTAGAACACTTCCATATCCAAATGATGCAGCATGAATAAAGAACATAATTGAATTTGCCAAGCCTGTTCCCAGTGATTGTATTTGAATTTTGATCATTGTTCGGCTATTAAACGCGAAATTGAATTTTTCTTTCAATTTAAAACTATCGATCTTACTTAAACTCTTTCTGAAAGCAATCTTCATAACGAGCAATAAAAAATTCTTCTTGATGAAGTCCAACAACAGTTCGTACACTATCAATTGCTTCTGTTGCATACTTAAATAATATTCATTGGCAATCGACAGAAGAAGAAGCAAAAAATAAATATCTACCGTTCCTCCTTTTTCTGACCAAGACAATTTACTATTATTTTTGTCATTGCTTTTTTTCGTATTGGTCATTCGTTTTCCTTGCAAAATGCCCGAAAAAACCATCAATGGTACAAATAACAATACAATAAAAGTCAGTTTCCATCCTGCCTGAAATGCAATTGTTAATGAAAATACAATGGCTCCGACGGCATTAAAGATAACGCCCATTCGAACTCCAGATAAACCCTAGAAAAACGATTATTATTTATATTTAAAATATTAATGAAATTACTTTCAAATTTGATGTATCTGATGAGAGTTGGGTGACTAAAGCACCAAGACTATTTTGTTCTTTATCGAACCAACCAATTTCTTGTCTTAACATTGATGAAAATGACATTATCCGCATACGCATGGTTAAGGCTTCACCACTTTTAGAAAAAGCGATACTACTGACACATTGACACAACCCACCAAATATGCCAATAAAGAAAATAACTAATGCATAGTTACGCGTTTCTATATTGGCTTTAGCAACATCTGGTTCAGCAAATAAAGCATAAATTTGCGAAAAGAAAAATGAAAATAACTAAAATAAAATTAATTAAAAAAGCTAGAACTCATTTAAAATTCATGTAGACTTACAGGTGTTATTGCACCGAATGTAATTGATGATATACATCCAATTATGATCCAATATATTTCTGGGAGATTCAGTTTAAGAATTTTGAATATAAATGGTTGATGACAACACTTTTTATTTTTTATTTCAACATTTTCTGTATCGTTTTCCTCCATATCAGGAACATCAGATCCTGCTGATTTAGTAGAAACAAGTGACAACGTACGTAAATGACGTGCATGATCTAAATTAAAAAAAAAATTATCTTTCAAGTTTTATATTATAATATAATTTCTTACTTTTCTCTGATAATTGTACTTGTTTGTCATCATCCAACATATCGTCATCTTCATCTTTTTCTTTACGTTGTTGCGCTGTTACAAGTTCATAGTAAAGACCTTTACGGTCCATCAATTCATTGTGAGTACCATCTTCCATCACTTCGCCTTTTTCCAATGCAATGATTAAATCAACATTTCGTATCGTACTCAAACGATGAGCTATGACAATTGTTGTTCGACCCATTTTAGCTCTGTCCAATGCATCTTGAACGACACGTTCACTTTCATTATCTAATTTTTGAAGAAATTATTTGATTTTAAGAAGAAAGTAGAAACAAACCAAGTGCACTTGTTGCTTCATCGAGAAGAAGAATCGTTGGATTCGAAACCAATGCTCGAGCAATAGCAACTAAAAGCAAACACATAATACTGAGTTTTCCAAGAAACTCTCATTGTGTTTACCTCGTTGTTTTTGACCACCACTTAGTTTATCGCCTGATGATGTTTTGTAGTTCTATTTATATATAATAAGAAAATTATGATCTAAAAAATGAAAATACGTACATCCGGAAGTGCCATTATGAATTCATGTGCATTAGCCATTTTAGCAGCCGCTATAACTTCTTCGTCAGTTGCATCTTGTTTACCGAAGCGAATATTTTCTTCAATGGTTCCAGTAAAAAGAACAGGTTCTTGACTAACAACGCCAATATGTTGACGAAGCCAAGCAACATTCAATGTTTTAATATCTTTTCCATCCAGTAGCACCCGTCCTTGTTCGGGATCGTAAAACCGTTGAATCAATTGAATGGTGGTACTTTCTATTACAATGAGGAAAAAAAGAGCATTGATGAAGGAAAGACAAACAAACTAACTTCCACATCCCGATGCTCCAACTAAAGCAACTGTCTTTCCCGACGGAATTTTCATACTAACACCTTGCAAAATCTAAAAAAATTAATGTTATATATATACTATAAAAATTTTCTTCGATCTAACCGGTGTATCTTTACGAGCTGGATATGTAAATCTAACATTTTGAAGCTCGATATCACCAACAATGCTGGGCGGAATATCACCTTCGTTTTTAAACGAATCAATGTTCGATATCTAACAAAAATCATAAATCAAAGAAAAAATAAATAAAAAAATTCATAAATAATTACTCTTGATATAATATCAAACACATAACCACCACTACCAGATGCTTCAGCAAATGCTTGAATATTAGGTACTATTTGAGAGATACTAAATGTTGATTGTAAACATGAAATAAAAATCTAAGAAAGTTTTAACAAATATAATTTTTTCGTCATTTTTATCTATTGTTTACATACAACAATCACAGATCCTGCATCATAATTTCTACATTCGTAACGCACAAGATAGGGTCCATCTAAAAATATTGAGGTATTCAAATTATTCGATAAATAGACGAAATATACATACACCAAAATGTAATAGCAAATGATAGATAGATTGCTATCTGAGCAGCTGCTTGGCATATACCCAAATAAAGACCTTTTTTTATACCAATTTGTTTTGCTTCAACTAAATTCTCAGAAAATCTATATTAGAATAAAACTTGTCCAAAATTTGTTTTGGTTTGAATTTTATTTTTTAACCTTTGCTCTTCTTTTTTTTGTCCTCCAAATGCTGTAACAGTTCTTATTGAGCCAAGAACTTCTTGTGCTACAGCACTTGCTGTTGAATATGATTGTATTTCTTTGGCTGTATATTTTGCAATAACCTACATAAGCAAAACGTAATCTTCAAATGTTATTTTTGTTTTTATCAACGAACTCTCATAGTTATATTGAATGCAAAAATAGTCAAAGGACTCGTTGCTATAAATACAAGTGATAATTTCCATCCTAAAAACGAATGCAATTAATTTGACTAATGTATTTATTTTTCTCTAAAATTTACCTGTAATAAAAGCAAATACAAGACCACCGAATAATCGACACATTAAACTAATAAAATCAGCTTTTTTGTCTCCTAAACCATCGCGAATTTTATCTAAAAAAAAATAAAAGTCAACAAAAAAAGATTTAGTATGGTGATTTTTTTTTGTTTCTGATACCTAAATCTGCCACTAAACGATTGCTAAGTTCACCGGGATTCAATTGATCAAACCAACCCATTTCTTGATGCATAATCGAACGAAATAATGCAAATCTCATACGTCGAACTTGACGTTCTGCCGCAATCATCTACATAAATTGATGACGTCATCTTTTTGAATAATATATTTTTTTCGTACCCAAAGTGAATAACCGAGCCAATAACAAAATATGCTAGCAAAACCTAATATAGCATACCACTTGATCATGCCGCGCAGATCACTCAAAATATCACTAGTTGAATTTGGTGCTTGAACAATACTAATTATAGAGATAAAGTTTTTTTTTTATTGATTGAAAGAAACTTTATTTCTAAGTCCTACCAAGCTGGATCGAAACCTGGAGGTATTGTAATATTTTGTATATTGGACGGAATACCACTTTTAACCAATGATGTTGCAACACCTATAATTATATTTCATAGCGTAACAAAAAACAAATAACTACAAGAAAAATTAATCATACTTTTGTAAACTAACATCATCAATGGAAACACAGCTCTAAAAATAAAAAGATCTTCTTATTGGAATTTTAAAAGTTTTTCCCTTTGGTAGTCTCTCATTTCTAGAACACTGTAAATCAAAAATGTTCTACTGACTTATGAGTCTCTCGCCATCAATGATTACATTGCTCTTTTTTTAAGCACTCTTATTCACCTAAATCCTCTGTTGATTTGATAATACGAAGAAAAAAAGCACATCTTTTGTCACCATAAATCAATAAAATACTCACCCAGTACCCATGCACGCAATTGTGCCGATAAACATAAGTAGAAAATCAAGTTTATCAGCAAATTTGTACTAGAAACAAAAGAAATAGGCAATCTATTTAGAAATAAAAACTACATGAATATAGACTTACAATTTCAAAGAAAGTTAATTTTCGACTGGGAGCTTTTTCACTGGCATTTTGCTTCTTTGATTCCCTATAAAGAAAAAAACGAGATTATAAATTATTTTTTTAAATTTACGACTAAAAACCTTACAAAAGTTCATCTTCAGTAGTACTAGTTAAATTAGATTCTGCATTTTTGTTCGAATTATTTTCATCGAATAAAGCTTTTTTTAATTCAGCATCATCATTTGTATTCGTATGATCCGATCTAAACACGTACATATTTCTCACGTGTGGATTATTACGAAAAACAAATGACAATATGATCAATAAAAATAGACCTTTTTCGATTTCTATTTGAATTTTTTAATTTTCTCATTGTATTGAATTTAAATCAGAAGTCAGTACGTTTCCTTAACCAGTTCCATGGGCAATTTGACAATAAGCAGCTGATCACTTTTTGAAACTGGAAAATCATTGGTTAAAAATAGATAAACAAGGGGGAACATAATTTATATACTTGTGAATGCATTATTTGATTGCAATGTTAAAAAGAACATCGCGAACATAACATAGGTAAGGTTTCTTTTTCTTTAGACGAATGAAAGAAAGAAAATGAGTTATTGACTACCGAGATTTAGATAGCATCTATATTTCCAATCGTATCAAAAGAGGACGCTGCTAACAAAGCAAATACATACTGAGGTTTATCATTGAATTGTATTTCTGATTTGGATATTCCATTTTGTGTTTTAAAATGTCCATTTGACTCATTTTTCTCATCGACACCATCATTACTAAGTGTCCAACTGTCGTTCCTTTTCTTTGCAACAAATGACATAATTAATTCATAAACTGACTTGATTCAAATATGTGTAAACGTCAATCTGGGAGACATATCGATAAAAATGTTTAGTTAAAAAATCCATTTTCAATGCTTACCTGTAAAATAAAGAATAAGATGAAGAATAAAAAAAGTTTCAGTATTTTGTATTTTGATTATTTCGAGCTGATAAGACACATATACTAAGACTCATAAAATATTACAATATCATTGTTCTGTTGATACAACAGTCAGTATCACTATTCGTAAGGTACGTTTTCGTACGAGATGCGCACCGTGATGACTACATTGTCGACTCAGAAACAACAAAACAATAAATAAAATGAAAAACAATATGTTATAAACATGCTAGAAGAAGACCTCATGATATGATATTTAACTAGAAATTATTTATTCTTTGTATTTGAATAAGACGAATGTTGCATCATAATATATTCATTTATATCCTACGGTGTAGAACATGGGATAAGAACAAAAAAATGAGACACTTACCGATGATGATAAATTGAAATCAATGACAAAAAATCATCCCTCTGAACAACTCTCTTGATTTTATTGGTTAGATCTGCCTCGTAGAGAGCACATCAATCAACCGGGGAGAAAGAAAATATAAGCGATGCACTTTGAAAATACCCATCGAAATTGACCATTACATTATTATAGAAAGATAGCGAACCATTGAAGGAAGAAAATATAACGCACACATATATAAGTTAATTGATAGCAACCTTAAGTCGTTATAGGCGTACGGATTTGTCATTTTCTAATGTCCATAATATGAAACATTTATACAAAGTCATCGTGCTCTCTTGCAATATGAAATTCAAGTATTCTATTACAAAAACGTTAGGCTAGTAAAAAAAAATGAGTCCTATACGTATGTCATATAACCATTTCTATTTATTCAGTATTTAAGTTGCATGCCTCGTCGTATATATACGTATAGACACGCATATCTTAACGTCACCAGTTTAGATTTGAGCTCCAAAAAATCCACATGAATGCTAATTAATCTTAGGACAATAACAAGAAGATTGCAGCAAATAGACGTCTTTATTTTTTGAAAAATGATTAGAACAACGACCAGCTGTATATTTACAGAAGCTTATCATAGATTGTAACCAGAAAATATGCCATACAAAGCAAAGTAAGAAAAATTTTCAAACACCTAATTGGTATCAACTATCGAAATCTATGCGATTTCTAATGGACTACTTTCAAGTGTTGAGACGTTCGCTTTTCAACTAACATTAATTTAGCATAAACTCCATTCAGTTGTAAGAGTTCATCATGTGTACCCTAAACAAATAAATATTTATTGGATTCAACTTAAATACAAATCGAACTATTTACTTCTTCTTTCAATTTGCCTCGATCGACAACAGCAATCTTCTCTGAATTTTGAATCGTTGACAAACGATGAGCAATACTCATGCAAGTTCGACCTGATCTTGCTTTATCCAATGCTGCTTGAACGACCTTTTCACTTTTATTATCTAATGCTGATGTGGCTTCATCAAGAAGAAGAATTTTCGGTGAACGAACTAATGCTCGACCAATAGCAACTAAAAAATATATCACATTCATCTCTAAACTTTCCACATCATCGAATAATTTACTTCGTTGTTTTTGTCCACCAGATAATTGACCACCTTTTGCTCCACATGACGTTTCATAGCCCTACAAAATATCAAAAGATGAGATCGAATGCGCAAGGCAAAATAATAACCTGTGGTAATGAAATAATCAACTCATGAATATTAGCGTTTCGAGCTGCTGTTTCGATGTCACTTTGTGTTATTTCTCGACTATTGTCACCATAAGCAATATTATCTCGAATAGAAAGATTAAACAGAACTGGTTCTTGCTGAACAAGTCCCATTATAGATCGAAGCCATTGAATATTAAGAGCTTTGATATCATGACCATCGAGTAGAACTTTTCCGTTCAATGGATCATAGAATCTTTGTAGCAACGCAATAGTCGTCGATTTTCCACTACCCGATGGTCCAACAAGTGCTGTTGTACCACTACTTAAACATTTCAATGAGAAGCTTCTAAGAATACGAAGAGTAGGTCGTGTTGGATATCGAAAATGAGCATCGTGAAATTCAATATTTCCTTCCATTTCTTTCTAAAAAACAAAGATGTAGACTTGATAATTAAAATCAATATATCCGCACTAAGATGATGCCAGAATCGTCGTGAGGATTGATTTTTGACTGTCGTTGATTAAGTTTCATGATTCTCGATGCTGCTTGTTTTGCTTTTGCATAACCAGGAATCATAGCCATTGAACGACCGATAATAATCATTGCAAAAGTAATAACAATAAATATTCTAGTGAATAATTTATATTCGTGTATCGTCACAAGTATCTCAAAGCATCTTGCTTACTTAAACACATCATCAAAGTTCATATCGCCATCTGAAACAAGTTTACTGCCGAATGAAAAAGTAGCACAATGGAGAAAATACATGGTTGAATTTGCCATTGCAGCACCTAACGCAATCAGATGCAGCTTGCACATTTGCTTCCTAGAATAGTACATTTTTTATAGGTAGAATTCAGTGAAATAGAAAAATAGATATACTTGAAATCTTGATTGAATGCATCCTCATAAAGATCAATAAAATGCTTTTCCTGGTGAAGAGCTACAACCACCAAGTGGGAAAAGGCGGATTCTCAGGATTCCGAATTCCATGAAAATCTCAGAAATCCCAATAATCCTAGAGTTATGTTCAAAAGTAGCAAAAACAAACAATAAAGCAATATTTTGACCGGCATATCTTAAAGATATATCATGGTGTATGTCAAATACTCTGCTAGTAAAAGAGTCCATTCAATTTGAAGAGAAATATTTTGATTAATTAAACAGTCTGAAACTTTATTTTTCAATATCTATGATAAGTATAAACTGATTCGTTTGTATAAAAATTACAAAAAATTCGTGTTGCTATCAATCATTAGGTAGTGTATCAGTGAAAATAAATACCGCCTCATACATTCATACGTTTGATGTTTTAGTTATTTACTTGATGTAGATATCAAGGTGAGAACAAAACAAGACCAACTTTGCATAAATGTGTGCCACTTCTGCCTGTAAAACAAGCAGATGAATGTTCATGTTGTCATTAATTTGAGTTTTTTTTAATTAAGGTTCACTCATCAACATAATGACAAACCAAACGTTTTCAATATCAGAGACTCGCTTTTCTCACTGAATGGGTTAATTTGCGTCACGAAGCTATAATATCTTTATATTATTTAATGAGAACAGAATCACAAGTATGAAGTTATATACATTCGATAATGAAAAGTGCAACTCATCACGTATCGCTTGATAGTATTTACGTGATTTAAGATGACTTATCTTTTGAGTCGATCGGTATAATTTTATGGGCGTTGTCTAGACAGTAACATAATAAATGATGATGTCAGATGATTATAAACATAAATCGGCAAATGAAAGACGACGTTTTTCACATGGAACCGATCCTGGGAATCTCAATATGCCTTCTCGTGCATATTTGTTCAAAATTCCAGTACTAGAATTGGCACGAGCCATTCGATTTCACTAGTTAAAAGTTAAACGAGTGCGTTGCTAGTGTGTTGCTGTTATTGTTACACATGTGCTCTGAAAAGAAAAAGAGAAAAAAAACGGTGGTTAGTGTTACTATGAAAGAAATAACTTCTTCCGTCATTCCGTTGTTTTGTGTCGCGTAATCATAGACTTTCATCATAATATAGAGCAATGTGAGCCACATTCATCTTTCTAACACATATTAAATCCGATCTTTACCCTAAATGCATGAGTCGATAACAAGAACAATTTTTTTCCTTCTAATTCTGCCATCCGCTCACTACAAGTGTGAGTATGGTTGTGTTTAAATAGAAATTCATGTAGATTTGAACTGTTTAGATGCAATTCTGATCTTCGTTTTAAATTCCCTATGTCACAGTGTATAGGAGATTTTTGTATTTTCAGTTAAAATGAAAGAAGAAACAATATGATGAATTATTCTTGCCATTTAGAATGAAGAAAATTTTACCGTTTGTTCAATAACAATTATGCACTGGTTTATGTTCGACTTTGTGCCTGTGGAACTTTTACATTCTATTTTCGACTATCTTTGGACTAATGAAATCCTTAATTCATTTCTAAATATAAATGACTATCTTGATAATGTCATAGTGAACTGCAATGGCTCATTTCTCAACTTTCATTCGATTTCCAGACCATTATTTGATCTCATTTGCCGTCGTCTACGACCAAATCACGTAATCTCACTCGTCTTATCAGATAGTAATGATACACCAGGTCAATGCCAACTACTTTTCTCTCGTTTTTCAATTGAACAGTTTAGTCATCTCCGTGCACTTACGCTGATTAATATCGACGATGACAGTGAATCATTTTTTACTGGTCTCGATAAAATTGAAAGTCTAAAATTCCTTGAAGTAACGCCAAAACATTATAATCGATATCTCCAAATTATGCCTAAACTCGTACGATTCGTTGTAAAATATCAGTATGTTGTTTATTTTGAAAGTTTTATTTATATCACTCGAATTCAACTACTTCACCTGCGTCATTCAACTTTAACAAATTGTTCATACTTCATACTCAAAGATATATTTCGTTATGCACCAATGCTCGTCTCACTTAATATTTCAATTATGTTTGAGAGTCGTGAACAGATCGAAAACTTTGTTACTATCAATCATGGAAAGTCACCAATTCATCTCATTAGTCTCTCTGTGTCGATTGATGTCTTTAGTAAGTAGTAACATATTTATGAAATCAAGCAAACATTTTTTTCCAGAGATTTAACTGCACTCGATTACAATATAGAACTTTAATTTTTTTTCTAGGTGGTTACAACTGGTCAAGTGTAATTATTTCCCGTAATCATGTAGAACAATTTCTCGTGCATACGCCTCGTCTACGACAACTTGAACTTATCGTTGACTGTGATGGAAACAACAATCTTAGTTATGGTGATCGCTGGGAAAGGTTCATCGTTGAACGATTACCACGACTTAGAACTTTTTATTTCAAGTTTAAGTTAGAAAACGTCTATCGTAACGAACAGACTGTACTTGGTCATTTTCACACTCCATTTTGGCTGGATAAACATCGACCTTGGTTTGTAGCATACGATCGACAGCGTTCACTTTTATTCACCGTACCTCACTTTGCTCATCGCTCAATTGCGTATTCTGAAATGCCAGTATTACCTCACTCGACAACACTGCCCATCGAACAGCATGCCCGACTTTATAATATGATTACCGAACTCACATTTGATTCGATAAAAAACGAACCAGATTATTGCTATAAGGAAGTAGAAAAACTTGTGCTCATCGGTCTCGAAATCAACAGGGCATTGATTGATCTTTCTCGAGTGCAATATTTAAGTGTAAATTCATCTTCATGGTCATTAGACATGATTGTTCAACTCATTTGGTATTCGATGCCTTGCCTTCATTATCTCAGTTTCAATTGTAGATTGTCTTTAAAATATTCGAATTCTATTATTCCTCTAGAACAGATTCGTATTCTACAAATGCCCTTCTTTGCTTACTCAGCAAATAATGAGAATTTTGATTGGATTCAACTTTTTCCACGTGTTGAACGATTATCGATTACCGTGAATAGTTGTCATGAATTGGCAATTTTAATTGATCAATTCAATAATATCTCCTATGCTTCATTTACTGTTAATAATTCTTGCATTAATGTTAGAAGAAATTTGTGGGAGCCTCGAATAACACGAGAATGGCTTGTTCGAAATACACGCCGACTGACAACATTAGACAATAATAGTTTTACTTGTCGATTTGACAATAATAACATATTTAAAGTGTATCTATGGATCGGTGAAGATTGTAAACAACAAACAACGGTATGTCATTGTAGCTGACTTCATTCTTATTATACATATATTTCTCTTTTTTCAGCTTTTAAATACAAGAGCAAGTAAAACTAATAATTGTTTGTTGAGTTGTTTGCCAATGTGTACCTCGAAAAGAAGAGAAAATGATGAGTTTCAATAACTTTAGGTCACTACTATCTAGGAGAAAATTCAACAAATAATATGATCAATGATATTCAAGGAATGTTTTCAAATAATTTACGTGCCAATCTATAGAGAATGATGGATTCTGATTTAATCAAAACTTTAATGAAGATTTTTCTTTTTGACTTATGCTCTTTTTATTGTAACACTCGGAAGTGCTTACAAAAACAGAGAAACATGCAGGGACGGGAGAGATAAGAAGTAACAAACAAAAACTGAAAAGAAAACAAAAAGGGAGAAACAAAGATAAAAATACATGAAGTAAATGAAGGTGGTAACGAGATGAACAGAAAATAGAAGTAGCGGGAGCTGTAAAGGTTGAAGTAGAATGTTAAGGGGCTGTTAATAAACTACGATTTCGTGTTCCTTTTTTCTTATATTTCTAATTATCACTTTGCTCATTAAAACCCAGCCAGTCTAGGAGAAGGGAGCAGTGTTTTAATTTTAAACGTTTAACCCGTTTCAACATAAATAGATGACCAACATCATCTTTAGCTTGCTTATGGAAATTATCCCATAGGAATACATCTTCAACAAATAGGGAAGAATCTAAATCTGAAGAACACACCTTTTTTAATCTTTTCGAGATATAACGTTTGACATAAGTATCAAGCGGTTCTTCTCGGGTAAAAGTCAAAAGATCCTTAGCGCGAACAAATGGGACACGATGGCTAAGCGTATTGCTACTCTATACTTTCTTCTAAGTGCCTCTTGGTGTGTTGTTGGGAGAAAGGGGGAAAATGGAAAGATCCAAGCGAAATGGGGAAATATATACGCGAAGAAGCATCTTCTCAAAGTGTCTTTGGACCAGAGAGCGAAAGCCGAACCGAACCGAACTCGAATCAGAAAAAGTCAGTTCGATTAGCTCTCTGCTATGGACAAAATTTTGCCGCTACGCAGCCATTTGAGCTTACCCAATGATCTTTGGATATTCTCCAGGCTTTTGTTTACAGTGAATCTCAATGATAATTTACTTGCCCAAGTAAAACCAAGATACTTGAACGTGTCTACAATGACAAATTTCTGTCCTAGCATATATATATATGTCTACCGTGGGCTTTCTAATTTGAGAATAGAAGAGTTGTGCGACAGTTTTGCCGATATTGATTGGTTGTTTCCAGCGAACCGAATATTCAGCAACCCTGTCGCATACTTTACATCCCTCAACCTCTAAATACTCGACTAGAGATGAGTAGGATTTTTGGATGGGTGCTCGAATGACCACGCTCAGATCATCAGCGAAGATATGTCTTCAGTGAGCTACCAGACAAGCTACTAAATCGCTATGGTATACTACGAATATAAAGGGATTGACTACTCCCTTGAGAAAGACCGACTTGTACTTGAAAAACTTCTGACTTAGTTTGGCCATAGTAAATAATCGCTGTGCGACTATTCAGCCAGCTATAAATAATTTTCAGTAGGTTAGTGGTGTAACGATAAATATGGGACCCACTACTCTCGGCAATGATGTTTATTCGCTTCTTCACATATCCAAAGCGTAGCAGCTTCATACATAACACACATAATATATAGGATATATATATATATATATATTAGAACAATGGAAAGAGAATAGAAGGAAGAGGAAGGAGACCCATCGAAGCGTGCCATCAATATCGACACAAATGCGTATACCTAACCTGTATAATTTGACCTAGGAGACCCGAATGCCAAACTAAGTCAAAAGCTGTTTCATAGTCGACATATATTGCAAGCGTAGGGACATTCGTAGCTAAATTATTCTGAACTTCCTGAAGAATGGAAAGAACACTAGTCTGATTGCAACGTGGTATACTAGCGTTAAGTTTGTTGAAGGTAATAATTTTCGAGCTATTCCAGAAGCCTGGATACCTCCCATCTTTTAACCAAAATTTGAAGCAATTGACTAGACTTTCTATATAAGTTGGAGGGAGCACTTAATAATAAAATTTTAGACCTGATCGATACCGGAAGACTTCTTTCTTTTTATCTTTTTTCTATAATTTTAGTGACTTCTGTTATGGATGTAGCCTCTAAGTCTGATTCCTTAAAAGCAGTTAGTAAGTTCCGAAGTTCTCTAAAGTCTGTCTCGATTTGAATATCACGATGATTTAATGGACTCATTTCAGGGGCTTTAGCTAAGTCCTTAAAGTAATTATAGAGTTTTTTCGTAATCTCCTGCTCGTCTGATATGATACTAGTCCCTACTGATAATTGGAAGAATGGTAGCGTTTTTAGTTTATAAATTTTTGAAAAATGCGTCCAAAATGAACTCTCCTGTTTATCATGAGCACCTTGTATGATGGACAGAAAGCTGGATCATCTGATTGATCTATACTTGTAAATATCATTCCGAACCTCTCTTGACATATTTCTTAGCAACACTCTAGGATCTTCGTTATCAATACCAGCTATTTTCCTTTCTCTGTAATATTTATTTCGAACCTGACGAACTTCACGGAGCCTGCGGCTATGTAAGCAGGAAGAGATGGACGGTATTTTTCTCTTTCTTTCCATCGAGTCAAACGGCATTTTAATGCTACAAGGAAACGTACATAAAATTGATATCAATGATCAATTGTTTCCTTTTTTTGTTCATTTATCCAGAAATCTTCTAAAAGCACTAGAATGGTTTGGTAAATGATCCAATCGGTGTGAGGGGTGTCCAAGGACTGATGATTAGGAATTCCTCATCAGTTCCACTACAGTTCCTTGAATACTAAAGGTAAAAATATGGAATATTCACAATAATTTTTGTTCTTACACTCATTTTCACTTGAAAAATTGTGAAAATCAATGATTTCATGCAAAAATTATTTTTAAAACAGCAATATCGCAACTTTCGTGATTGGTGGAACTGTGAGGGAACCCATAGTTGATTCCCATTTCCTCTAGGAATTATCAGAGCGGCACTGACAATTCCTCGACACATTAGGAATTCCTATTTCTCTGTCCTTCGACACTGCTGCCCATAAAACTATGGCAAGGACTTACAATCAGAAGTAGTAAAAGTAAAGCTGTACCATCACCGTGAGCAAACAATCAGATCTTAAGATCTGATAAGATTCTACATCTGATCTTATATGATTGTATAAGATCCGACAAAAAAACCTTAGCCCCTGAAATCTTATATCAACTCGTACGATCAGATTCTTGAAAGATCTTATTGTAAGACTTGATATAACATTTCAGAGACGACGATTTTTTGTACGATCCTATCTGCTTTCTCAAGATCTTACACCTGATCCTTTGACCTGGATATGGAAGACAAGAACGTTCATGCTTATCACCTGAAAACGTACCTATGAAACTATCTCAACTGGCACTAATAAAATATATTGTATTTTTTGTGCTGATGCTTAATTTTTTTTATTTAGAAAATAAAAGAATTACAGTTACTTGTTAAATATTTTGCTTTCGACAGATACAAGCGTACAAACAATAACTTATTAAAAAATGATGATTAGAATACCTTTGAGATTGAAATCAGTATTCTTCAACTTTTTGAATAAGCTCCTACTCACCATACATTATGATTACAAAAAGATGTTAATGATTCTGTATTCTTTTTCTTTTAAGATTGAGGTATGGGTACCAGGGAAAGGTGCTAAAAAAAATAAAAAGTCCGCGATAATACACTGCAATGATCACAATTACATGCAGTAAAAAGTCACTTAATACAAGTCTGTTTCATCATAAGTTCAATGGTTTTTTTATAACTTCATTAACTTTTGCTTTTGATAAAAATGCGATGACTAAAACATTTCGATAGCCACAATCAGCTTCTTGATCCAATTCGAGTTCCGATACGCCATGGAATAATTTTTCATCATCAAGAAATAGTGTTTCAGATTCTTGTAACATTGTAACATGGGTTAATGGTATTTTATTGAGATCTAGAACTGTTGTTTGTCCACCGGAAATATTTTTTCTATCGATGAACACAATGAAAACAAAATCTCTACCGTCACGATGTATACCTTCGGGTGACGGTTTACCAGTCATATTCTTTGTACAGTGAATATGCATCTGATGTGCTTCAATAAACCAATCATCGGGACCTTGTAATTCTGTGCATACATCAACAAGATAATACAAAATATTTCGAAATACTGCATTGTGTAATATATGTTCTTCAAATTGTTCATAATGTCTTGGTATACCACCATTTAGTGTATTATGATAAAGTGCTTGATAATACGGTTGTTTTGGTTCAACATAGATACATTTATTTAGATCACTGTAATTGAATACAGCAAAACGACGATAACGATATTTACCATTATCGTTCATATAATTATCTAGCATGAGATTCAACCAACTCTTCTTAAACGATTGCCAGCTAGCCGATTGTAAAGTATCTTCGGTGAATAATTGTGGTATATGTGCATAATGGGCTGATTTAATCTCACATGCGACACTTTTTTCAGAGGTATTAATCATGTTTGATTCCACTTTTTGAATTGCTGTTTGGTTAATATTCATTGTAAGGTAATACTAAACCTCGAAAAAAGTAACACGATTATTTTTGTTTCGCACATTATATTATCTATTCATATCCTATACTTTCTTTCGTTTCCCTATATTATTTGTCACTTTTTTTAAACTGTTCAATAGATGATCTCGTGACCAAAAATCCTGTTTTTACACTTTCTGACGGTTTTTCATTTGTTTAACCTGTTTTTAATGTTTTTTCATATCCGCCTTTTGTGCATATGCTTTTCGTTTCTTAGAGATTCACAATGGATATTTTATTTTTATCATGTAAAATGGCTAGAAGAGACAAATCTAAGAAAAACCTCTATAAAGATAATAAGATCAATATAGACCAGGAATATATTCTAGAGTCATTTATTGTCATCGCATCTCCTCCATAGAGTTTGGAAAAAAAGTTTTTTTAATTAAATTCTAACAAGTAACTACGTATATTGCTGTCGTGAATCTAGGAAGCGTAACATAAAATAACAGAACGATTCTTATTTATATCCAGAATTTTGATGACCAACTTGCATATACTAATAACTAAAAGCTCCACGAAACTGTATCCCGTATGGAAACTTTCAAGTTCCTTTCCAAATCCAGATCATCACTTACTTTGAAAGAATGAATAAGGCTTTGTTTTGCAACTGATCTTTGTAAAATGTTGAAAGACAAACGAATGAAACTCTCCCTGAAAGCTGTCCTATTTATAGTGAACATATATGCAGTAATCCGGTTTCTCCCAATACTTCGGCGAGTGGGGATTCCCATCGTTCTAAATTCACATCAGAACTCCCAATGAGATGGGATGGGATATGATAGATTCGTCCCATCCCATCCCATGGGATGTCGAATAGATTTTTCACTTATGATATTATTGTATGAAAGATGTCACTTGGAGACATTAACGAAAACTGAGCGACTTTTTTTTCTTATTTTCCATTGGTAAACAAATTATTAAGTGACTGATAATGCTGGAAGTTTTTTGGCTATTTCAACTGATGATGCTGCCATCAAACGTACAGTCATACAAAAACAACGAGTACTAGCTTTCTTCATTGAGCATCAATTTCATATACGCAAGCTAGTCTTGTCACTTTTTCAACAATTTGAAACATTTCCTGTGGCTGAAGACGAAGGATTATGAGATCTTTTTCAAGAGTTGACTTGTTTAGAAGTAAAATTTGGTACCTTTCATATTAAAGATTTAGTTCGATGTGCCGATACAGCATAAAATCACACACCATCACCAGCAGATGAATACGAATCTGATTTAAAAAAAACATACTGAAAGAGCCACACGACAATGATGTCATTTGTATAATTGGTCCAGATATATATAAAGTGATTCGTATACGCAAATATCATGCTTACATTTATTCTATTCATTTGTGGGTGCAAATTTCCATTATTAAACTATTGTTTTGTGTTGACGACGCTTTTATGATTGCTGTAAACCTTGAATAAAATATTTTTTCACTTTGGATGTATATGTACGTTGTAGGGAAAATTGGAATTCAGGAAAATTCGGAATTTGTTTAGTCAAAATTAGAATTCTGATTCTGTCTAGGCAAAATCAAGATTCTAATTTTGATCGGTTTCTTTTTTCAGACAGAATTGGAATTCTAATTCTGCCCTGGCGAACTTAGAATCGGGTTAGAGATAAATTCTTAAAAAGAAAATAATCAAAATTTAAGTGTTACAGCTATATTTTATTCAACAAAATCTTTTTTTCTGAACATTTTACAATTAGAAGCCTAAATGTTTTACTCTAGTCACCCATATTTTTATAACAAACTCGTTTTGAATGACATTTTGTCGAAGAAAAAACTCCATTTTTTTGCAAGGACATTGTTTCGAAACGCATTTGCCTTTACAATCGCAAGTGCGACCACTTGCTGATGCACGTGCATAAAGTTTACATGCTTCAATAAATGTAATGTCCTTCAAATTATCAATAACAAGCTGTTTTAATTCTACTGGACAAACCATTTTTCTCATCTACTGTACGTTTACTAAAACATGTGACTGTATGAATTTATCTCTAGTCCGATTCTAATTTTGCCCGGACAGGATTAGAATTCTAATTCTGTCTGAAAAAAAAACCGGTCAAAATTAGAATCTTGATTTTGCCTACGTAGAATCAGAATTCTAATTTTGACTAGGCAAATTCCGAATTTTTATGAATTCCTATTTTGCCTACAACATATATATGCATATATATACTAGCGGAGGTACCCGATGAAAAGGGAATATAGTTAAAGTTTTGCATCTTCCACCTGACTTTTCCTGCCGTGCATGACACGTCTTCTACAGGAATGTTCCCACTGTGGGTGAGCTATCTGCAACAGAAATTTTCCTGCCGTGTGTCAAATCTCTTCCACAGAACTTTTCTCATCATGCCTGAAACCTCTTGGACAGGACTTTTACCTGCATGCCTCAGGCATTTTCAAGAGGATTGTTCCCGCTGAGTGTTAGGCGTTTTCCATACGACTCTTCCCACCGAGCTCAAGCTGACATATTCACTCACATCCGCCCTGGACACAATCACTCTCGAATTTGCATTGAACTGCGTCATTTGATTAGAAGTGAGTAAAATCGCGATCTCTTACGACTTGGATGAAATTTCGCGCACGCCTTCTCTCTCACTCCGATCAGCCTGCCGACTTTCTTTTGCACTCAAGGAACTGACACGGATATTTCCGTGACGCTATCTCTCACGACAACTAAATACATAGCGAACAGACTCATCAGAATCTCGATCCATGTTGGCCGGCGTGAAATTCTATCTCACTTTTTGCTTTCTTCATTCGATGGATATTTCCATCTATACAGTTCCTCTTCGTCTTATACATTCTATTCGTTTTTTTTCGACCATCCTAAAATGTCTTGTGCCGAATGGCAAAAGCTCAGGTTTTAATATACTTTTGCTCTCAAGTTTTGGAAGAACAATCATGCGCGCAAATTCTCTGGAAGAGACATTTACTATAATATATTTAACAATGAGTGTGGGGGAGGGGAAACATTCTCCTGAGGTTAAAATTTGAGGTTGAAAACTACTCTATAACCTTCTTCTGGTCGAAAGGGTATTCTCTGCAAAATTTCATTGTATTTGCTCGCACGGTGTCGAAATGCATGAAGAACAAACAGACAAACCTTCTTCTTTATATATATATACAAGAGCGTTTGTTGTAAAAAGAGGAGAGGGGTTGTTATTATTCATTAATACAAGGCAGCGAAAATAGTGATAATTTTCTTCATCTTGGTAAACTGTACTCTAAAAAAATCGGTACTCTACCGAACCTTAATAGTTTCGCATTTCTTCACCGAACGATTTTAAGTTCCGTAGAGTGAAAAACGTTCCGTGGTCTCCTTTCAGAACCATTTTAAGTTCAGCAGATTTCATCAGGTTTCGCAATTGTGCGCCTGAACTCTTCGAAGGTTCCGTGAGGTGGTTTGTAGTTTCGTACGTCATGTACCAATCCTCTGATAGTTTTGCGAAATGGCAGAAGGCTTTGTCATATACCCACTGAACCACTGTTGGTTTCGTGAACGATCCGAAGGTTTCGCATTATTTGTGCGGAACTTTTCGACACTTATTAGTCGGCTTTAATGTTTCGTAATATATCCACGGAACCAGTGTTGGTTTCGCGGACGATTCAAAGCTTTCCTATTATTTGTACGGAACTTTTCCTAACTTTCTAGTGTGCTTTAATGTTTTTTCAAATACCGACCAAACCAACGTTAGTTTCGTAGACTATCTCAGGGTTTCATAGTTTTTGCGCTTAACTTTTCACCGATTTATTATCTCTGTCAAACTTTCCATAGCTTATCGGGGCTTCAGAGTTCAAATCCGTTCTCAGTTTTTCTATACGAGCTTTCATGACTGAAAAAACCCGCCGATCAGGAGTCCAAACTTCACATGGTTCACTTTTTATTTCAACCCTGTTGTCAATTCTAGGGTAAGTTTGAAGTGATGAAAATGAATAATTTTTTTCTTTGTTTTTGATTCATTCATATAGAAGGTTTCAGGTAAATTTGATGTCATAAAATAACAGAAATTTGTTTTGTTTAATTATAGAAGGCCGCAAAGATGCAATTTCAGGTCAGTTTGATCGTGTATAATTTAATATATTTGATTTTTTTTTCTAGGTTGATGATTATACGCAGTTTTAGGTAAGTTCTCTCCCAGTATCACCCTGTCCGGAAAGTTCGTGCAACTCATATACTGTTAAATCGTAGAATAACAATTATCATATTTATTGAATGTAGTGACCATCACTAGCAACCACGCGCAGCCAGCGGTCAATCGAACTTTCTATACCTTGACAAAAAAAAATTCGAATTAAGATGATATAAATAGTCCTCAACAGTTGAAATTGCTTCATTGTCGGAGCTGAAATTCTTGCCACGAAGGATTTTCTTCAAGTTTGAGAACAGGTGGTAATCAGGCGGTGCAATATCTGGAGAATAGGCCGGATGATTCAGCTCGACGAAGCCAGCCTCTTGAATAGCAGCCTGCACAATGTTGCATTTGTGAACGGGAGCGTTGTCATGAAGAATGAGCACGCCCGCGGCTGACCTTGCCGCGACGTTTCTCCAGGATGGCAGAACGCAGCCGTTCGATGGTTGATGCATAATAAGAACCATTGACTGTAGTTCCATGTGGCAGGTAGTCGATGAGCAGAATGCCATATTTGTCCCAGAAAATGATCATCATAAGTTTTCCAGCTGATCTTTGTCGACGAGGTCGAGTTGGTCTCTGTTCATCTGGCTTCTTCCAGACCTTTGCTTCCATCTGGGTGAGAGGGTCGTAGTGATATACCCAGCACTCGTCATCGGTTACGACGCGGCCGAAAAAGTTTGACGAATCTGCTTCGCTCTCTTCAAGAAGCTCTTGACCACAATCCATTCGATTGGCACGTTGAAGTGGCGTCAGCAACTTTGGTACCCATAGTGTGCAAACCTTTTTCATGCCTAAGTGAATATTCATAATTTCATGAACACTGGTTTTTGGAATGCCTAATTCATCAGATACTCGATGGACAGAGATTTGTCGATCATTCATTACAATCCGTTCTACAGCTTCAATGTTTTCATCGGTGATCGTGGTTGATGGGCGACCGGTTCGAGGTGCATCTTCGAAGCCACGTTTTGGGTCTTTAATTTCAGCCACCCACTTTGCGACGGTGCGATACGATGGAGCAGAGTCCTTGTAAACATCATCCAACTCCTTACTAATTTCGGTGGCGTTTAGCCCTTTTCGGGTGAAAAACTTTATAACTGCACGATATTCGATATTTGATATATGAACAGACATGACTATCAAAATGTTTTTTTTCTTATGAAGGAAAAGAACTAACCAGACCAAAACTTGTGTGTAATAATAAAATTGCGCCCTCTATAGAATGATGGAGTACAAATACTTGAAGGATGTAATCCGGGGTTAGTTGCACGAACTTTTCGGACAGGGTGATAAATCAAAAAATTATTAGTTTTATAATTCTAGGTTAATATAGAGATGGCGTTTTAGGTATGTCTGATTTTACGTAATAATACATTTTCACTAATTTGTTTATTATAGATTGTTTCAAGTATAATAACAGTGAAGTAAGTTTGATCTTATATAAATGATTATATTTATTCGTTTCTATATTTTAGGTTATTTCAATTATGGAAATCACGGGAGGAGTTGGCTTTAACCATCTGATGCCGCTCGCTTGTATGCATACTATTCTAGTGTTTCTGAAAACCCAAGTATGGCATGAATTAGATAAATCATAAGTAGAATAAAATAGTCTATAGGATGATTTTCGTTAATGCAAAAAAATTACTCTATAGACTACGTCATCTTACTTTTGATTCATTTGAGGTATACACACTCGGGTTTTGAGAAATACTCGAGTAGTGTGCATGCCGCGGGTGACAGCACAGGGTTAAATGAAATTTTTGAGTGGATAGACAATTTGGAAGAAGGATTAGTGCAAATAGTTTTGTACGGAACCTTTGTTGGGTACGAAACCTTTTTTGAATGGCTTTTAAAAGGTTCTGTACAAAACCATTGCTATGACACCCTTTTTTTTTATTATCATGAATGGGGTTGATACGAAACCTTACTTTTCACAAAACCAAAAAAGGATCTGACCGTGTGCCGAGGATAAGATCCTTTTTAGGCTCTGTAAAAAAAACTATTCTTTTTAGAGTGTGTAACATAGTCGAAATTGCGATCATGATAAGTTTGGCACAGCGATCGTCGTAAGTAGCTTAGAATTCTATATTATATATACACACTCACACTCATAGGTGACTGCAAACAAAGGCACAAACGCATTTTATTTCATATAACATTCCCTTCGTTGGAAGAAAAAAGAAGAAATTGATTGACTACAGTCTATCATATGTGATTACACTCTAAATAAAAATGTGTCGGATGTGTCGTAAACTACGACACAAAGCACGACACACGGTGCTCGTTGCGACACATTCTATCCAGCAAGACGACGACGCATTTTTCACAACACATCCGACACATTTTCTATTGGTCGTTTTCAAAACGTATATTTCCTTATTTTTTGAAAATTTAATCTCATCACATCCTCAGATCTGCCTGTTTTGGCATTGGTCCTATTCCCATCAGAACATCCAGTGTAGCCCTTCCCAGATCATGGATCGAGATGGCATTTCCTTGATTGAAAAGCAATCAAGAATTAATTTAAAAGAAAATTTTATTTTGAAAATTATCTTTCGTGCGTTCAGCGATGCTGATCATATGTCGCTGTATATTCATAACAAAACGGTGAACAACTAGTCTACAGACAGAACGCGAAAAATATACGACACAAAAATCGCGCCACATATAGTCGACGCATTTTTATTTAGTGTGACATACACGTGTTTTGTGAAGCTAAGTTGCCTGACAAATTGATTTATACTCTTATCTCTTCATACACTATCACTCGTAAGATCCATTACGTTTAGGATCAGTGAAGTGAGTTATGCAAAGGCTTGTCTATCACATAGTGTGCGTCTTTTTTTGGTTAAGAGCAACGAAACGCGAGTCATGCGTCAGTTATCAATGCAGTAAAAGAAATATGAAACATGCGCTGTTTACATTTTTATTTAGTTTTCTCCTTTCGCTTACATTCATAGTAAGTACATTTATTCATTCTTCGTCGACGTCGATAATCCTTGGGCATTATTTAACGGCATCTATTAACCTTGTACTAAAGTCCATCCATGATAAACGATATCGACCCCCGATGTTAGAAGACTTCCTGATATGTGTCACTCTATATCAATTTTTCTTTTTTAGAAGAAAAATTTGCCCCAAGTTTGACGGATCTTAACCCTTTACGACCGGATGTTGCCATTTGGCAACATTGTGTCGATATTTTAAGAAAGGTCTAGCTATTAGGGGTGGACCATTTTTTTTAACGGAACTTAATTAATGACATTAGTTAATGACTTCCATTAGCCATTAATCTTAATGGTTAATGTTTTCTAAGAAAAACTTAATTCATTAATATTAATGATTAATGAAAAACATTAACATTAATTTTAAAATTAATGTTTTCATTAATCATTAATATTAATGT